TGCAGGAGGAGACGGAGCAGCTCCTCCAGACGCTGTCGGAAAGGCCTTGGAGCGTACTGAACGAGGGAAGCGGCACAGCTTTCAACACAGTCTAGGAAGCAAAGGCAAAATGAGTCAGGGCCAACAAGCCCAGAAGTGTTGGCTGTGGGTGTGTCGGCGCGTCGATACCAATGTGCTTTTAAGTGGTACCTTTGAATGGGTTCGACTGAACCTCAGGCTAGATGGTGCCGAGCAGGCAACTTCGTCACCTTCTTGGCCCGAGGATCAAGAGGACGTCTTTGTTTCGCGAAGAAGGTGTCAGCATGACTTAACCAATGGGTACTTGCAGCTAGGCAGACTCTTCCAATGCGTCTGGTGCTGCTACAGCACCCCATGAGCCCTCGGCGTGTGCAGGAGTTCGGCACGGAGCCCTGCATCTTGCACAGAGACCGAGGCAACTCAACATGCAACTGCAAGAAGCGTAGTGAAGCGTCTTCCCACAGAAGCTGAGCCCTGGCAGACGTGGTGGCGCTGTGGAAGCCTCCAAACTGGACTGGGCCTGTGCCACAAGCAGAGTGCACTCAGCCCTCCAGTGTGGGCAGCCGCAGCCGAACTGTATGCTGGTCGGCTGAATGCACCTGCAACTTCGACGCCAGGACGGTGTCTGTCTCTTTGGAGGGCCGCAGATTCCAAGACGACGCCCGTAGCGACAGTCCCACAGAAGGCGCCTTTTTGCTCGTGGATTCGTAGATCCCAGATGTCATGCTTTCTCAGCCCAAAACCGCAAAACCCGAGGTGCATGGGATGCCGGGCTTCCATTGCAGGACTGGGTGCGACCCTGCGTCTCTCCGCTGTGGGCTCCGTCACGGAGTCTTCGCCTGGGCTGCCGGGATTTCTCTCCTTTGCTGTTCCTTTTTTTGGGCCGAGTCGACTGATGCCGCAAGGGCGGCAACCGTCCTGACATGTCTCCAACTTGGACAACTGAACATCGCAACTGTGACACATGTGAGTTCGACGGAGCTCATGCTGTTCAGGGATATGCTCAGCAATAAGAGACCAGGCAAAAGCACACATAATGACACATCTACACATCACAAACGGTGCGCTTTCTGTAGAACACCCTCGAGAACCTCTCGTTCCTCCATGGACAGGAACTCAGCGCTGGATAAGAGCAGTGTGTTGTTGTTCTCCGCAGCTTCAGTTGCATCTTTGGGCCCATCTGTTCAGGCCGTCATGACTGAAGTCTTGCGCTCAGTCCTGCCACAAGCCAGTTGCAGGTGACCTGCGGCCCCTTGAATGGCCTTGAGTCAGGCCCCATCAGAGCCAGGCCCGGCCAAAGTCGAGGAAGTTGGTGGCTTCCTCGATGGCCTCAATGGGCAGTGGGATGCAGTGGGCCATGAAAAAGGATGTTTAAAGGGATAAAGAACCTACACACGTGAGTGGACGTTGGAAGTGCTAAATCCCCGCCACACAAATATCCTGCACGAGCGCGTGGGATCTGTGGACAGCGGTGTGTACTTGACGCCTTGAAATAGTGTAATAGTGTAGAGTGCAGACTAGCGGGTGCAGCCTCGATGCTGCGTTGAGATGGATTGGTCATGCAGGCGTTGACCGCCAGTGCACGTGAGGTCGAGGAGAGGAGGTGGCAGGACCAGAAAAGATCCTGGCAAAGATGATTCACGAGGACAAACCTGACGGCTAACATGGCTCCTCCTCTTTTGGCAGAGGCTGCCGCTTTTTCAAAAGGGCTGATTCAGTATGTTCGACTCTGCATAGTGCAGGTGCACCATCGTAAGAGTGGCCAAGCAGGGCAGAGTGGCCGAGTATGGGCATTGCGTAAGCGGCGCCGTTCTGAACCGTCTGAACCGACAGGATCCCGAGGTAACGCTCTACGAGAACTTCGTGTCTCAGGAGGAGGCGCTGAGTCGGCGCGAAGTCGGAGCTGTCTAGACTTGACTAGACTTGACGGCTTTCTCAGCACAAAGGCTCTGCGAAGTGCAGCCCATGCCGCACAAAGCCGGTTATTGACGCAGCTTGCCTCGACATCCTGCGATATCCTGCGTGTGGTCAGGTGGACCACCTGATCCAGCTTTGTGAGGGGCGGTGGGCCGCTTGGCTGCATACTTGGTGCTGCGAGCCTTGTCGAGCCTCTGCGCGGAGCATTTTTTTCTCCTTTCTCATCACCGAAGTGCTAAAGCATCCTGTGTCTCGATTCCCGAGTATTCTAAATCAGGGACACCTCCCGGGAGGTAAAGCAACTGACCCATGGGTGCAGAGAGGAAAGGTTACTTCTATAGCCCCCGTCTTGCATCCTTGGGTTCCTTGGGTTCTTGGTCATCTGGGCCGAGCGTTCTTCGTGTAGCACTGGGCGTGGATTCTGTCTCTGGTTGCATCCTTCGTGACAGCAGCGTTCAAAGCTGCGGATGTTCAAAAGGAACCTAGCGTGCTGCAGCGAGCTACTTCTCAGTTCAAAAGGGTTGGAATCCAGGAGCGATCCAAAGTATCGAAGGGAAAGGCACGGCTGCGAAGATTGAAGCCCGGGTCACTGCAATTGGGGAGGCTTTCTTGATCAGGCCACCGACCTTCATGGACTCAACAAGGGGGAGGCGAGTCATCCTTTGGGTGTCGAGGCCTCAGTTGCGGCGGTCTGGTGGACTCGGATCGTCGCCGCAACAGGTGCTTAGCATTGCTTAGCGTCGGCAAACGAGTGCCATGGCATCTGAGGAAGAAGGCTATGGGGACACCCGCACTTCTTCCAGTGCAACTTGGCGGCGCACGTGGCAGAGCAGTCCGAACTCTCAATGCAAGAGTGACCATCAAAGCTTGTTTTGGGAGATGTTGAATCAGGCTATTTCAATCCCGGTCAAGCTGAAGCTCTGAAGCTGCTAAACCCCCTAGGAAGGAGCCAGATTTTTTGTTCAGAGAGTAGCAAACGCCCCAAGATCATGATCGTCAGCTTGCGCAGCTGAACCCTGGGGTGCGGAAGTCACTGGGAAGCCGCAGACGGGGGCTTGCAATGTAAGGTCTTGGGGGGGGGGGGGGGTCGGAAACGTGGCTCAGGTCCACCTTGAGTGGAATGAGACGATTGTCACAGACGCTTCTGCAGATTTGGCCGGGTGTTGCACATTAGGGGAGGCTGCAATGCTGTGCTCCAGCATTTTGCACCTCCACGGCGACGCATGCCGGAACGCTGCTGGCCGAGGAGCGGATTGCAGCCAGAGTGGCGGCTGTCACTGGCACGAGCTTGGCGCAGGCCACTTGCGTTGATCGTTGATCTAGGCCACTTGCGTTGATCGTTGATCTATCCGCCTTCGTTCGTTGCTCCTTGAGCACGTGTGTGGTGGAGTGCCATGCAAGGACTTCTAAGAACTCATCAGGCCACCTGCCAACCAAGGTTTACACAAATTTTAAAAAATCTGCAAATCAAATGGAAGGTACCTATTATTTTGACTGAAGACCTCACGTAGCATGCCCAACTCCTGAGAGTCGAATTGCGGCATCTAGACTAGATCAAGGACGTCTTCGCTTTGTGCTGTTCAAAGAGGTTTGTGATGTTGGATATGACACCCCTCCCCCCCCCCCCGACCCCTCGGTCCTGTGCGAATCCTCCCCTCATGAAGAGCTGAGCTATTATCACTTGGATCGCTCCTGTGGGTGGCATCTGCAATGTGCCGTTCCCCTGATCTTAAACTGTTTGGGGTTACGAGGAGCAGGCAGACTTTGGGTTGAGGGAGGCTGCCGGACCGCAACCTCTCCGAAAGCTGTTGTCTTGTCTGTGTTGCAGGTGGAGCCTCTCGTAATGCTTCGCTATGAGCCTGCCACTCAGAAGAGAGCGGGTAGTTTGAACAATGGGGGGGAAAGGGTCTTCCCAGAATGCATGCGTCGGAGTTTATGCTTAGCAGGTTGCTGTCGTCGGTGAGCCGCGGTGAACGACGCAACCTTCGCTTTCAAGCATTCCCTTCCGGCTCTTGTGTTGGGAGGCCGGGCCAGTTCTTCAAGATGCACCACGCGCCTTGCCAAACAAAGGGCTGTTGTGTGCTGGCAGTCTGCCACCCCGTTGTTCCAGTGCTGGGTGGTCATGCTCTCCTTGTCAACCTCGCCGAAAGCAGACAGGACGGATCCATGAGACCTTCCACAGTCTTTGTCTACCTGAATGGTGGGCTCCTCAAGCATCCTTGGAAAAAGCTCCCGGGTTCACACGAAGGGACTTTGAGCTTTCGACAGATCGGGTGGGGTTTCGAAAGTTTCGGGTGTGTGTTTGCTTTCCCTTTGTTTCATGCCACGCCGCCGCCTTGCCGGCTCAATGCTGGAGCCTGCGCCGACAGATCCGAAATGGATCTGACATCTGACCAGACCCTGAAGTCCTGTGCGAAGGATGTCTCTGAAGCCGTAACCCAACAGGGCTCTTCAAGAAACCCAACTATTCGCCCTTCGCAGCCCTTATGAGGACCTCATCGGTGATCTGGGCTGGACCAGCTTGAGCACCAATGTCGTGTCGGAAGGCGCTTGGGCTGAGAAGGGGAATGAAGGGGAGTTGTGGGATGCTCACTTGTGGGAGACGCCACTCAGAAGCTTCCGGGGTGCCGAAAAAACAGCTCCTGGAGTTTGTGGCCATACGTTGGCTGAAGAGGGAGGGGGGGGTGGCACAGCAGCAAGAAAGTCACAAAGCTACGGGACGAAAGAAGCACTGTGTAAGACAACGTTGTACGGACAGGGTTGGCACGACCTCCGGGCAGGCCATTGACCCCGCAGAAGGCCCCACGGTCCCACGGTCCCACGGAAACCTTCGAATCAACACCCTCGAACTTGCAGAGGCCTGAGGCCTGAAGACTTTGGACAACATACCTTGACCTTGTCTAACGCAGCTCGCCTTGTAAATCAGATGCGTTCGAAGCCGTTTCCCAAAAACTACTCCTGAATGCCAGAATGGTGGGCATTGCTTAGGCTATTTTGGACGCCTGTGTACACACTTGCCAGGTGAGAGCTGCTTTGCAGCCTTCAAAAGAGTCCAGTCCTTCTTCATGCTGCGTCTTCGGACCAACGTGCAGGCACATTAGGTTCTCCATCAGGTTCGTGGCTTTGAGCCTCCTTGAGCTTGGACAGGCGATCATGGACGATATGAACAAATGTGGTCAGCTGCCGCGCCCGGAAATTTATTGCGACCGGCAGATGCTCCAGAAGTTAGGCTGCCTGGCGTGATAGTATGATGGGCTCTACAAAGGCGCACCGCGCAAGCGTAAGCTTTCAACAATTCGGACCCTTTGTTGTTCCCGTGAAGCTTCCAAGAGCTCACGATCCGCTCAAGAGCCGTGTAGGCTTTTCAGATCTGAATTGAGACTAATAAAAATGTAGCCGCAATGTAGCCTCTCGCAGCACTTGGTGAGGATTGTCAGGGGACGAGTACTGTACACAGACGGTGGAGGAGATCTTGGCTCCGGGACCGCCCAGAAAGCACAAAAAAGGGAAAAGCAGCTTTGCCCACCTTTCCCCAACTTCTCCAAAAGCTCCCCGGTTGCAGACAGCCCTGAAAAAGGAGACATTATTTCCAACGCGGTCCTCAATGCCGACGTCGAGAAGGAATGGAGCAAGGCTGGGAAACCTCGGGCGCCAGTAGCGTTGATGTCAGCATTCTGAATCCTCATGTCGACTCTGACTTTTTTCCGGATGACCTTGAGGCCGCAGAACATGCGGCCATCTTGACTGGGTCCAGAGGGACGAACAAGGTCGAAAATTACTACCGAGAGAGAATCGTGGACGGCAAGAGCTGCTGCACTGCTGCTGCCAGCCATTTTCGCTCTTGTGAGTCACGCTGTCCTGGCTGCATGTGGCCCAAGGAATAATCCAATGGCGGAATTTTCCAGACCAAGGTGGTGGTGAGGGTTTCATTGCGGGTTGACTTTGCTGCACAGCATGCCATTCTTATGCAGCTAGCATGGGACGTAGTGATGTACGGAATGACGTGCGGTCGTGAAGAGGATTGGTGACGATCGTGCATCTCCCTTTCGATTACGAGCTGGGTCGCTTCGTAGCCCAAGCTGGTACTCACTTTGCGACCGAAGCTTGGCTGCAACCAGGCGCGGCCTTGCGTCCATAGGGCCATAGGATGCCATAGGACTCATAGGACTAGAAATCCATAAGAAATCGTCTCAGACACCCACTTGCCTGACTGAGCCCAAAGCGTGCCTGAGTCTTCTGTTGGTTCCTGCCTGTGTCCCGATGGCCCCTGTATGTGGGAGAGTTTGTTGTGGTGGGGTTGTAGGTTTTCTTTGAACATAGAGCGTGAGAGCGAAACATTTGTTGCGGGAGAAGCAGTAGTATTTCAATTGCTTAAAAATCATTATTGACAGCTAACAAGAGTTCAGCAGCTTCCTTGTAGTTGAGGTCACCAAACACAGGCACTGATTTTGATCACCTGAGTTATCAGTGTCTGGAGATCGAAGGTGAGTGTGGTGGAGCCGGACATTCACGATATGAAGCAGATGGTTTGCACAGTTGGGCTATTTGTGACCGGCTCGGCCTTCCCTGCCTGGGCATCGGCCCACCTCGCTCAAATGGAGCCTTGGCTGCCACCTGCCACCGACATGTCACCTGTCACTTCTGTATGTCCTGTATGTCCTTCTCGCGCCTGAAGTCCAGTCTGAATCAGGGTAGCAGCAGGTAGCATGATCAGATAGTTTTACTTTGCAAAGCTTTTTTGCAGACCTAAGGCCCACTCCATCTCGATGATGGTGCGGCAAACAGCCGTATCGTTCAAGTCTTTAGACACGCTGTTGGAGGCCTGACGGGGTCTGTGAGCGGGACAGCTTGAGCCGATGAATCGCCTTAAGATGGTATCTGCTGTGGCGGCCCTACCCTCCGAAGAATTGCTGTCCCGAGGCGGATCAGCAATTCTACATGGTTCTGTCCCTACGAACTTGTCCTCAGGCAGGAGAATGTGAGATCGCATCCTTGGCTTTTCCCAACACTGCCACGCCAGGGTCGGCCTTTGCTGCCTTGCACCTCGCCGGACTACATGCTCGGTGCAGAGGTGCGCAGCCCAACCAAAGTGATTGGGGAACGATGGGGGCTCGGGGAATCTTGCAGGACACGCACACCTTTGAAAGCCTTAAAACTTAAAACGCATTCGATGTGCACTGCGTGAGAAGTAGATCGCGTGAGAAGTAGATCGAAGATCCTTCACCAAGAGACGTTGTCACGCCATTTGGCGCAAGGATAGTTCTGTCGTCCTGTTGGACCTGCCGATTGGCAGCCCTGCTCCTTGATTGAACCACAGCGTTTGCAGGTTGTTGTGTGTGAGACTGTAGTTACTCAACGCTGGGCTTTGCATCTTGGGGAGCCTTGCCAAGGAGTCTCTTTATCCAGCTTGGTTCCGGCCTATGGGAGAGTTTAATTTCCCGAACTTTTTGCAGCTGTTCCTCGTCTCCATCGGTTGCCCTGAGGCCCTCTTAGGGCAGCTTCTTGAGAAAGGACGTGCAGCTGGCAGGTAGTTGCCAGCAGCATGTCTCTAACTCAGTCCTGGCAGGTGCAGGTGTTCAACACCATGGATGGAGCGCTCTTGGTTCCTTATCAGGCGGTTGTCCAGAGAAGCCAGTGGGAGCAGGTGGCTTCAAGATTCGACGCAGCTTGGAAGGTCCACAAGGACTGCGCCGACAACAGCCCACGAAGGGTGCACGCATGCACGATTTCTCAACGAGGTTTTGACACTGACCCAGTTGGCTGTTCGCCTGCAGTGCTTGCCGTGTGCCCAACGCGATAAATTGACTCAGCAAGGATCTCATTCACCGGGGGGCGCGGGGGGGCGGGGGGGGAGGGGGGTCCGAAAACGCAACGTTCAAGCACTGGCGATTCACGCGCCGGGGTGGTTGAAGCATGTGAAGCAGAACTCCTGATTCAAGCCCACGCGATTGAAGCACAAATTCTGATTCAAGCGGTGCGGATTCAAGCGCTGGCGAGAAATCGGTTTCCTACCAAGTCTGAAAGGCTGACGCTGTTGGTGGATTTGGGGTCTGGCCTTTGGCTTCAAATGGCCTTCCCTGCGCACTATGCCTGTTTAGTTTGAGAATCATGAGTGCCGGGTGGTTTTCAACACGTCCTGAGACCACTCAACATGAAAAGCTCCTTTACGGCCTCCCCATCCCAATATTAAGATATCAGCCTCTTGCCGAGAAAAGGGTTCGGGGTCGCTACACATGCAAAGTTCTAACATACTCTGAACCAAAATTCCACGGCTACCAAGTTCCCAAGTTGATCCAGTGACTGGCAAACCCCCTCTCAACTTCCGGGATGCTTTCACAAATTTGCCCCTTCAGACGGCGTACCGGAAGCTGAACAGCTCGAAGCATGCCCCGACCATCTCGGAGGCTGATGCTGGGAGTGTAGCAGTGCAGCTGTTCTAGAAGGGCGGACCCCCTGTTTTTAAAAATGCATTCTCCCAAGATGTTGTGACGTCTAAAGAAGTCGTTGCGCAGGGCCGCAGCCCGCGATTTGCTGAAGTTGCAGACGACGCGATGGACAACCCGCAGTCCGTTTCACTCAGCAGCCTGATCAGCGTGCACAACACCTTTATAGAAGTTGAAGACGGCGAACTCAATGATGATGATGAGCCCAAGTGGGTTCGAAACAAGAGCGCGTGACAGCGCATGATCCTCCCGGCGGGGTCTACCCCTTTAAGGTGCAAGGTTGCTTCAATCACGTGCACCCGTGTATCACGTGTACGTGCACGGCAACTACACACCGCGTCTGAAGTGCTTGCACGGTATATGCGGTACCAATTGCTCGCAGAGCAGCCGCTGGTCTGCAGTGGCGGATGTGCGAGATTATGTTATGTTAGTTTTCATTCCATGTCAGGTTGTTGGATTCTTTGTCGCACGCAGCCGCTTCCAAAAACAACACATACAGCCACAAGTCTGGGCTGCCGAGCGCTTGTACAATGGCTTTGCAAATTGAAGATCGGAAGCGAAGAGCAATCCAACAACATGTTAGGATCGTTTTCTTACGTGGATGGGTCCGAAGGAGTCTTTCCAATCGTCGGTTGGCGGCAGAAGCCGTTTGCCACAGTCTCACCACACAGTAGTTACATGGAGAAGATCGGGCCCATGGCTCGAAAGAGCATATTCCCTATGGAACATACGAAAGCACACATGTATATATATATATATATGTATATATGTATATACATAGTATGACGAACCAGAGTTTAAAGAATAGGACAATAGGAAGAATCATGTTCCGAAGATGCGGCCCGGTCATGCTCTGTAGAAGCCTCGGGGGACCTCACACGTGGCTTCTGTGCACAGATGAAGCCAGTCGCAGCCAATCGCCGGAATACGCAGACGCATCTGCCGGCATGTGCGGCTTCAGAGCTTAAGACGTCCGTCACTTACTTGTGCTTTCGACCTATTTGAGGCCTCGAGCCTGGCTGTGGTGGGGAGACGAGTTTCCCCCACCTTGGCTTCCAGGCTTGTTTCCACTTTGCTGCCACAGCCTTGACCACCACCACCACGTGTGCCCATTGGTGTCCAAAATCAGGTCCGCCCAGCGGCCTTGACGGCGCTGACGCCTGGTAGCGATTCCGGCGCCGACTTCTCCAGACCCGTCATGTCGAGGAAACGTCGCCTATGCCAGTTATAAGATCAGCCGAGGATGTGGCCAAACCGTCTTCCGTCTGGTGAGGGTGATATGCGTGTGAAGCATGAGGCGAGGCTGGAACTCTGCAAGATTGTGCCACGCGTCTCTCTCTCTCTCTCTCTCTCTCCCTCTCTCTCTCTCTTTACTTTTTCTTCTCAAGTTATGGCTTAATTGTGGCTACAATGTGGCTACAATGCCAGTCAAGCTTGTGTCTGCATGTTTCTGCATTTGCACCAGGCAAAGCCCGTCACAAGTGGCATCAAGTATGCAATGAACTGTTTCGTGCCGGCCTCGTCAGGGTCCGGGCAATGAGCAGGCGAAACCGCAGCAAGTTGTTTTCAGTCACGCAGTGTATGAGGTCAACATTCATCGTCAACGCGACACGTGCCTCGGACTCCAGCTTGTTCGCGCGGCGCATCGGTACATTTGGGATGTAGCTCGGGTGGAGTGGGTGCTGATGAGCGGCGACTAGCTTTTCATTGTGCAGTCCTGTTGGTCACTTCATTTGAGATGGGAGAAGTACAGTACTTCAAGTGTGAGGCTGGTGTGGGGCCTTTTCGTCCGTGTGAAATGTATGGCTTGTCCAGGAGCAGCATCACGGTGCTCCAGCAGAGGGAAAACGACGAGCCTGTGAAGCTTCCGAGCTGATAGGCCACACGTGCGTGCCACTTGACTTACCCATTGAAAAAGATTATATGTTAGCTGTGTTCAGATCATCTTCTCGAATGCTTGGCTGCCATCATGGCCGCATAGCCATTTGGCCCAAAAAAGACTGGTTCCCTGCAGCCTGACCAGCACCCGCAGGCTGGGCATTGCCAGGCAACTTGGGAAATGTTCAGAAACTCTAGTTTGGGGAGAGTACCACACCCTTGAGTCCCTGTGCGTGGTGGGACTCGTGGTCGTGGGGGATGCTCTGCAGAGTGCCACGCACCCCATGATGTCACCCGCAACGCCTCAAGACATGTCTGTCCAGAGACAGGGAGACATCTACAAACGCTGAACACATGGACATAGGCTACTCGGCTCCTCTTGAATCTGGATTTTGCACATCTTCGCCAGGCCATGGAGGCTGCTTGCCCCGGTTGCACCTGGGTTGCTGATGGTATCTGTTGGGTTCTGCACACAGAGAACCCAGCTTTCTATGCCATGACTCGATCGGTCACAGTTGACAAGTCACGCAAAAGAGTCCGCCTCTGAAGCACAAAGCGAGTGAAGCTAGTAAGTCCGTTTTGAGGACAGGCTCGCGACACACTGTATCTTCTTGGCACTGTCGGATGAGGCAAGTTTGTCTTCAATGCAGAGTCGCTGACGTGCCCTGGTTGTGGACGACGACGTGACCTGGAGCTCTCTTCCGCCCAGCAAGTGGGTGAGACGAGTGAGATGAGTGATGTGAAGGCAAGGCCCCGCGAGATGAAGACATGGCGGGTAAATATGAGGGTGGAGGGCCTTGCGTAGTACAAGAGTCTGTACTATTGGAACTGTACCTTGCAGGCACCAGCCGCAACCAACGATGCAGCTCCCCGTGCCACCGGTGCTGACAGTGTGGCATTTGGCAGGCGGCAGGGGCCTTCATTTTCCGTTTTCGTGTGCCTTGCTTTATCCTGTCCAGGCACGCTGAGATGACTTATGCCGAGCTCTGGGATAAAGAGCCGAAGTGCGCACGTGCTTGACTTGGATTTGATGGGGAGAGGCTTTGCGCAAACTGTTGCTTCCTCCGAAAACGGTCCGTGAGGCATTGCAAGGCCCTGCCCTCGAATAACAGCCCTCAACCTCAAGCCGCAAGAGACGATCATGACGATGATGTGTCGAGGGCGCCTCCAATGAGTTTCTTTGCACAGGTACTGCCAGTGGGTGATGAAGACTGCGCAGCTGCAAGAACCAGGGGAGTGCCTCGCTGGAGCAGAAAAACACCAAGCAGATGGGAAAAGATTGGAGAGACTACGTTGAGCAACGAGCAAACCTTCGAGGCAGGTTGCTGACTGCTTGGCGGTTCTTTCTCAGGCAGCCAAGTCCCATGGAACGACTGGCAAGTTGGCTAAGCGCTGCTTCAGCTGCAAAAATTGCCCAGGGGTCCGCCAAGAAATTCACGACCAAGCAAGCCTTCGCATTTTGCGTGCCTGAAGTGCAACACAGTGTGGAACCTTTGGCCAAGTTTGTTGCAATTCACCAAGGAAAAAGAGATCCAGGCCGAAAGCAACGGCCCAGCCTACGAGTACAACGAGGACTGGGGCAACGGAGCGGGCGAACGGAAGAGCAGCTGTAGAGTTGGTGAAGCATCGGCACCATCTCCCTGTGTGATTGAAGGATATGCAGCTGGTCGAGGTGCCTGGCAGCCGTTCACTCAAAGAGCGTGCCGGCACCACGGTAAAGTTCTACGGAGTGCCTCGGATGCGAGAGCTCGCAGAGTCTCGACAGCCCCAGGCCACGGGCCTTCCACAAACGGCTTTGGGCTGGATGCAGCAGAACTTCGTCCATGTTTTTGGCACATTCGTCCAAAATTTGCCTTCGTAGCCGCAGGCCGTAGGTTTGCTTCATCAGGAGGCTCGGTCGTCCACCAGAGATTGATTGTCCAAAGTCAGGTCAGGGGCGTTCCCGATGTTTACCCAGTCTCCCGGCTATTGGCCCTGTCTTCGTCTTATCACCCCATTGCCCCACCAAATTGGTTCGACCCCTAGAATGCCCACGAGACATTGCCAGAGTCAAGCCTAGAGGTCCAAAAAAGGGTGTGTTGAAGAGGCTTACTCGCCAGCCAGCGCGCTTGCCCCAAATGATATGCTTGTGATTGTGGTCGCTACGTAGCAGTGTGACAGTAGCAGTGTGACAACCTGAGGGCAAAATGATAGTCTGCAGTTTCAGAGGACTGTGCTCTGAGCCAATCGGCAATTCAGGTGGCGGCGCCGGAGAAGAGGATTTGCACAAGCTGGGAGGAGTGCAAGCAATACGTGCACGGCATCAAAGGGGTGCCTTGCTGCATCAGCTCTTCATCAGTTCATCGGTGTGTTTGTCGGGGTTTGTCGATTGCGTCTTTTCCCTTGTAAATCATCATGGAATCTCTAGGTGCTCTATCGCAGCTTTGCCACCCGTGAAGAGGCGGAGGAGTGCCTCGGACTGAGTTTAGTCGGGTGGGGAATGCGCGTACGTATATCCAGGGGAATATGATTGTTGTAAAGTATGTCGGTCGATTTTCAACACTTGTTGAACATATGTTCGGAACCGTAAACAGATTCTCATAACGATCTAAAGATTTCGTGTTTTTTAGCTAGGCTAGATTTCAACAAAACAGCTTTAAGAAGATCAATTTGAAACGGTATGTAGTTTTCTTGTCACAACAGGTACGTGAACAACCCACCAGCTCGGACGGTGAAGCAATCCAGGCCAGCTCTATTTTCCGGCCTTTCGTCTACCAAACCCTACTGACCAGCTCTCTCGTAATGTTTTTAGAGGACCTTCTGTGCAGGCGCTCTGAGAAGGCCGTCAAGACCTCGGAGAACTCTGAAGAAAAGGCACCCTCTTGCTGCCTTGAGCTTTGCTTACGGCAAGGTTTTTGCTGTGTGTGCCAGTCGCGCAGGGCGAGACGGCGATTTCCAAGGGGAAGAAGTCCAAAAAGGCTAAGCAAGAGGCACTTCATGGTTAAAAGAGCTGCTGCTGTTTGGTTGGGCGCAGTCCGTGAGGAGAGGCCAACAGAGAATGGTTCAGACGCTCCCATGGACACAGACGTGAAGGCCAGATCCGACGCTGCTAATACAAGCATCTCTGAATGGACGCCTTCAAAGCTTTCTGAAAGTGCTCCTCTCTTTTCGGAGGAGAAAGCCGAGGTGGACGAGACGGGCGAGGTCAAAGCTCCGAATGGAAAGGCCAAAAGGGCCAAAAAGGCCAAAACGCAGCCGCGAACCGAGAGTCCGGAGGGATGGTGCCAGCAGCATCAGCAGCAGGCTTGCAACGCGACGTAAATCCCATATCTCGATAAGTTTCTGGGCACGGCCCCGGACTGGAACATGTTTATGCCATTTTGTGCAACCGCGTGGCGTTTGCTCTTCTCTCCGACTGAAATTTTCAAATCTTTCCTACTGCATCTCCCAAATGGCGCATGCACAGTGATGCCTGTTTGGCATGCCAATGAGCCTGAATGGCTACTCGAAATAAAGGCCACGAGAGTACACATTTTGGGCGCCATCGTGTGCCACAAACGTCTATGAAAAGATGATGCAACCGCATCCTGACCACATGAACAATGAAACCCCACGACAGTAGCCCACAAAGGACCCCACGACAATCACAGCTTCCAGCTTGTTATGCACGGTCTACACATCATGCTGAGTGAGGCAGTAGCATGAATGAGAAGGCGCAAGCGGCACAGGTTGCATACTATATGGGACCACAATTTGAGTGTGGGCCACTAGCGGCCTTGAGTGAGGGCTTCTAGAAAGCAAGGACATGGCAAACGACTGCAGCGCAGGTTGACACTTGGGACCCCGGGACCGTAACAGCAGAGAGCCCTGGAAGTGTCGACCTCGAAGACAAGAGGACCATAGTGCGAAATGCATGACATCCATCCCGAAACGCAAATAGGAAACTGCACTCAATCGCACCTGCAGCCATTTCGCTCTCTGATGCCTAGCCCAGGCCCGCTGGCGACGAAGGCGCGCCAGTCCGCAAGCGCCGCCGCAAGGAGGAGGCTTTCATCAACTTCACGCCTTTTTTTGCCTCTGACAAACCTGGAACAGTTGCATCTTTTCGTCGCAGGGCGAAGACGGCGTGAAGGAGCCCTCTCCGACCCTCAGACTGAAAAGAGGGGGGGGGGGGCTCGTGCTGCGTTCTCTAATCGAAAGGAGAGCCACGTCTGAAGTTCTGATAAAAATCTTGCTTCTGAGGAAGAAGTCCAAGAAGTCCATGCTAGCCAAAGCAAAGGCCAAGGCGAAGGCCAAGGCGAAGGCCAAGGCGAAGGCCAAGGCCAAGGCGAAAGCACTTGCCAAGGGCAAGGCCCGCAAGGCAGAGGCAGCGGCAGAAGCGAAAGCAAAGCCGGCAAAGCCCACCAAGCAGGCCAAGCAGATGCAAAAATACGGATCCATACGGTACATGCATGTACATGCAGACATCAGCGATCGCTTGCGATTCAAGACACCCAGCGTTTCTGCGCTTGCAGTGCAGTGTCGGGTAGGCCTAGGGCTCGCAGGGCTCGCAGGGCTCGTAGGGCTCGTGCCTTCAGTTGCTACGCAGGGTTTCCGTGTGCTGGGCCTGCCTTAAAAAAGCGTGGTTCCAGGAGCAAAAGTCGCCGAAAGCCGACAAGCCCTCCTCGCAGCCGCCGAAAGCCGAAGGGAGTCCAGAGGCACAAAGGGGGGACATCGCCAACCCCGCCGGCAGAATTTGTGAAACTCAACAGTTATCCTGAACTTGGCCCCAAGAACGCACTTGGGATCCCGACTTGCCCCTTCCTGAGGCGAACAGTTTCATAGCTTCCGATACTTCCGATATAGGATGTTCTCCGAATCATTGTTTCCAACCCGCCGGCTGCAACATGCACGCATCACACACTTAAGAACATTAAGAAGCGAGTCTAGAGCCTGACAGCACACATGACTGCATGGGTGACAAATTCGGTGCTGGTACCCCATGGGTGGAGTTTCGGGATGCAAGTGGGGGCTTCCTTCAGGTGAGACCTCCATCCGTAGACCTGGCAAAGGGGTGGTTCGAAGGCCTCTGACCCGCACCGTTCCAAGGTCGTAGGAAATGTAGGAAGCTGCGGGAGGCGCATGGGGGCACTGGATCTGCTGGGTTTGCGATTTTGTCGAGTCATCGGAGATGAGCACAGAACATCACAGAGCCTCGTGGGACACGAACGAATTGTATTTTCCTTACAATGGAACATGATGGAACGCACGCAGGTGTTGAAATTGGCTGAAGAGATGGGTTTGCTGACAGCCCTGGTCAATCTTCGACAGCGACCCGAGATTGTGCCATGATTGCAACCCACGGAATCCTACATAGATTCCCGCGGAGCGGCAGAGCCTGACTGCGAACTGAGGCGGCGTTGAATGTCGATGCAGAGATCTTGCTGAAACCCGCCCAAATCACGTGGTCCTAAAACCTTTGTGACTGGACTTCTGTGCAAGAGGTGTGTGTGTGTGTGTGACATCGTGTGCCCAGTGTGTGCCCGCAGCTGAAACTCGATTCAGGAACGTTCTGCGTGAGTGTGATGGGCTGGTGAACAAAGCAAAGTGCCGCGTGCTGGAAAGCAGCCCCGGCATCTCAGTGCCAAATTAAATAGCGTAATCAACGTGGTCGCAAAATCATGCATGTACTTTGTGGATGCTGGCTACCGGTCGTGCCTTCTCGTAGCCCAACCTTAGAATCTCAGGTCCCTCGACGCCGCCCAAGAGCCAGCGGAGTGACAACACTCCCGAGCCTGTGACTCCGGAGAAGAGTGAGGCAGGCTTTGGGGCAGCGCGGCGGGGGGGGGGGGGGGGGGCTACGCAGATTCTCGCGGTTCCAGTGCTGGACAGCTTAAGGTAGGGGGTGGCAATGGTGGCATGTCTTGGTGTGCTCAGGCTCCTGTGCCAACTTCTGAGATGACTGCAGTGAAGGGAGAGGTGCCGCGATTATCGAATGATCAGCACGAACAGGGGCAGGGGTAGAGCAAGTCGTAAGTCGCATCCTAACTTGCCCATTTTGCGACTTCAGGTTACCTTGGAATGTCTTGCCATGCCATGTTGCAACCTGTCGGTGCAGCTCAAGAATGCAGATTTGCAACATGCAAGTGGACCAGAGGGGGGAGGAACATCATCGTGACACACTTCGAGAACTGTGATGAAACAATTAAGTTCCAGTGCTTGCAGAGGCAGAGCAGAGGCCCTACGAGCCTGCCAGGGAGGTGGAGGCATGCGGAGACATGACGCAGATTCTGCGTCGAACTCACAAATCACCCAGCGTCAGGACGCAGTCAAGGCCGTGGTCACAGAGAAGGCCGAAGAGATCCCGCACGGGCAGGCCTGGAAGTTCAGAAGGAGGCAGCTATGGTGCTTTTGCCGAAGCAAGTTACACCACAATCTCAGGAAGCACACGGGGCGACTCAATCCCTGCCATCCTGTAGTAACTGCGACCTGGTGCAATCAGATGAAATGTCTGGTGAGCCCTTCGTGGCTCGAGAGATGTCTGTCAATGTTTGCCGAAGCTTTCTCATTTTTGAGCCTTGTAAGGAATCGACATCGGATAATCTGCCGCAATCGATCCAATTCGCAGAGCTACGCAGCAGCCGAGGTGACAAGATCTTTGATGCCCAGGATACGAGCTTCTGCCGGGGCTGTGGCTTTGTCCCGCTCCAAGACATGAGAGACTGAGAGATTTGGGAGATGTGAGCGAACAGCATGAGGCCCGGGACCTTCTGGATTCCCCTCCGATGGAGGCCGACGCATAGCCAAGTACTTCGCAAGTTGATTCGCACCTGCATAGCTCTTGCACTTGCTCTCTGTCCCTGTTGTGCACGTGCGAAGCGACTGTTTGCAGCGTGCCGCCCGGAGCAAGATCCTTTTCAGCCTCAAAGGCACAACCGTGAGCTCGACCGAAGCCATGCACGCAGTCGGTGCCGTGCGCTCATGCTGGAGGCAGGCAGCACGCCTCATCCCGGCAGGCCACACGGCAGGCCACACGGCAGGCCGCAGCATCACTGTTGAAGCCATGCGCCTCAACACGCCGCTGAAGGAGATCGACCCAGAGGTTCACGGCATCATCGAGTCTGAAAAGGACAGGCAGCGGAGGTGCGTCAACCTGATCGCATCTGAGAATTTTGCGCCTCTTCCAGTCCTGGAAGCTGTTGGCTCCGTCATGGTCAACAAGTATTCCGAGGGCTACCCCGGAGCCAGGTACTACGGAGGCAATGAGTTTATAGACAAGGCAGAAAGGCTGTGCCAGCAGCGGGCCTTGCAAAGTTTTCGGGTCGATGCCAAAGAGTGGGGCGTCAACGTCCAATCGCTCAGCGGCTCACCTGCCAACTTCCAGGTGTTCACGGCCCTTTGTGATGTGCATGACCGCATCATGGGCTTGGACCTGCCACACGGTGGCCACTTGTCCCACGGATATCAGACGGACACGAAGAAGATTTCCATGGTGTCGAAGTACTTCGAGTCCATCCCATACCGCCTGAATGAAGAGACTGGACTCATCGACTACGATGAGTGTGAGAAGTTTGCACTGCGAATCCGCCCAAAGATCCTGATTGCAGGCACTAGTGCCTACTCGAGGCTGATTGACTATGCCCGCATGCGACAGATTGCAGACAAATGTGGAGCACTTCTACTGGCCGACATGGCCCATATCTCCGGCCTTGTGGCAGCAGACGCCATCCCATCACCTTTTGAGTATGCTGATGTAGTCACAACGACTACGCACAAGTCGCTGCGCGGACCGCGTGGAGCAATGATCTTCTACCGCAAGGGCCAGCGTGGTGTGGACAAGAAAGGGAACCCCATCATGTACGACTTAGAGGACAGGATCAACGCAGCCGTCTTTCCAGGACTCCAAGGCGGCCCTCACAACCAGAGCATCACATCTTTGGCCGTGGCGCTGAAGCAGGCCAGCGAGCCTGAGTTCAAGACTTACATCCAGCAAGTCATGAAGAATTCGAAGGCTCTGGGTGAGTCCCTCCAGCGATGCAACTTCAACTTGGTCTCTGGTGGTACGGACAACCATCTGGTGCTGATTGATCTGCGGTCCAAGGGTGTGAACGGTTCAAAGGCCGAGGCCGTCTGCGAGTTGGCATCCATTGTCTTGAACAAGAACACGATCCCAGGTGACAAGAGCGCCATGAATCCCAACGGTTTGCGCGTCGGTGCCCCTGCAATGACTTCCAGAGGGCTCATGGAAGAGGATTTCGCGAAGATTGGTGAGTTCATCGGTGGAGCTGTGGACGTGGCAGTGGAGGTGCAGAAACAAAGCGGGCCGAAGCTCGTGGACTTCAAGCGTGTGCTTGCAGAGAGCCCACCCGGCAAGCTCTTGGAACTGAAGGGTCAGGTGGAAGACTTTGCCAGTGCCTTCCCTACCGTGGGATTCTGAGCCATAGATGCCCCGGTTTGAACGCCATCTGGGAAACCACAGCCTTGTCCAATTTTCACTTGTAGGTGAGTTGGCATGTCGACTTCAGACGTACTCAGTGTACTCAGTGTACTCCTTTTGCTGGGCTAAAGAGAAAGAGGAGACTCCTCGACTCCTCGCCTTGCAGCTCTCTGAGCAGCTCTCTGCACTTGAAGCTGCTGTCGGCTGTCAGACACTTGCCTTGAGAGAGGTGCAGGTGCAGAAGACTGAGAAGGCCCTCTCGCCGGACGAAGCCATGAGGGAGCGCATCAAGGTCTCATGTCTCAATATGCTGCGCAAAAGCAAGATAGTCAATGGATGTCATTCGCTGTGTGGCTCGCGTTGACCTGATTCTGCAGGCCAGCCGAGAGCGTGCCTTGGCACCTCGACTGCAAAGCAAACGTGCTGAGGCATGAAGCGCGCAGGCATGTGCTTGAGGCTTGAATGGAGCAAGACGCCTTTTACCATGTGGGTTTGCCTGTTTTTTTCGGGGGCCCAGGTTTTAAGAAGGGCACACAGGCTGCACACCCGCGAAACATACCCCGAAACATACCCCACCCCATAACATACCCCCCGCAATTGCAGGTAAAGTAGCTCATGATGCCACGAAACATACCCCGAAACATACCCTGATCCCAACACCTGTTGCCCCCCCCAAATATCGAACAAGCCCATGTGGAAAGGCCCGGAAGAGGCAGCTGCAGCAGCAGGTGGGCAGCCCTGCTGCAGCGGTTTTTGAACAGTTGAACAGTTTGGCAAGTATGCGTTTCTGCGACCCAGGTGCTCCACAGCGGCGACCTGAGCTGTTCCTGAGCCATGGCCTTTGGAACCAGGGGGGGGTAAGACAACTGCAACGAGAGGTAGTTGTCGTGTGGGGCACGTGCTGGGGCGACCCTCGCCCTCAGCAAATTGGGCAGAGCATCGTGCGGGGACTGAGCCGAAAAGCCAAGCGCGCCGTCCGTTGCAAGTTGCCCGAGCTCTCACGGATGCTTGTCTGTGCTGGGACACGCCTGGTTCTTGAGATGGAAACTGTGCAGGCTGCCTCCACTGCTCGCTGTCTGGGCATCTGAAGTTGGGGTGAAATTGTTTGATGGCGGTGCAACGACGCCAGCAGCTGGCACCATGGTGACGGCCTGCTTGAGTAAGCATGGTGGCCGAGTGGCATAGTCGTAAAATGTCGTAAAGATGACTGCTCGCTGCTGCGTGACTTAGTGCCACCATACTGCGATAGCAAGGGAACGGCCCCATGTGCCGAACCGATTGTGAAACCACAAGGGCAGGGGCACGGAGCCAAGTGTGCCAACGTTGTGATGTTTCTCAGGTTTCTCCGCAGCGCGCTGATGTTGGGAATGGACGCGTTGCACACCTTTTACTGTTGTGCTCTCACGCCAAGCTTGCGCCAGCAGAGACCAGACCAGCGGCTCAGCACAGCCAAAGACTCCCACGCACGCAGACTCGTGATTGTGCGGATGCTGAAAGGACAACGTAGACCGGCCGTGCCTGATAGGACAGCTAATCTGCGTATCTTGGAGCTGGTGATAGCGCATAGCACGGCCGCTGCGAAGGTGGCGAAGAACCTTGGCCATGGGCATCCTGTCTGGGTCACAGAGGGCCACGGAAAGTCAGATGGGTTCTGTGTGTGCCAGAGACCAGGAAGCCACAATGTGAAATGGTCAGGTGTGCGCCGATGCCTCCAAGTCGTATGGCTTTCTGCATCGTCTGGACAGGTTTACTTCAGGCGCGGGAAGTATGGGGACAAAGGGTAGGGAAGGTAGAGAGGCAGATGACGATGCCACTCCTTCAAGGCACCTTTCCTGATTTGAAGAGGGCCTGGCACACGAGTCTGCCTGGGAGGAATCGTGCTGTGCGCAACCAGCTACAGAGGTCTCTTCATGGGATGGCCCTGCTGCCATGTTTCTTGGTTTTGGCATCCAGTGGCGTTTTGATCTATACTAGAACAGTCTAACACGTACATATGGTGACCAACAGACGGGTGTGATATGCTTTTCCCCAGCTGATCAAGCAAAGCAGCTAGCAGTCTAGCAGCCAAGCAACAGACTGACTAGTTCCATTTAGGATCCCTGGAGTGGGTGTTGTGAAGATTTGATAAGATGTGAAGAGTGTCAGGAATAGACACCGCAGGAAAGTACAGTAGCCACTGATAGCCCTCTGATAGCCAAGAGTGGGCACGACGGGAAGAAAGCTGAGAGTTGACGCAATAAGACGTTTTGCCGTGCTTACACGGATGCGTCGTGGGCTGTGTGCCCCTGGGACACATCGGGGCACTGTGCAGGAACCATCACGCAGTAGAAGGATGAGCACCTACAGAAGCCAGGTTGTTCAGAGAGGGCTGCATGATCGGAAGTCGCGGCAGGAATGGTTTGACCAGCGTTTAAGCACCGAACACTCCAACTTCCAAAGCCTGCTGAGCCGTGAGCCATGGGTTCGGGCGCGAGCAAGGACACGGGCAAGGAGCCAGGCAAGGACCCGGCCAAGGAGCCAGGCAAGGACCCGGGCAAGGACCCGGGCAATGTCACTGTGCCAGAAGTGGCTCCACCAGCCAAACCGAACATGGCTCAGCTCCTAGTTCTCTGGACATCTCTGGACCTAGGGCATTTGGAGCTAGCATCCTCAAGATGTAAATAGTTCATGCTGGCAGATGTTGACAAATTGACAGACGTGATGTGGAGGGAAGGGTAAGACGGGTAAGAGGGAAGAAAGGACAACAAGTGACAAAGCTCATGAATGCACAGAGATGCTGCAGCCGTGCTGCTGCGTTGGGGTGGGCGGGTGGAGGGGGGGAGGAGGGTGGAGGGGGGAGAGGGGGGCGGAGGGGGGGGGGACGGGGGGGTGGGGGGCTGCGGGCTCGGAGCTTTGCCTGTAAACCTTGCCGTGGCAGGCGCCACGAGCACCCAGGTCAAGAGGATGTTGCCATACTAGTTGCTGAGACTAGGTCGCTTGGGCCAACCCCATCATCCTCGCAACTTTGTTCAACCCTGTGACTTGGGGGTGCCGATTATTTCTTCTCGAAATCAGACTGGTAGCCCTTGCAAGCCATTCAGGTGCTGGGGTGCTGCCAAGACGACACGCTTTCGAAGGTGGTGTGGCCCAGTGTGCCACAAAGTTGGCTGGGACATGCTGGACCCGAAAACGATACTTCGTGCGCACCTGTTGTGGTTTTGGACGTCGGCAAGGGCATGGCAAAGGTCAAAGCTTGCTTCTTCAAGCTTTTTCCGCAAGGGCAGTTCATGACTGCTGCTGAGTTTTGTGGCAATGCCTCGCTTCTGGGGCGATGTGTCTTGGTAATTCACGGTGGTACAGAGCACCGGAAATATATCCAGGACTCTGAGAAAGAAGTGCTCGTCAGCCACCTTGCCGCAGGAGGGTCTTTGCTAACAATCGCTTCCGGATCTACCTTCTGTGGCTGCAACCAAAACAGCCTGTGTTTGCTGCCGGTTTTTGCACATGATCGACAGCACTGGAATCGAGGCACTGGGCAGATCGACATGGGGCTCTCCTCGTTTGGTCAGTCATGCCTGGCATCTCGAAGCTTGCAAGAAGGCGTCTTCCAGTCGCAGTTCTTTAATGGCCCTGCTCTTGTTCCCATGAGGGAAGAAGAGTATCGGGCACTTGGTGGGCCTTTTGATCTCGAGTGCGGAGTGGCGGTTCCTTTCCTAAACTACCAAACAGAGATGAATGAATGCCAATCGACATCACTCTTGGGAATGCCTGCGGTGCTTGCCGGCGAGGTCAAGCCCAGCGGCGGGCGTTTCGTGGCCCTATCGCCGAACGTCGAGGTGAACACGCCCCAGTCGACCAAACGTCTCGTTCAGGCGCTTGTCTGTTGGGCCTCGATGGGCAGCCCGCAGCTGAAAGAGAGCAGACGCTCGCTGGAAGCAATCGACGCGCCTATCTTCGACGGGAGCACATTGACGGGTGCAATTGGGGATGGTGGGGCACTGATCAAGCTCGGTCATCCACCTTCCCTCCCACCAATTTGCCAAAGGGGCCTGGAACGAGAAGCGTTCGTGTTGCCCACTGGCCATAGACTTGTTATTGTCGATCTGGGTAAAGGCCCGGATCAGCTTCAGGAGATTTTTGGGCCATTGGTACCCGATGCGAGTCAGTGGCATATTGTCGAGCCGCAGGCCCTGCCTACTTCCCTGAAGCAGGGCGACATCGTCTTGCTTCATGGTGGCATGGCAAACGAGCATGCCGAGCGACTGGGCGCTGAGGGGCGCAGGGCTATCCGACAGCACCTGATTGAAGGTGGCTCCGTGCTGGGCATCTGCGCAGGCGCACACTGGTTGTCTTGCAGAGATCTTCCGCTGTGGGGTCATGCCGTGCCAGTTGTGCCACATGATAATGCCAACTGGAGGCGGGGCGTGGGCGACGTGACAGTCACACTCACAAGTGAGGGCCGGAGGATGCTGGAGCTTGAAGACACGCCTTCCTTTTGCTTGCGGTATGCAAATGGACCCTTACTGGTGGCTTTGCCACCTGATGTGTACAACAACTACCAGCCAGGTAGGGTGCCAGAAGCCATGATGATGGACGAGACAGGCGTTCTGAATAGCGACACCCTGCCTACCCCGCTGGCGGTTTTCTCTGATTGCAGCGACGAGCGAGTGGAAGGCTGGAAGTCCATGAAGGGGCATGCAGCAGCCTGGGCATGGCAAACATCAGGCGGCCGCGCAGTTGTGTTGTCGCCTCATCCGGAGTATGCGCAGACCGAGAAGTCCCAACTCCTTTTTCGGAGGCTGCTGCTGTGGTGTCTCGGTTGAGTGCGAGGCTTTCGTGCGCCGACTCAAAAATCCCAAGTCTCCATACTGAGCCATACTGAGCCATACGGAGTCATACTGAGTCATACCGAGTCACTCTCATGTTGCTGCCTCTTGGACTCGTGGAATTTCGGGGAGAGGCCTAAGCCAAGCTAACTTGTCCTTGTCCTTGTTGTTGAAGACAGGCTTCAGTTCGCAACGCGCCGCGTCAAGAAGATATACTTGGCACTCTGTACTGGCACGTTGGTCTGGGCCACAGAGTGACAGTTTTACAGGAGCCTATGGATCTTGCAGAATGTGAGCGCTTGCCTTACGGCAGGCAAGCCAACCACGCATGTTGGAGGCCTTGAGCAGTAACACGAAGGTAGTACATACACATCTGCACATCCCACCACAGAGCTTTGCTTCTTTGGCAGGCACGCTTGTCTGGCGAACGACAGTCAGATGGGTCTTGGCACACCCGTGCGGACACGAATGGCAGGACTCCGAACTGGGGATGTTTGGACTATTTGTTCCTGTCTGCCAGCACCTCCTCAAAATTTGCAGTGCGTGCTTAAATCAACCCGATCCTCCTGAAACTGTGAGACCTGGTCTCATGAGCGGAACGTGTAGGAGTGCCAAGACAGAGATTCTGAGTGCCAGAATCTGAGTGCAGATGGCAATGGCGAGACACGCAATTCCTGCGCGTGCAAAGCCAGCCTGAGGTCATCCACATGTGTGACGGACAGGCGCGTTTCAGCTTGGTCGAGGCACGGGGGCTGTGTACATCTGTGTACTGTCGGCACAAGCGATGGTATACCTGCGAGTGCCAATTTCTATTTCGGCTCGGCGAAAGGCCCTGTTTCACAGCATCATGGCTTGAAGACATTCCTTAGCAGTTTTTCTGTATGCAGCTCTCGTGTTCCAGCAGGCGATAAACGTGCAGCACGATGTATGTAGTCAATGTAGTCATAACTTGCACCTTGCAAGTCGGAATCGGCGCTTTGCAATACATTTTCTGCCCGAGATGCCACCATCTCAGGCAGGCTTGCAGAACTGAAAACGAATTGAAGTCAGCCTCCGAATACTTTTTGGCTGCGATCTCTTTGTGCATGTCACTCGTGATGCAAGCGAGCAGTGGGTGTGCAGCTCTGTATAGATTTCTGTCATTCTGTGGTTCCCGGCGACACCCTGCAAGGCTTCTATGACGACAGAGGACATGTTTGGGAGCTTTGGGAGCTAAGGGCATACGACGGCATGGTTGCCCCTAAATGACTCAGTCGCGAGTGTTGAGTCTGATTCATAGGCACAGGCCCACAGGCGCGACAGATACAACGATTTTGGAAGCCTCGCTTCGAGGAGGTCTCGGCTCAACGGCTCCGGCTGTTCGTGCCACCGTCCATCACTGCACTTCTCAAGAAAGGGCAGGCTGGGGAGCTCGAGAAAGGTCGATGAAGATGAAGCAGACGTGAGTCGAGCTGTTTCAAGCTGTCGTTGTTTTGGGTGCTTATATATGGCGCAGTTGTGCAATCAAAGACAACCCAGGTTCATGCTAGGCTCAGTCTCTCCAGTCGACTGTCTTGCACTCGGACTTCAAGCGGACTTTGGAGGAATGAACTCCACGTCTTCTGCATGACTTGGAGCCTTGAAGCCTTCTGTTTCTCTACGTGCCCACGCGATAAGATCCAACATGGGGATCTGCCCCTGCGATCCGACAGCACTGCGGTTCGCAGTGTTAACTTGGGTGCTCTGCACCGGCAATAATCACACGAAATTGCTGAGAGGCACCCGCGGAGGAGATAGACGACGAAACTCGTGATCTGCAGCTGCTCGAGGAGGGCTTGTCACCCAAACCCTGGAAAGGACTGGCTTTCAAAACTGCCCCCATGGTCGCGCAGTTTTTAGGGAGGCGGAAACGGCATGAAAGCACTCGTGCAGCAGTGTTTACCTTGATTCAACATGGCCGGAATGCATCAGGCTTCAGCAGGGATTGTCAACAGAAGCCTTCGGCTCGCTTCGCCAGGATTCCATGAGGAGGTGGAGACCTTTTTCTTGGACTCCTCTCTGCCGGCCGAGTGCGAGGATGCTGGAGTATAAGGCATGTGGAGCCCGACAGATAAACCCTCGAGCGCTGCCTCAAACGTCTCATGCCTCGCAACACTCTATGACTCTATGAGCGAGCCAAGAGCAGATGTTCTATTTGTGACCTTTCCGAGTTCAGAGTGCTGTCGGGGAACCGGAGCTAGCACCAGAACGTGAAGACAAATTCGATCCAAAGCCCTTGACAGCGAGGAGATGGAGCATGCGGAGGAGGAAGCTGACAGCGAGGGAACTCGAGCAGACTCCACGAGCCACCAAGGCTGCCTCGTCTCGAGCTCCGAAGTGCGGGAACTTGCGGGAACTTGTGACATTCACAGGATGTGCATGTAGGGTAGCAGCCTTTGCTTGTCTGCAAGGTGATTCAGAGACCATCAGCAGCGACAATGAGGTCGAGGAGACCAGTCTACTGTTTAGGTGTGAGGTGAAGCAGTGTAAGTCAACAGCAAGATTGAGAGTGCTTTCGAAGACCGGAGCGGTTGCTAGGACTTCTTGAGTTCGGCCTCCGAGTCGGAAGATAGTGTGGTGGATGAGGACCTTCCCCATAACATGTGGCCGGACTTGGCCCGAGAAGCGGGGAGGCTACAGAGCTTGCAATCCGGAAGTTTCGGTGTAGGTGACGCTTTGTCACTTCTATGTCACTACAGTACAGGATCTCTTGGAGACAGCCCCGGCAGTTGGTACTCGAGCTCCTTGGCACAAGACTTGAGGTGGGCCGGGGGGACCTGATGCCTTTTGAGTTGAGCACGGGCCTACTGTATGGGGTTTCAAACGGGCCTGATGTTGTTCATAGGATTGGGCTTCGTGTTTGGGACAGCATACAACGCTGCCGTCCTGCTGGTGCTGTTGGTGCCGTTTGACTCTGTCGCTGCTGGTCAACTGGTCATGCTTTCTGCTGCTGCGTCAACATCCACATGAGCAGGCATGGATGGCCAGTGGCAGTGCATGCCTGTTATCATCGGGCATGGATGCTTTGGCCCGAAGATGCGACTCGAGGTGCCCATCCCCACATCGCTCGCGCGCGCGCGCACGCACGCGAGTTGAGTAATAGGTAGAGATCTTTGCAGAATCTTTCCGGCTGCGTGTTTGGTGCCCTCCATTCGAGAGGGTCTGGAGGGGGGCCTTGGTTTCGTGATCTCAGGTGGAGGTCTATTTTACGGATGGCAGCTGGGTTCCTGCGGTAGTTACCCGTGCACGAGGCATGCAGGCACGAAGCTCGCCTGCAGCTACTCGTTTTGATCCCAGAGCATCATAGATCCTGGTGACCTGGTGCCTGCACTGGTCAGTATATCTGGCGACGCACTTCTGAGATGTAACTTGGGACACCAACGAGAATATGGAAGTACTGCGGGACCAGTGTCTTCTCGACTTCAGAGAAGATGTCGTGGCTTGGCACAGGGGAACCGCAGTGGTGGTGAGAGACGAGTGTGGATGAGTACACTGAGTCCACGCCAAAGTGTGTTCAAGGGCTGGACGTGTTTGCGCAGTCCGTGGCTCTCAAGCCCGTTTCGGGAAGAGCTATGGCTAATCTACGTTGATCTGAATTCTTCTTGCAGCTTTGCCTCTTTGCTGCTGACTGTGTACCGATAGGCCAAACCCAGATTTCGGCACCGAGCATGCAAGCATATTGAATCGGTGAATAGCATGTTTCTTCATGGCTCAGCTCGTGGCACAGAGGTGCGGCTGGCTGTGGGAGGAGAACTGCCGAGTGATTGTGGTGGGGACGACGACGAAGCTCAGCATGTCGAATGACCTCGTCCTCCGGTCGCAACAAAATTTATGCAAGTTACAAGTGTTAACAAGTTGTATATCAAGTCTTGGCATTCCGGGGTCGCAGAAGCTGCATGGCGGTGCGGGGCACAATCGGGTGCAGTCCCTTTATGTCGCACAGGAGAAGCTTGCGGAGATGTCGTTCGTGGGTTGCGGAGTGCTGAGTGAGATAACGGAGATGCTCACAGCAGAGCAACGATCGGCTTCCGAAGTCCTAGACCGAAGATTTGGGAGGGAAGTCTGTCGTCTGCTTGGGTGGCAAACTTTGCCACCTTATGTGAGCTCCCTTTTGGTGAGCAGCAGATTCTGCGGCGTACGCGTGCAAGAGACGCAGAGCTTGCTGCTTTCCGAAAGGTAAGTTTTGCCTCAGTTTTGAGCCACAGGATTCGCAGAGGTCCATTGATTCCAATTGCCAGCGCTAAGTTCCAAATAATGAAATCATCACGAGCCCTGAACAGCGAGTCTACTTGAGCGCCCCTCTTTCGAAGACGCGAGGGCGACCTCAGCTGATCACGTGGCGACTGGAAGCATCAGCGAAGCTGAAGCATCAAACGTTTTACCGTTTTACTCGTTGACCAAACGTGTTGGTTTGGTCAGCTCTTTGTCCAAGAACCTTCTTAGCTTTGGCACCTGCTCAGTTGGATATGGTAGCTGCAAAGCACCTGAACGTTTCCATGTTGAGAAGCGAGAAGAGAGAGAGAGCTTTCTTATGATCGAGCTTGCGAGTCCGCCGTGCACTGATGATCAATGCTAGCTCAGCCTTTTGACATCTTGAAGTGCGTACTTGTGCGTACGGTATGCCGGATGAACCTATACGCAGCCTGAAGCTACGTTGTGCGGCGTGCTGTTTTCGGCCCAAAAGCATGCAGCCACCAGCCACCCCAAGGGTGAGGAAGGCCTGGAGAAGCACGTATAGGAACATGAGTTAACATGTTTTCAACACACAAATCTCAACCTTGCCCCGGCTTCTCAAGTTTCCTAATCCCAGGTGGCAGGCAGCTGGCCTTCTGCGTCCCGCGTGTCATGGTAGCTTGGCTCGTGTGAGCGAGCGTCTTTGGGGCGACTTCTTGCTCGTTGGTGTTGTCGATCGTGTCCCATATCCTCCATGAGCTTGTGTGTGTTTGGACTCAGGCAGCGCAAGCGCAAAGAGCCCCGGACATCCGCTACTCTGATGTAGCACGCTATGTGAGCCTGCAGCGCAGCCGCATTGTGGCCACAGTGGCTTGAGAAGTGCATTTTGCAAATCTTTGCAACCGCTGCGGTGGGAAAGCCTGCTACAGGTCTTTGATGAAGGAACCACCTCGGCCGAAATCACAAGTCCGGCTCGATCCCTTGAAGGCACGTTGATATTCTGAAACACCCTGCGTTCCTCGAGAAATGGTGGGATCTCCTAAGCACTTTGGGAGGGACATGTGCCCGCCTGTCTGCGCGCCTGCCGGTGCCATGTCTAGAGCCCACCTTGTCCAACGCAAGGAACTGGCATCTTCGCGCATAGTGATACCACCGCCGAGTGGAGCACAGGACGAGCAGGTGGCTGCTAGGATTCAAGAGTCAGCACGAGAAGGCGCCCGGCCACCTTTGGAATGGGGGGGATAGCGTGGTCTGCCAAGGAGCGAATGAAGACACAGCTGGCGTGGCTCCGAGCCCAGCAGAAGGCGGAGAAGGACCCTGCGCACAGCTTCGCTTCAGCTTCTCCTAGGAGTTCATAGGAGTTCATGACCTGAAAGCGTCCAGGAAGAGCTCCACAGACTCGAGACTTGCCTCTCTGACTCCATGCTACTGGAGAAGAAGGCCCCAATCATGGGCAAGATCTGCAAAGTACCTGCAAAGTACGGGCAAGAAACATCAAGAAGGCTACGGACGATCCTGATCACCATGCATCGGCTTGCTCGCTTTCAGGTGCACAAGAAAACGGTCAAGGATCGTGAGAAGTTCGAGTTCCACCAAAAGCATGCAGCGGCTCAGCCTTGTCGGAGCAAGCCCCGCATGAGGGGTACTGAGATTATTGCCTTCATATCTTGCCGTCCATTGGCCTTGAGAAACTCAGGCTCAGGTTGGAGAGCAGATTCAGGCCATACAGGCCGTCTCAGCCATCTTCATATGCCAGCAGGGGATTCGCGGTCGTTGGCAAGTGCGCTTTATGTTGCATGAATGCTAAATCGGTCGTGCCATTGATCAGGCGGCACTGCAAGAAGCCTCAAGAAAGCCGGAGGCGCCGGGAAGCAGGGGATGTTAGGCCCCTAGCGCGTAAAAAAGGCCAAAGCAGTGCTGCCCGGCCGCGGCCCTCGGATGCCTACTCTGTAGATGTCTGTCACATAGATGCCAGTGCTGGCGAACGGCGTGCCTGACACCACGTTTTTCATGCTTGCAGGTGGCGAGCCCCGGAAAGCCGCAAGAGCCCCCAGCTGGCAGGACGAGATTTGGGAATGGGGACGTCCACATGGACAGAGTAGGTCAAGAGCGAATGCAGGATGACACAAGTACAGTCTTGAACTCTTGAACCTTCCTTGGGTCGCAAGTGGTTCGGGACAGCAAATTCAGGGACCTGCGTGGAGCACCTTGCAGGAGTAACCTTGAAAAGCCGCAAGACGAGTTGCCTGAGAAGCCCGAGAAGTCCACCAGCAACCGAGCGGCATAGTCCAGGAACGGTCCTAACGCGCCCTCGACTCGAGCAATGCTTAAGATTGAAAGTTTCTGCAGTTTCTGCTGACGTTTGTTTCATACCGTCGCCGGCGCACATTGACGCACGCGCACATCCTGCAGCCAATGTCGTTGGCATAAATGTTTCCTCGTTCTTCGCACCAGCAGAATAGGTTCCCTAGCATCACTGCAAAGGCTAGAGCCAGCAAGCTAAGGTGAAGTTCGGTCGCAGACCGCACCAGAGTTGGACCGCAAACGGGTTGAGGTCGTCGAGGAGGAGCCCGAGGCGGAGCTGAGCTTTGAACCTAAGCTAAAAACGCGTCGTGAATCGCTCCATATGCTCCATACACTCTTGCCGGCAAGCCCTAACCTCTAAAGCCTAAACCCAGTTAGGCAGTTGCCACCATGTCTGGCTTCAAATTCTTGGGTTTCCATCCCTACAGGTGGCCGAGGACTCGCACATTACCCTCAAGGAGTACTTCGATGCTGCAGACAAGCGGCAAAAGCAGAAAGAAGCAAAGCTCACGCTGCTCGGAGCAATACAGATTTGTTTCATCCACACCACGCATGATATGGTGTAGCAGAAGTAACCATTGCAGATTGCCGGAAAACCAGTCGACAGCACCCGTCGCAACTTAATCTTTGGTTGTTGCACTAGAGAAAGCAGGCAATCGCAGCTGATGAGTGCGTCTGCGAGATCACAGGCCAGATTGGGGAAACTCTCAGTTCTGTATTGGGCAGAGATGCGTGTCTCAGAAGTCTGGCATGCAGGGCTCCTCGGCGATGCGAAGTACCTTTCACAGCACCGGGCAGAGCAGCACCTGAACTGCAGCGAGTGCCGTGGAACTGATGGTTTCGTGTTTTCTTCCGCCCCTTCCTGAGCCCCCCACAAAACCTATAAATGCAGTGTGTTCTGTTCTGAGCAGTAACTCTGAACCTCTGTTGCCGAGGCTTCTGGCGCCGGCCGCAACTTAGCCCAGAGGAGATCCTTGGCTGAGCGCACTGAAACTGCCCCAGTGCTCCCCAGGCTACCCTGAGTGCACCCCTGCACTTTGCCCTCCACTTTGCAAGGTTAAATTGTGCTGAGTTGCATGTCAATATTACCCAACAATTTCAAGTGAGTACTGCTAGCCAACAGGGAGCTACACTCCGAATAGCTCTTCTGAAAGGCGCATTGATCGCATGGGCTTGCTTTGCCAAACAGAAAATGGGACGCTCTGGCGGAGCAGATATTCGAGAGGCTGCCCTCATCCTGACACCTCCGAAACAAAACGACTGGAAAATGCAGGTGGAAGATGCGGTGCCTGTGCAGTACGGTATCACTTAGACTTAGACTTCGACTTGCACCCACTGTTTCGTACCACAATGCCGGCATCACATGCGCGAACCATGCCTTGGGCTTGTACATGCAACAGGTGAGTGTCTTGTTGGGCAGCTTTGACAGTTCCCTTGCTCCGTGCCTGCGCAGCTGATCAAACGCCATCGTTGCCACCATACTGGCCGCAAAGATACCTGTTAATTGCTGCAAGTAAGGCTTGCTCTACAGCAGGAGGAGACACTTGGCACAGCACATGCGTTATAAAATGAGAGAAAAGTAAGGGGCAGCCACTTAAGAGCTACAAGCTCGGGGTCTCGATGAATTTGCCGCGGGACTTCTGTTCCAGTTTGCCTAGGATGCGCTGCCCAAGCAACTCAAAGCTTCAAAGCACCATAAAGCACCAAGGCATCGGCAGGCTATACGCCGTGAGCTCATCGTGTCCTGGCACAGACTGTTCCTGTCATCTTTGCGATGTCACAGCTTACACGTACCAACATGCTGAGTCTCCCTAGAGAGCACCCTTGCTCGCGCTTGTGATCAGCTGAGCTCTCTGGCAAAGGCTGAGGAAGCTCTCCCCGAAGTCCCTTGTGCCTTAAGGACAGATGCGGCGCCCCTCGTGCTGCCTTCCGGAAATTGGACTTGAACGGCAGTGGCAACATCAGCGGCTTGGCTCTGGGCATAAAACATTCGTTTCGGAGTCTTATTCTTGCAGCCCTCTTGCAGTGTCTAAGCTGAACCAGGGATTCAATGGGCCACGGGAATTCCGGTTACAGGATGCATGTGTGCCATGTTCTCATCCAAGGCTCACAAGAGTTCGCGGACGGAGTAGCCAGGTGCGGACGTAGACCATTGGATGACTGTCCACTGTACGTACCGTTGCTAAGTTGCTGGCCCTCTGCCTTAAGATTGTTTCACTGGCAGCAGGATGGGAGTGAACTGGCAAGCCATCACCGGTCTACAGCGGAACCGGGATCTCTTCAAGATGTTCGATGTGGACACTGCAGCAGACAGCTGTGATGTCAACAGAGTTTGTCCCGGCTTCACTGCTTAAGCCACGATGGGTAGCAACACCGTGGACTTACAGGCTTGAGTAACTTGAGTAGCGTCAGCACTGACGTTTAGTTTACGTGCGCCTGGGTCACGTTTGCAGCGATCGATCCGGTGTCATGCTGGCCCCCATCACCTCCACCTGGCTTGCGAAGGATAAAGATGGAGTCATCGTTTACAAGGAGCTGTTTCCTGGCATTGATGACAAGGCGCGACCGCGTCAATGCAGACGGGTCCACAGAGAGAAGCTTGAAGACCTTGCTTGTACATCCTACCGTGCAAGCCAGAGCCGCAGGTGTTGAAGAGTGTATCCAAAAGGGTTAATTCTTCTTACCGACCCTGGCGCATCCTGGCGCCACGGTGGAACATAGCACGAGCTCGCTCTGCAGGAACCTGAGCGGGTGAACACGCCAGATTTCTGGAAGAAATGGGTGCTCCAGAAGTGTCGCTTGAATACAGAAGGGTCAACTGGCTTCGGTTTGTTAGTCTTGACATGTCTTGACGAAGTGCCTGTCAAGCATACAGACAGTTATGGCTTGGGGTTCCGAGATTCAGAGACCGGGATCTAAAGAGTTATACCCCAAGGTGACGTGGAGAACGCGCGGGATCCAAGGTGGCAACCGCAGACTCCGGAGGCTCGCAATTTACCGTGGTCCCTTTTCGATACCCTCGCAAACCAGTACATCGACACATGGGTTCCCTTAGGATTGGTTTTCGCCAGACCCTTTGCCAGGCAGAACTCGAGCAGCTCTTCAACACATCCGAATCTTTAGTCCGCATAGTGCCTGTGCATGATACCATCATATACCATCATGGGATCAGGAAGAATTTCCCGAAACATGCTCCATTCTCACGCGCAGGCTTCGCAGGCTTCGGGTGCTTTTAAACTGCTTGTTCGCTCAGCCATCCTCTCGTCGTGCACGAGAGCAAACCTATCTCCGGCCTCGACCTTCATAGGCAGGCGTTTATGACCTGCCCTGGAAGCTCATTTCCTCTCGGTCTTTCTCTTGGGTAGGCATTGGTTTTGGCAGGAGTTTGTCTTTCTCGCGCCACCGTGGTGTTGTTGTAATTTTCGAGGCGGTCACCAGCCGTAAAGCCATGTTTAAGGCTCAGAATCGGCCCCCAAAATTTGGAACAAACAGAAACTTTGTCAAGGAGAGCCACGAGAGCGCGGCGCAGCTCCGGAAATGGATGGGTGCGACGATCCGGCGGCTCAAGAACCGAGGCAAAAGTGCTCGAGCTGCATCGAGCGCTAGGCTCCGTCGCATGGCCGGAGCTCCCCAGGCTTTTAAGGGCCCTCAAGGGCCCTCAGTACCTGAGAGAACCTGCTACCATGCTGCTACAAGTAGACGTTAAGCCAGCAAGGTGATGCGCGCTGCCGCGAGATCGTGGCAGCTCATCTGCCTCGTGGCACAGGGCCCAAGGACCGCGAGGACGTGCAGACTTTCAGCCACTTAGCATTGTCATTGTTGGTGCAAGGGAAAGAAGGGTAGAGTCGCGTCCGGCCTGTGCAACTTGCGTGCTCGGCTCCTAGCACATGCGCCCTCATGCTGCCCAGGTTCTGCGGAAGTCAAGCTCTGCAAGAAGACCTACAATGACGAGGTGTTACCCTCTCTTAAGCATGGTCAGGTTTCACGGCCCGACGGGGCCCGGCATCTTGAAGCAGCAAGTGCATACCAGATCTGGTTCAGGAGATGTCCGGATAGGATAAAGTCAGGAATTTGGGGCGGAGGGCAGGTGCTTGAGAGCAAGACAACACAGGACAGTCTTGAAGGTTTTAAAATGCGGCTTCGGGTTTTTGGGGGCGGGGCCTTCGCATGTTTCTGGTGAAGATTGCCTGAAGGAACGATTAAAGGCTCCGCCAAAGGGGCTGATAGACTTCACTCAATTCATCATATGTCAAAGGCACTGCTCCAGTTGTTTTCATTCTTTCACGGAGTTTTGGAAACCCGCACGATGGCAGATGCCTAGAGTGTCTCAGGGTCCTGATCGTCCCCAGCGATCAGCGCTTTGCCAATTCGAGACTTGCGCGGAAAGTTCTCGTCCAACTCAGCAGGTGAACGATCCCGTGCGGAACATCCAAAAGGTCTTCTACGACTCTTGGATTCTTCAACAGACTTGCGGGTTTCCATGGGTGTTCGGGGGACGCAGTGGGTGAATTCTCTGCGAGAAGCTGCCCCCCTCAAACTTCGCTGTCCATGAACACGTGCAGCAACGACTGCAGCCAAGCAAAAGGGCAGCAGCAGGCCCAGCCAACAGTTGCCTGCTTAGACCAGGACATGCGAGAGCAACGTCGCATCCTGCATGACTCGCGCCAGAAGCTGTGGATGGTGACTATGGCAGCTTGACCACAAACCGATTCCTGGCAGTTTTGTACTCAGGGCCATGTCTGTCTCCTCTTGCAAGGCACCGCTCGAGCGCGCGAAGCTTGAGGAGGATAGGAAGTCTGCGGCCGCTGCTGTTGGCTTGTCGTTGGGCGGCCTCGGTGGCGGCGTTGGAAGCGCTGCCAAGGCAGGGAAAAGCTCAGGTATAACGTTCAATTATATAGTCTGCTCAGGTCTCTCTGTGTCTTTGCGGTTCAGTGTTCCAGCAAAAATGGCCAGACTTCAACTGTATCTTCGATTCAACGGTATCTTCCACTGTATCCAGATGACGGATTCTAAGGCGTTAAGCTGATTTGGCCAAAGCTCAATGCACATGTGGCGGACCCCATCGGTACATGCCTTCTGGACAGACCACTTCTGTGCCAGGAGACAACAGATGCTCCCGCTCAGGCTGTTGCCCGACCATGCACATGGATTGGCCTGCTTCAGCACGCGCTGCACTTCGCTAGTTATGGTAGATCACTCTTGGAATCCCGAGGTGTTTCGTGTACTGCTGCAATGCCTGCAAATTGCTCAAGTGGGCAGTGTCGCATGCACTGGCATGCGGCCACGTGCAACAGCCCTCAATCATGTACACTAGTGTCAGCTGGAATAAGCAGCTCGAGCCTGTGCAGAGCGATTCTTCGCGAGCAGGCCAAGAAGTCTCTCAAGATCATCGCTCAGCAGAGCAAAATGGATGAAGATGCTGTTGAGTTCCTCCACAAGGATCCTGATGCATGTGTGCAGGCTTGCTATTTCTCTCCCTCTGACTAGCAGGTCTGTTCCGCGTAGCTTGGTGTCATGGCATGATTGTCTGCAGTTCACAAGTTCTTACATTGACAACAAAGAACGGTGCACACAAGGACATGTTGTTGTTCCGTAGCCCCCTCCCCCCCTCGCGGTTTGCAGATTTTGCCCTTGCTTTGGCTCCGAGGAGTTCGCAGCTCAAGCAGACAAGAGCGACATGATCCTGAAGAAGGACACCTTGAAAATGTTGGGTTCCCGATGTATGGGAATGTATGGACATCCCAGTGGTCGGGTCTAGTAGACTTAGTAGGCAGTTTGCGCAGACATGAGGCTACCATGGTCCCCTGACTCCCCAGTTCACCCAAGAGCACTTTCGGTTTGCTCCATACAATTCAAGAGCCCCTGCAGGGCTTCCAGCGACTGCTCAAAGGCCTCTGTCTCGGACGCCTCATGGCCTCAACAAGCTTCCGGGTTAGGGATTCGGATTTGGTTAGTGTGCTTGGAGTAGAAACAGGGCTTTTGTTTGCCAGCGGTTTTGCAGGTTTTCCTTTGGGCCGCAGTTGACCAGGCACCATCTCGGATAGTGACAGCAACTACTGGCATCTGGGCTGCAAGCCGGTCGCCTTGCGCGTGGAAGTGGTTCCTTGGTGTTAGGTCCCCTCAAGGCCCTTCCCACCCCCCATCCCCTGGAGGTGGGAGCAGGCTGTGCGCACGATGCCGGCGCCGGAGGATGGCCGGAAGGTCCACGAAGAAGTTGGGCGTGGCTTCATGGTGTTGAGATGTATGTAACAGACAGAGATAGATAGATAGATGTACATATATATATATAAAGGTTCTGGTCTCGCTCCCTCCCTCATGCCTCATTTTCAGCCGCACCTAGAGTGCCTGAAGGTGCAGGTCTTAGACTTCGAGCGCTTCGCGATGTGGTATGCGACTTCAGAGGCACGTACCGTTTGAGCCACTTGTAGGCACTCAGGTATTTCTAGATCTGGGAAGCATTCCACCACGTGGGGAATCCACAGCAATGACTGGACTGCCCATGTTGCCGCTGCCGCTGAGGGACGTGACGCCTGACTGCAGGGGATTAGCCAGCCAGCTCGGTAGGCTGGCCGAAGCTTATTCGTGCGAATACTCATCCATTAACATCCGGCTGTGTTCAATAAATCCAGAGTTAGTCTCACAGTGCTACTACCAGGAACAAAGGGGTTGCATTTTTTGTTTCAGACCTCGCAACACAGCCGCAGAACAGAACGTTTCACTCGTGTGGTTGTAATGGCAGCCGCTTTGTTACATCCGCAGCTCAACTCCTCGTGCCTCATGCTGCTCACGGGCAGAAGGAAGTGACGAAAGTGACTGCTTAGTGTGCTAAGTCGACTTTGGTTGAACCTGTTGGCAGGCATCAGAAAGTGTCTTATAAAGTCTTTCCGCGTGTGGAGCTGCGCTGCGTTTTCTCGCCGTCGTGAGATGTATCATCCTTGCAGGTGAAGCATCCTCAAAGCATGTTCTGCAGTCTGTTGTGCCGTGTCCAGCTTTCTTATCCAGGAACAAGAAGATTTCCCTTTTCATTTCGAGATGTTCGAAGTACAACCTGTTGCCTCGGTGGGCTGTCTCCACGACAGCGCAGCACAGCTTGCTCACGGTTTCACACGTAGTCGACGTTTCATAGGTTTGGCCAGCAGTTGGCGGATGCAGACACTTGTTGAGCTGCAAACGTTGCGCCAGGTTCGGAAGAGCTTCTGTTTGTCAAGTTTCAGAATGAAGCGGCAGCAGCTCATCAATTCGAGTCAGTTGTGCAAGGTGCTTCTGCACACAGGCCGGCAACATCAGCACAAGCCTCAAAGACTAAAGACGGCAAACTTCAGATTCGACTTTCACATGATTGTCACTCAAGGATCCGAGCACATCTCGCAGACGCTGGGCATCCGCTTGCTTCAATCCTCAGCATTTTTGTGGAGCCTGTCAGCCAAGCATAGCAGCATCTGCCTCTGCCTCGCGGATTCAACGGCTGAGGTCGGTGATACTCAGTATGGTGGCGCAGCACCGACATGGAGCCGGGCTTACTCGTCGCTCGAGACGACTTTCACGCTAGTCAGTGTGAATATGGAAACCTTGCGTATAATGCCCCAGAATGGTTTCTCCACAACACGTGAAAACTCTTGCGAGTTGTGGCCTGTACGAACGGTGTGCCGGCCATGTTCGTCATCTTTTCCGAAGTGTACCTGGTGTACCAAAAGTCTTTTCTGATTGCCTGCTTTCTTTAAATATGCCCCTGGCGAACATGCTTAGCTGTAGTTATAAGCTGCTATGTAACCCGATTCCTGCAAAGGCGCGGCAGATTTAGCTTCAGGGGCTGCATCTGGTGCGAGCTAGTGTCAGCGCAGCTTCCATGGCAGCACACATGCCTGCACCAGGTGCGCTGCATGTTCTTAGCCTCAGCTTGCCATCAAGCCTGGCTCCAGGTGCCCCCGCACTTTTCTTCATGCAGCGAGCATTTGTCTAGATGCTCAACCCTCAGCAGACAAGCTCACGTCTTGACAGGGTGGCTGTTCTGTAAGATGCGTTTTGGAGCTCCTGTCCATCTTCTTGAACTGAAGGGATGCATGGGGATGTGGCAGCAGTTATTAGGGGTCGCCTGAGGGGTCCAAGCAACGCGGGAGTTCATTGGTTTTGCTTGCACGCTTGTTGGCCATCTGCCTGAGAAGCGACGATCTTCTTGCAAGCTTGATCACGACGTTAAGAACATGTTCTTGGGGGCCCTTCTGCCAGCTTAGGGAGACCAACACGTCTAGCTAGCCTCGTGAAATACCATGTGCTATGTGCCACCACGTGCCATCCTGTGCCACCTGTGATGCATCTCTTGACGCTGTGCCACCATGCGCAGCCTGGAGTCATGATGCAAAGGTCGGAAATGGAGACTTCAACGTCCAATGCCCCTTGCCAGCCGACTTGTGTGCGGCTTTGGGGGAGCTGGACCGGCCGCACAGCTTCGGAACATGACATGTCCATGCAGGTCATTGTGACATAATTACTGTGGCATTGTCGGGGCACCTGTCGGGGCACCTGTCGGGGCACCTGTCGTGGCACCGCGCACCTCCAGGAGCCCAGCGAAGCGCAGAGCCGCGGTCGATTGCGAAGTATTGAGAGTGTGCGCGGAGTGGAAAGAGTGAGCTCACAAGCACAGGGGCCGTAAGAACTGAGTGGTGCGCCGTAGATCGAGCCGTGCATCCGTCACGCTTGAAAAACTGGGCTTTGGGAAGCTGGCTGATTTGGTTCAAGTTTGACTCAGAGAGAGCCATGCGACCAGACCGTAGAGTGTAGAGCAGCCTGAACAGACTGAGCAGAGTGAGCAGACTGTATCAGACTGTACTCGACCGTGGAACAGTCGAAGTTCCAGGGGTTTCGGACCCGAGTTCTTATGGTTCTTTCAAGCTCTGCGGTCTCAGGCATGAAGTCTCTGGTCTCCTCTGGGCTCCCGCATCCTGCCTGCTGACCCTTAACACTCTGAAGCCCACAGCGATTCAAGATTAAAGATCCGAGAAGCAGTTGTAGACAAAAGTGCTCGAAGCCTCGATGGTGGGCCTTTCTGGCAGATCCACTTCTCGAAGGCCTGTCCTAGCAGCCTAGAGCGTGCGGATTCTTGCCTTCAGTTCGTTAGTTCACACCCCGGGGTCGTTGCTTCAAACGTCTTCTGTTGTTGCGCACTCTATAAGACCATGCAGCTGATTGCCAGGCGGAGCACAAGCCGCGGCAGCCCGCGAGGAAGTCCCAGGAGGGGCAGTCCACCAAGAAGTCAGCGAAGGAGCCCTCCGAGGAGGAGCCCTCCGAGAAGGAGCCCTCCCAGGAGGAGTCCTCCGAGAAGGAGCCCTGCGAGGCGCAGCCCTCGACGTCGCAGCAATAGCCGTCGCCACAGCCCTCGAAGAAGTTTGGGCGCACGCCGACGCTGTAGCCGCAGCCGCAGCCCACGGGGAAGCCCGCGACGGAGCCCAAGGCGGAGCCCACCACGGAGAGGAAGCCCCCGACGCAGCCCCAGGCGGAGCGCGGGACGGCGTCCAAGCCCACGTAGAGCCAGCCCTGGCAGGCGTAGTCCTCCCAGGCGCAGCAACAGCCGAAGATGCAGCAGGAGCCGAGGGCCTCGTGATGGCCGAGATGCGGCCAGGCGCAGTCGAAGTCGCAGTGCTCCTCGAGGCAGCCCGAGGCGGAGTCGAAGTCCACTGAAAGATGATGATGCTCAGAAAGGTTGCTCGGCAAAAGCTAGATCTCGTGTGCTGCATGTGAGAGATTGGACTTTTTGGGATATGTTCACGTCAATGTGGGGTGCCCTGAGAGACGAGGGCGTCTGGGAGCTTGGATACTGCAGGCAAAACTTCCGAGGAAGATGCTGGAGCAGGTTTGGCAGGGTTTGCAGCAAGGTTTCGCAGGTTGGGTGGGCGACGCAAGTGCGACCTGCTACCTGACCTCAAAAGCAGCCGAAAAGAACCAACTCTACATGACTTTGCATGGGTCAGTTTTTGAAAAGACCTTCGCGATTGTCACGGTAAGCTGGTAGATGCATGGGTGCTGGGGTGGGCCGAGCTGGTGTGTACGAGGCTTCAGGAAAGTATGAGGCATACTTCTGGGTTTGGACAGGGAACCAATATGAGCACCCTTCGCCCTTCGTAGCCCTGCAAACGAGGGTCACTCATCATGGCACCTTCTGCGTGCAGGCATCCAGCTTTCTGACGGCAAGGGTGGCGAAGGTCGGTAGCCAAGATCAGGTGACTGATCTGAGTTTGGAGCTGCGTTTGTAGGGAGATCTGTATCCTCAGGGGGATCGGGCCTCCTCACCGCTGATGTGCTCGCTGAAGCAGCGAAAAGGCACAGTCTTGGATCACTGTGGTCAGGTCTTCGCGAAGAAAACCCATGCAAACCCTCGTACCTAATGTGCCTTGCATGTGCGTGCTGGTGTGAAGGCAGCTCCTCAGGGCTCACCAGCAACGTAGCCATAGTCTCTCAAGCTCAGCTTCCCCAATCAGAGCGTACCCTTTTCATGCCCTGCGACCAATGGCACCAATGACAAGACTGCATGTTTGGAGATCAAACAAACGTTCCACTGTCGACAAGCACGAGGTCATCTTCATGCCCTGGTCATACCGTTGAAAAGTGACATCTGGTGCCACGCTGAGACGTTCCTGAAATGTGGCGGCGCAGCTTTCTACATCCTCGTCAACGGGACGTGGCCAGAAGGGTGTGAGTGGAAGCTGAAGATTGAGCGCCCACACTGCGGGAGCACTTCTACTAAACAAAAGCCTTCTTGAACCAAGTTCTCGGAGAACCTCCTTCAACCCAGAAAGCCAGGCACTGCACCTGTCGCTGAATCAGATGAGGCCACTGCTGGCAAGGCCTTAAAAAAGTTAAGTCAGTGGCAAGCATGGAAGAGCTGCAACAAGAGGATCTTATCTGTCGTGATGGAGCATGGAGGATTTGGCATGCGCCGCTATCAGCCAGAGGTGGCCGGCCTCACTTGCGGGACGCAAACGTCATGTGCTGTGCCAAGTGCAATCAAGCAGGCTGGATGTCATGCTAGCTGGCAAAACAAAACTGTTTGCGCTCTAAACCCTGTGAATGCACACCGCCGTCATGCCCAAGGCCTTGCAATGATGTAGGTATTACGTAGATTATGTAGATTTCGTCAGCAAAGATTCACACGACTCCGCTGCCGAATTTTTGCAGAAGGAAAAAGTGGGAGGATTCGTGGGATCAGTGCCGATGCCAAAAATAGTTCTACCGGAGATGTGGCCGCATCGTTGGTTCTCCGCAAAGTTGCCACTGCCAGGGCCGCCCTAGCCCGTGCGAACGCCATCAAGACCTTGCACGCCTCGCGAGACAGGGCCTGTGTCCTTGGACCCGAAAGGAGGTTCGAGGTTTCGGCCCAGTTGCAACAAGGCATTGGCTTTTTTGACCTACAGAGTGGCATGTTAACCGCCGGGTGTGTCCCTGAAGTCTACTGAAAGGTTTTCTTCTTGCAGGGCCATTGCTGCTGGGCTGCAATGGGCAATTCCGGCTGTCGCGCACTCTACAAAAAAGTTGCTCCGTTCGTTGCAGCCGCATTTTTGGACCTTGATGAACTGACCCGACTTCTGATGAGACAGTGCCAATCAAGAGCTAAGGCAAGCTCTACTCCAAGTGCACCAACTTTCACCCCCAAGATGAGGCTGAGAAGCAGCGTCGCTGACCTGAAATGACCCATGATCTGATCTTTGTCTCCCCACGCGCCACTGTTGTTCCTTGTTCTGCAACGCCTCCTAAGGCTGGCTTGACGACTACTTTGCCACCAAGTGTATGCTCGGAGAGTGTCTTGCCAAGCAGTGGCGCATGTGATCACTCGCTTTTGATGCGCTCTGCATTCGCTGCTCGTGGACGCGTTTTGATCGCTTTAAGTGCACGACGCCAGCAGTCAGGGCTTGCTTGTCCGGAAATCACCCTTGATGGCCCCTGAAGCTGCTCGAAAGTTTATTCCACTTGGGAGAGTAACTATAACAATCGAAGGAGGTGTGCGTTTGTATCGTTGTTGTTGCATCTTCACGAGCAGAAGTCAACCTCACACTTCACAATCACACACGTCATGATCGCGGCATTCATCTTGACAGATTCATGGTTGAAACTTCAACGATCTGTTTTTTGTTTTAACTCGGTGTTTTTGGAACTGGTGGGGTTGGGGGTTCGACGCCAACTAAGTCGCTGCACCACGCCTGTGTCCCGGCTGCATGCAGTGGTTCAAGGTGGAGACACCCGGATTCACCTGTTCCAGCTACGGTGAATATGTAAGCAATCTGAGGTAGACAACCATCCCATGGTTGGTATTCTTAACATTCCTTCACCTTGAGCGCCTTGTCCCACCTTTCTGCGCTCAGGCTTGCCTGTACAACCACCCCGGACAAGTGAGGGGTCAGCCCCCACCCGGCGGCACGGTGGAGGATGCAGAGAGCCAGGCGCTGGACAGTAGCGACCATGGGCACAAGAAACTTCTGACTCCTGTGAAGGATGCAGTTTTCAAGGCCGAGAAGGTGGGCTGCTTGGAGTTGAACGCTTCCATCTTGCATTTTCGAAGCCAGTAGTCTTGCACACATCTTGGCTGCCTGTGCTGCTGCCGTCGACTTAGCATGTTTGTCATTTCGCCCTCGATTCATTGCTTGCTGCTGTGCAACCAAACTGTATTGTGAGAGTCCAAAAAATGGACTCTCGCGACTCTCGCTGCTGACCGGGAGGCAGCGAGAGAGAGCCTGAAGAAGGCGCAGGTGCCACGTCGGGGGGGTCGCCGTTGTGTGAGTGCAGAGCAGTGATGAGCAGTGATGAGTGCGGGGCAGCATTGTTCAAGAGAGTACAAAGAGAGTACAAACTAGCCAGAGATTCACAAAGCAGAAGCTGACTGAGCTGTCCATGCACAGGACGCCGCTCTGAGCAAAAGCAAGTCGGAGGCGCTGAAGAACTCCGAGATGTGCTTAACCCAATGCACGCTTTGAAGCTCATCTTTCTCGTGCACTCCGCAGTTGAGCCACCCCTTCTGCATGCATGCCTGTGGGCAAGGTCATTTGGGGGGGCGGGGGACCTGGGCAGGAGAAGACGCCGAAGCATCTGCACGAGGCCACCTTAAGAGACTCCTAGAGTGCAAAGTCTGTGCCATGGGTAAGATCGAGATTCGGCAGTATGACATACTTCTTCTATTTCAAAGGCAGCAGCTCATGCAGCGGCCAAGCTGGGGCTGAATCGGCCCCCGCCTCCACCTGGCCCTCCAGGCAGGGTCATAAGTGTTCAGGTCCCAGGCTTCCTGGGGCAAAAAAACTTGCTCAGCTGCTGGTGGTTTTTCCGACTCAAGATAGCTCGCTGCCAGAAGGTTCCGCCACCACTGCACAGCCGCCACTTGGCATCAAATTGCACCTGACCCAAACTGATCCTACATTCGCCGCAGCCATGCTTCCTGGTGCTGGCCGGCAGTCGCGGCATCTTCCTCTTTCGCAATTTGTCACTGTGGGCTTTGGGTTGAAAAATTACCATAGTGGCCCACAGCTATCCCAGGGATTCGCATCGACAAGGCTGCTACAAGCCTTGGATAGCTTGAAGTTTCTTCTGGACTCTCTGAGGAGTCTCTGCGTGTATATGACGCGTCCGGTATAATTAAGCCTTGGCTGAGGCCCTCTCCGACAGCATCGCCCCTTGCTGCAAGAGACAGGGTCGATGGAGCTGATACGTTTGTTCTTCTTCCCTGCTGCGGTACGCAGGGCAGTGCGTAGGGCTGTTAGACTGTCTAGAGCATGTTGTGACGAAGGGCATTGCCACCGCCGCCTCCGGCGCCTGATGACGATCCTATGGAGGCGGAGATCCGCCGCATGATGCAGCAACAGCCACGCAGCTGCAGACTGAAACCCATGTATGAGTCGTGGGAACACGGTGACCTTGCGCGGCATGATGCAGCATGGGGTGGGCAACTCTCAGGCAAGAGGAATACCAAGCGAAGAAGGCGCAGAGTGGAAGCAGTCCCTCGGCACCCGACACTCTGAGACGAATCTCCCGTCAGCCTAAGGATCCTAAGGCCTTTTGGGCCTCAAAGGAAAAGTGTGAGTCCTGGTATGTCCTGAGGTATTGCTTGTCCATGGGTGACATCAGAATTTGCCACAGTTGTCAGGTGAAGAGTTTCGTGTGTTTTGAAGGCTTGCTGACGTGGGAAAAGTAAGGCGTGGCCAGAATCCGAAATCGTGACCGAACGCAGTTTCGGTTTCATCAACGCTACACTTTGTCTCGCACCATGATGCGGCATGTTTCGTGAGAGAAGCAACAGTTGCCACTCTTTGGGTGACCGTTGAGAGAGGCCGCCGTTTCAACCAAGGATCACACGAATTGCGACCAAAACTGTTGTTTGCACGGTACTGCATGCCAGATCATGCCAGCGTCACTGTTCGTTTCTCGCATGTCTTGTGATACATTCCGTGATGCAAGCTGCTGGCAGAGAGCCAAGGTATGGGAGAGCCGGATCCCATGACAACTGGTGGCCGCAGCGACAGCAAAGGCACTGAAAATGGCAACGCCGGCGGTTGTGGTGCCTGTGGCAGCGGATCTGGATGTGCTGGGTGCAGGGGCTGCTCTGGCTGTGGCTGTGGTGGCTGTGGTGGCTGCGGTGGCTGCGGTGGCTGCGGCGGCTGCGGCGGCTGCGGCTGTGGTGGCTGTGGTGGCTGTGGTGGCTGTGGTGGCGGTGGGTGCTGCAACTCTGGCTGCGCATGTGGCAGTTGCGGCAGTTGTGGCTGTGGGTCATCCTGCGGAGGCTGTGGCCCTTGCGGCTGCGGCGGCAAAGGCGGATGCTGTGGCGGATGCGGTTGTGGCGGAGGTTGCGGTGGCTGCGGTGGCTGCGGTGGCTGCGGATGCGGCTGCAAAGGGGGTTGCGGATGTGGGCCGGCAGGCTGCGGAGGTGGTTGCGGAGGCTGCCGCGGCTGCGGATGTGGCGGAGGATGCGGAGGATGTGGAGGATGTGGCTGTGGAGGAGGCTGCGGTTGTGGAGGAGGGTGCGGCTGTGGCGGCTGCGGATGTGGTGGCTGCGGAGGCTGTGGAGGGTGTGGCTGTGGTGGATGCGGATGCGGTGGCTGCGGAGGTGGGTGCTGCACGAATTGCGGTTGTGGAAGTGGAGGTTGTGGGGGAGGCTGCGGCGGCTGCCGTTGTGGAGGATGCGGCTGTGGTGGCGCAGGCTGCGGCTGCGGTGGGTGCGGTGGGTGTGGGGGTTGTTGTGGCGGTTGTGGTGCGGGTTGCGGTGGCTGCGGTTGCTGCGGCGGAGGCTGTGGAGGCTGCGGAGGCTGCGGCGGCTGCGGCTGCGGAGGTTGCGGAGGTTGCGGAGGCTGCGGCTGCAAAGGAGGATGTGGCTGCTCAAACATGGGACCCGGCATGGGCAGCAAGGGCTTGGGCATGTGACTGCATGTGATGTGGCAGCAGGTGACAATGACAGAGCCCAGCAAAGCCCAAAAAAACGCGCGGAAAAAGATGCCATCAGGCCATCCGGGCCTCATCAGGATGCCTTGATGTGCTTTGCTTGTGTTGGACAAGTTGGTCACAATATGTCACAATGATGGTACAAGGATAGCACAGAGAGCTATAGCTGCATGTCCTACATGTTACATGTGCAGCGCTTAGGCTTGTTCAGGTGGACGTCATGCTGGGACTGGTGGTACTTGACGATTGAGAATCATGGCATTCGCTGTGGCCTGTGGCTTACGAGTAACGGAGGACACAGACGCAGGCAGATGAAGTCGAACATCATTTCTGCGACATGAACAACGAGCTGCGACAAGCAAGTAGTTTGAGCAGCCTGGCAATTGTGCAGTATCGCCGCTTGCCATTCAGTAGTTCGTTGAGAAGGTTTTCAAGGGCACGATCCCTGGCTTCAACAAACTTAGTCTCGTTAGTTTTCCATCCTTGAGAGCGATGTCGGGATACGCTCAGCAAGCTGTGGCAAAGAAGAGCACATCTGACAAGAAAGGTGGGGCTGGGCGGGTGAGCGAATCAGAAGCCCAATGCCTGGAACAAAGGCTGAATCTTGCTGTGTAGTGATTCAGGTTGATTCAGGCAGCTAGATGACCAGCTCTATATACGTTCATGTAACGCCTGCTGAATGGCATGAAGTGCTTCGTTGCTGATTCCTTTTCCGCGAGGCCCTCCAACCAAGGAGCGGGTAGAGCGTCGGCCAGATCGGACCAAGCCCATGAAGTTCGACAACGAAAGTGGCGTCGATGCAGAGGGATCAGGGCATAGGGGTTCAGGTTTTGTGAGGGAAGGAACAGTGTACAGAAGGCGACAGAAAACCGTAAGAGTTCCAAGTCAAGTCTCAACGGCTTCCAATTTGGCCAAGGCGGCAAATGTGGGAATCCAGCAGAGGACAACTGGCGTCCAGGCAAGCGAATGAACATCCAGGCAGGGAAAGCCAACACTGAAAGGCCCTGCGGCCCTTGCGATTTCCAATCTCCCCAAAGCCATGGTGCAGCCTTTGCTCGGCAGACCGTACTTTATTTTGGGCAAGTGCCAGCTTCAATTCGTGTCGAGCTGTGACATGCCACGGCCGCCACCCCCGATGCATTTTTGGAGTGAGGCTCAGGATACCGGGCGAATACAGAACAAGACGATCGTGTCGGTGGAGAGTCCGGATGCTTGTTTGGTTAAGAGAGCGCGTGCCTTTTTTCCGTTTGTGTCCTCCTCTGCTGGTTCTTGATTTCTTGGAGCCCGTAGCGGCACTCAAAGGACTGGATGAAGTCCTTCTTCGAAAACAACCGCAACTACTTTGAGCAGAAAGGTATCGCTCAAAAGCTGAAGAAGCCAGCTGGAGGCAATGGGGGATATACGTTTACAACAGCAACGGTTGTTGGTTCAGGAGTGTGTCCCGAGCAAGACTGGCAACACTCCGCAAATCTCTCCTGACGTGCTTCTGTTGTAGGTGTCCTTGCTGCCGTGATCACCATGAATAGTGCTAAGCACAACTTCGTGCATCATTGCCGCACGGCGAGATTCGCAGTTGTCAGGAGACGCAACGGCTGCCGGCATTGGTAGCTCTGCGCGAGCACAGGGCAAGAAGGTTGGAGCTGCCCTGTGACTTGGTCAACCTTGGCCCAATGTAATGTTGAGGTAGTTCAGGTGTTGGGTCATCGTCTATGCCTTTGCAGGTTTCAAGTGGCTAGAGTCAGCACCACTTGTGCAGCAAAAGACCATACGAGGCGAGATGACGCAGGAGCACCACTAAGCCCGCAAAACATGGGCTCCGAGACCCTGGGCTGAACTTAACAGCTGGAGACTTCACCTCGAGAAGGGTCACTCATGTGGCCTCAGGTAGGTCTGATCGCAGCGAGAGAAGTGGCTAAGATAGCTGCTGCGCGTGTCAATGTCACCTTGAGTCCGGCTGTGCTTGGGCCATGGTCGAGATCCTACTTTGAGCCTTTCTTCCCAGAAGACTCTTTATCAAGTAGCGCCAAGACTGCGCAGGGCCAGTCCGGACTGGATGAACAGCGCACGGAAGTGGACGAAAGTCGACAAGGAATCTCCGGACTCAGGCTGGCAGCGAGCCACTTGCCAGCAACCGTAAGGGTTTAGGGTTTAGGGTTTCGTTTCCTGGCAGTCAGCAAGTCCGGGTTCAAAAGGGTTTAGGGTTAGGAAACTCATCCATAAGCCCTTTATCTCGAGGGGTTGAGGCGAGCTGGCGCGGCCTTCGAGGCCCTAAGGGGTTTTGCAGTTTATGAAGTAATTGAGGGGTATCGGGGATGTGATGTTAACAGTGATGTTTATGCCTTCGTGACTTTCCTACTTTAAGTGTTGTAATTAGTAGGTTTTGGAGGGGTGTTTTTGTTGTTTCTTGTTTTTGCGAAGCCAAGGCTGGAAATGACAGGCCGGTCCTCTCGTGCTTCGTGTGACAAGCTGAGACATGACGGGGACTAGCCATTGCGTCCAGCAATGATGTAAGTACTCTTGCTGCCGAACGTTTGTTTTTAGAGCGCCCAATTCTGGATCCCAGCTCTATCCCGAAGAGGTTCACCTTCATGGTCCCTCGCACCAAGTGCCGCTTGGCCCCTGATTGAGCTCTTTGCCCGGAGTTGTCTGCTGCGATGGGTCGTGTCGGCAACTTGCGGCTACTGAGGTAGGTCGGCTAACAACATGCAGCACCTCGTGGTCTCCGCGACTTGAAAGCACCAAGTCCCACCATCATGGCTGGAAGAGTCTTAGTCCGGCCTATACTTTTACCAAAAGGCGTCGGTGGGGTGCGACAGCTCTGCCCGATTTGCCCCAACCAGGTTTTACTTCATCTACCGCATTATAGGCGATCAAACTTCAAGACTTTTGAAGAAAGTTCAATACCCTGCTGCAGTTTTTGATCATGTTTCATCATGTGGCATCATGTTTCATCATCATTCTGAGGATCACGTGCCTGACTGGATGCGGGTCGAGTCGGCTTTAGAGGCGGTGGCCAAGGACACGCCCCGGCGAGCACGTTCAGCCGATGACCTGTCGAGGCCCAGAAAGAAAGAGGAGACCGTGAGAAGTGAAGTAAACGTGAGGTGAAGAGAGAGTCAGAGGGTGAGGCAGGCAAATAAGGATTGTGGCAGAAAAGGTATTTCGTAATGGGCTTTGTAATGAAGGTTCAAGGCCATGAGTAGTGATTGGGTGAGGCGACGTGTAGAGTCTGGACAGCAGAAAAAGAAACGATGTCCTGTTATGTCCTGTTGCAGGGCAGCTGGGGTCGACACCCATCGCATCTGGGACCAGTCCACCCGCAACAAAGGCTGTGGCAACATCCATCCCTCGACGCTTGAGACAAGCGATGCCAAGAGTCAGCTGTAGCTGTGACATATCAAGGCATGCTTATGGCACATGAGAGTCATGTTGCGCGTTGCCGCGAACAAGGACGGGCCGTGTTAACTACAGCAGCCAGCAGTCGCAACCTGGCACAAGACATCACACGCGCTTGTATAGGTCAAGAAGTTCACCAGACATCCATAACTTCATAACATGAACGCTAACCGCTGTCCTGCCCTGCCTTGGCCCGGCCTCTGCACAGGACAAGTTTTGATTGCGAAAAAGCGGCGACGGGGACTCCTAGTTCGATGTGTGCGCTTCTGCGTGTCCAGAAGAGGAGGTCTATGAGGTCCATAGCAGGTCCATAGAGGCCACGAAGCAGAGCTACGGAAAAGTTAAAAAGCGGCACAGATGATCCGTGCTTCAGGTTTAAAATTAGAGGGCCCATCGGTCCAGCGGCTGTGGCAGGGTCCACGCATCCATAGAGGCCACAGTAGATCCTTGAACATCAGAGCAATGTATCCGAGAGGGACCATGGGCTTTTTAGCTGAACAGCCGCACATTAGTGAATCACTAGTGCTGATAAGTTGCTGTGCAAGATTGCCGAGTCTGGGACGTGGCGGCATTTTTTCCTGCAACAACCGCCACTGGCAGCTTAGGCCTGACTTTCCTTTGGATTCTGGCTTGGAACATCGCCAAGCTTTTGAGGAGCCTCAACACCACGTGGGGTGACCGGGGGAAGAGGCGAGCGGGTCCTTGCGTTTTGTGCTGCTTTGAGAGGAGAAAGCCCGCTCCATGCCAAACTCTGCCCGCAATGGCTATGACAATGGCCATATTTCGGCAGGGGACAAGCTCAAGGACGATGCAAGGGTGAGCGGATCGATTGTCCTCGATGTGTGTCAGCTAGCAACCCTGCCCTGTCACTGGTGTGCAGACAGTCATCATGCAGGACAGGAGGAGCAAAAAAGGGACTGTGATGGATGAGGGGACAGGGAAGGTGGATGCCTCCTAACTCACATGTGCCTCTGTGGTGCAGGAACTAAATCAGATCTCGTGCAGGAATCGTTCTACTTGCCGTGTTCAGTGTTTGCCGTTGTTTAGTCGTTTAAGCACAGACGAAGTCGCCTGAAGGTTGCGAACAACTCCATCGTGTCCGCCGAGAGCCCGCAATGGATGAAGCAGCCTTTCGAGAGCAACCGCAGCTTTGATTACACTTCTCTCCGGCAGAACTGGCATCGTGTGCTGTGTGTAAGCTTGCAGCTCCTTGGGTCCTTGAGGCCGGTCCTCTGATCATGTCAACGCTCTGTTGATGCAGTGCCGCGTGTGGCTGCTGCCAACCACCCGTTGATGAATCCAGAATCTAAACCACCAATCCTCAAGCATGAGCAACATAATCCTGAACCGAGGATCCTTTTTCGAAAAGCAGGGGGTGGCTGAGAAGTTGCGGACCATGTCGACGCAGGCTTCTTACTCCTGGGTCCCTGTTGACGGATAGTGAAGGCTTAGAGTTTGAGGCTCTCAGTCTCTCAGTTGCAACAACTCGAACAGGTGGCAAGTGGTGCTAGACTTCCAGGAAACAACATGGAGAAAAAACAGACAGTGGGCTTGGTCACCCCAAGAGTTCTGGCCAGGAGCATGAGTCCAACTTCGTTGCGGGGCGCAAGGTGCCCGTCAGACCGAAGCAGGTTTTCAAGCAAATCAAGAATGAGGAGCAAAAGGGTGCAGACCGGGTGCAGCGTTCTGTAGAGCCCACCTTCGGCGAATTATGACTCGCTCTGCTGCAAAACATGCCCACACGAAGTGTGCACTTGGACCGTCTGAAGTGGCTGTGACAGGAGGGCAAGATCCAGAGCCTCAGCTTGGACTCAGATGTTTTGGCCGCCGCACCGAATATCTTAGATCAGGTGCAGTTTGTAGAAGCCTGCCTTAAGACTTTGCAGTCGTCTGAGGAACCTCAGCATCGTTTCCATTGGTGCTCCGCAGTGGATGAAGCATCTCAGCTTGTTGCTTCTGTAGTAAGGACTTTTCGGCCATTGCACAGCAAGCACTGCTATTGTTGACGTCTTGATATATCAGTTTGAGTGGCTTCAATCACTGTGAGAACACGAACAGCCCGGTCTTTGCGAGTCCAGGTCCCCTTTCGAGTCCAACCGCCCCTACTTCGAGAGTCAGGGCATCGCGCAGCGCCGAGAAAATGGCGAGCAGGTGTCGGCAATGGAGCTGGACTTGCAAGAGGTGCCACCACGGCATGCCGCCCGATGTTTGTGGGGATGCACGTCGCATTACATTTTTACAAGCTTTTCATAGTATAGGCCAGTCGAATTCCCTCGGTTCCTTCAGCTCCCTTCAACTGTTCAACTCGCATTGCAGCATTGCAGCTGGCCAGACACCGGAATCCCGACGTTCCAGCTCAGCTCCGCCACGCTCGGCCAAGGCGCCGATGAGCGTTGGCGGCTGAGTTTTTAGAATATATGTATATATACATATATAGATAGTGGATATAGTAGATAAAGATAGATAGCTATATGAGGTTTGCGCATGTTGCGGGGGTTGCCTGCTTCTTGCCAGGTGAAGGGGCCGCCATCACACACCGCAGAGCGCGCGCAGCGCAGCCGCAAGTCGGGTTCGGAGGCGTCAGGGACCGGCGGGACCGGGACCGGGACCGCTTCCCGAAGGACGGCAGTTTCAACAAGTGGTTTGCCCGCTGTTTGCCCTGTGCGGCCTTTGCTGGCTGTGCTGCACTGACTGCACGGGCAAAACATTCTTTGGCATTCTCCACCGATCAGAGCACCCTGTCCAGGACCAGCAGTGCTGCCAGCGCGACGTCGTACTCGGCCAGGTATACGTGACTTTGGCCACACAGCGAGTGCGGTCGTCGCTTGTTGAGCTTCAGTACAGACTTCAATTCTGGGTTGCCAAAGGAAACAATTGCCACGCCAAGCCTCTTTGGGTTCCTTGCAGAGCGCGCCACTGGCTTGCAGAATGTATTGAGTTGAGTTTCTGTAGGCATGCGAGCATGTCTTTTACCTGCCCACCCTCCCCCTGCCGGCAAAGCAAATGGAGCGCCCCAGAAGGCATTTTCGACAGCCTTTGTCACTTGCTCATAATGTCAGGTCAGCAGGGATTTGTGTGATGTCTGCGTGCCCCGCCCGAGTCCATCGCTGCACTCCCTTATATAATCTTAGGCACCTTACAATTAAGGTATGAAAGTCTTCTTGGGCAAAGCACAGCTGGCGTAGTGTAGCTCCGCACCTTGTAAAGCGTTTGCTCGGTCATGTTTCGTCTCCGGCTGTGCTTCTTAGTCTTAGCCGCTCTTAACCCAGGCGATGAGGACACAGGCAGGTGCGTCGTGCTTGGTTTAACTTCGTGATTGTCATGATTGCAGATGCCAAGAGTATTCCGACTCGCAGGGGAACCCTTCAACCTCCCTTAGGAATCCGATTCATAAAGTGTTATAGGCGAGAGCGAGCAGCGTGACCGCATCGGAGCCTTTTCGTCTCTACGCCCTGCAGGATTGATCCCAAAGTGAGATTGGGGCTGACCCTTCTGCCCGGTTTGCAAGGTTGAGCACGTAGCCGTAGCCATGTCCAAGCAGAAGCAGAAGCAGTTGAGAAGTGCTGAGATAGTGCTGAGCCTTGCTGTGCCGTATTCGTCTTTGATCTTCTCCTCCAAAGTGCAGCAGAGGAATCTTAGGTTTTGGGGGGGAAGGCTTTGAAATCTTCTCTGATGAGGAAAGACTGAGCTGACCACAGCTGTGTTCTCTTCGCTCCAGTGCGGAGCTGTAGGACTGCGAAAGAGCTGAAAGATCCTAGCGGCCTACAGCTCTGCACGGCGCGCAGATCCCCCCCACACCTCTGTTTTCTAAGGCTGCAGAGGCCCATATTGGCTACTTTGGGGAGGGTTTCGTCACATGTCACATAGCTGTGGGCGCGATTGAAGCCAAAGGCTTCATGGACACGGCTCTTAGCACCCGATGCCCCTGGGCAATCCTGGGCACAGGGAATGGGCGCGTCTGTGCCCTCAGCTGAAATTACCGCTGGGCTTGCTTTATGCCTTGGAGCCTTCCCAGCAGTTTTTGCAGGGCTTCAGGTTTATCTGAACGTTGCCGAACCCAAGGCTATGCCTATAGTGAAGTACCCATCACCCTTGCAAAAAGCACGGGTAAAACACAGGGGGACGGAGGCTTCAGGGCATGAAAGTCCTTGCTGACTCATTCGATCCGAAGGATCCTGTACCGGAAAGAGCCTCAAGCAAGACTGTGAGACAAAACGCGTGGGGAGAGCCGAGGAGTTTATTGCATTGTGAGAAGACATTTCAGCCCAAAATCCTGGCGTGATAGCATGCCGCCCCGCTCTGCAATTTCTTCCCAGACTTATCACCAACTACACAAAAAGCCAAACATCTTGCACACCATGTTCGTATCCTTGCAGCACGAAGATCGCCAAGAGCTTGTGCGGCTTTAGCGACTCAGAGTCAGGGTCGGAAAAGAGACGAGAAAGAGGGAACCGGTTGTAGCAGGGTCGGGTAGTCCTTTGCCTACCACCTGCAGCCCCGGGTCGTGGTGCCCTGTGAACCGGACCTCCCTGAACCTCTGCAAAATCAAGACAGTCAAGATCCAGCCTTCTCAAGGTCGGACCTCACAAAGTGCCACATCCTACCAAACCCTCGAGAATCCAAAAGAACGGCAAACAAGGGCTCCAGCCATGGCATCGGGTGCGTCGGGTGGGCAGCCTGCGCCAGCAAAGGAGAAGACCGGGGAAATACTGTATTGGGCGCGTGCCGGTGTTTAGCATGCAACTAAGAATCCGAGTGCAGCTGCACATACTGGTACCATGACCGTTCCACACTCCAAGGAGGACGCAGCTCTGCCGTTCACGTTGCAGCCAGAGGCCATACACATAGGGTGTTTCATATAGGTTTGTGCAAGAATTGCACGCCCAGCCGAATCAGGCGGCTAAGTTGATGAGGGCTTGTGCTCTAGGTTGTCTCAGCCCGCTTATGCTTTGAACTGCTCCGCCTCGCTTTGGTGAGTCCTGCCAGGGCAGCCGAGGGGACTGGCGCGTGTCCTTTCGAGTGAGCCTTGTCACAGTATCTATGAGCCGAGAATATTCCACGGGGAACGAGCAGCGGTGGTAACTGGACTCCTCCCCTCAATTGCCTCTAAACCCAAGTCATCGGTCGCTTGGTTGGCTGGTGCGTTTCTCGATTTCTGAGGATAAGTCTGAGTCTGCTTTAGGGGAAGGTGGCGCATGTTTACGCTAACTTGTAGATTGTAGACTGGTCGGCAGGAAGTCTCTAATCGATCCTCCTTTGTGGCAAAGCCATTAAAGCCACACGTGGCGTATTACTGTAAATGGCAGAGTGTTAAGGCCCCACGGCTGGGGCGCGAAGCTGTCGAACCGGCCTGTAGCAGCAAATGGTGGCCTCTTCGAGCTCAACTTTGAACAGGCCCCTTGCAAGGGACCCTCTGTGAGGGTTCAAAACCCAGAGCATCCCAGAGCCCTCCGCCCTTTGAAAACAGGCTTCGGAAGCCGACTCTATGGAGCTTGTGCAGACTGCCCCGTCGGTTGCAGTTACATGACGAGGAAGAGTAACGATACAGTGCACAGAAGAGCTCACAGCACTTCGGTCCTCACACACTCTTGGTCAGGGCCGTCAGGAGGTGCAACAAACTGGAACATATCGCAGCTGCAAATATGCCTTCTTTGGGTTGTTCTTCAGCCGCGCACATGTCAAGGTGTTCTTCTCGCCGAAGCCAGAGAGAACCGCCCAAGCCATTGCTAAGGCCAGCCAGCATCTGTTGCGACATGATGTGTGGAGGGTGATCATTCATGACGACAATGTGACAAGCGCAAGCTACTCCAACCTCAAGGGAATCGCGACATGTTTGTTTGAATTATAATGGTAGTTGACTGTAGTGACTGTAGTGCGGTCATTCACTTCGCTCATCGAGCAGATCTGCCTTGCTTATAGTATCACGAAAAACACACTTCTGAAGCAGGTCGCAAACCCGGAGGCTAAGGGTTATCAGTTATCACGACCTGTGCGGGCATTGTACCTGCACAATTGGACCGAAGATGTATCTAGTGCTGTCGCCACACTAGTTTCGCACTTGATCTCCCATCTCTCGGCGCAGGTTCTTGCCCAACGCCTAGCCGAAGCGGAAGAGCACCGAGCCCAGCGAGCAGAGTCCTTTCGGTGAGCAGTGCAGTACTATGCAGTTCTATGCAGTACTGTAAGGCCGGATGTGGAGTGCTCCATCTCCTAACTTGGTGCAGTACTCTCATGTCGGCCGAGTGGTCTGCTGGGAATCTTGCGACCGGGCCGCCAAAGCTAGCGGCGATGATCGGCGATGCGAATCCGAAATGTCGGCGCGCATCCACTTGCATGCTGGGCATGCTGCACATGCCTGTGATAGGACAGTGCATGGCTTGCTTCACCTCCTTCACCGTATGTTCTAAGACACCACGTCTTGGCAAAACAAGCCCCATGTCGTTTAGATCTGTGACCGTCACAACAGACCCTGTAGATTCAGTTCGCCAGTCCCGACAAACCGCAGTTCCATTGAACAACGTCAGCTACACACTGTGACACCTAAGCTGCTCGGGGCGAAGCTGACCCCATTTGATCGAAATGGATGCGGCAAAGCGCGGGGGTTGAGGCCAATCTCCAAGCAACATACTGACATGGCATTCCCCTGAAGCATTCATCCCACAGTGTCTGCATGCATCGGCAGGCTTTTGACAGGGCCCGTGTATTACCTGGCACCTCGTGAGGCGGACGAGGTTCAGGAGCAGCTTGTCCTGGGACGCGCGCTGCAGGCCATCCAAAGCTTCACTTAGTTCTCTGTCCACACTTGAAACTTTGAAAGGAGCTCACACCCACATCATGTCAAACGGAGTGCGAGCAAGTGGGACTGTGTCAGGCTCAAAACGCCGGCTTTCTCACATGACATGTAGTGCCGAATCATTCGAACTCACGTGTAGCTAGTTGACAGCTTTGGAAAGTTAGTGTTCCGTCCAGAGTCTTAGCTCCTTGCACGGCCTCTGCCTCTGGTGGCAATCTCAGTTGGGTAGCGCGCGGATGCCACGCGGATACCTGTGCTGACTATAGGCTGTGTCCGACTTGATTTGCCACGAGCCGCCTCTGTCCAGAAGCTTGGGCCAACGCCTTGATGTCACGCAAAATGCTAGTCGCTAGCAAGGAGTCTGTCAGAACTTGAGCCAGTTCAAAATTCGGCATGCCAGAGCAAGCCGTGGCACTCGAAACCCTGCGTGTAGTAGACAGTGCCCCAGGCCAACTAGCTTGAACAAGACCACAGCCTCAAGACACGTACCTGACACCTGAGCAGTGTCAACCTCCGCATGGGCGAAAAACGCCCCTTCTCTTCTGACGACGAAGCCATGGGAGCCACAGCATCAGCCCATGGCCCTGAGACCCTGGCCACTCAGTTGTCACATTGCTAGGCTGCATTGGGGGGGGGAACGTAAAGAGCCGTGTGCCTAACAAGGTTTTCTTCTTGGCTTCTTGAGCTGCAAAGGACATGTCGTGCCTCAGCGAGGAGGACGCATTCAGAATAATGATGCTCCGCATCATGTTCACTGATGCACAGAGGAAGCACGTCACCATCAGACACCTAGTCTGCTCAGCCTGCTGAACCCACGGTTCCAGCGGCCTGACAGAAGGGGCACAGCCTGTGGTCATGAGGAGCGAGGCCTGTCGCCGCTTTTCATGGAGATTCTCGCTGCCTTGTGGATGCCGCCTGCTGCAGAACAACCTACAGATGAAATCAGATATAAAATTTACACTGTCTAAACTTCACCTCTACCATAAAACAGACTGCCATGATGGTCCAAGGCACAAAGGCAGCCTCGGCGGTTTCAAACACTTCCCTGAGAGGCCCTGCCTCGGGTCGGGGGTCCCAATGGAGTTTTCAGATTCAGCGGTCTTAAGGACCTGCGATGGTACCTTGATATTGTACGATACTGAGGCAGAAGGTCACGCGAGAAGACTTCTGTTCAGGATATTCCGACTTTGAGACGTCTGCCTGCAAACGAGCCACCATCGATGCGTGTTCGCTTGCTCCTTGTGCTTCATTGCCCCCCCCCCCCACACCAAGGTATGTTTATATGACCATTCTCGGCTTGGCCAAGCTGCACTCCTTAGTTGAGGAGCCTTTGCGTGCGTTGACCTGCTTGAGCTTGTGCATGCACATCGTCCTCACTTGGGGCTACCGGGTTTGAGGAGTTGGCGCAATCAAGCGACAGATGCATGCGGGTTGCAGAAGCATTTCCTTCCCTACCTTTGTATGCACGCTGGCAAGCTCGAATGTGTAACAGTCGCCAAGCTTGTAGATCCAGGCAGCTGGCTTGTTTCCAGCTGGATAGCCGGGTGCTGCAGCTTCTTGATGTTGCAGTCGATAAGCCCAAACCCCGCGTCAACCTTCAGTAGGCCCAGTGCGGTAGTCGGGAAGGAGATCACGCTGCAGAACAATGGACAGGTCTTCACTCGGAATCCAGGCAAGACGGGCTTAAGGTGTAATAAGTGTAATATAAACAGGCCTGAGGCAGAAGAAGTAGAAGTCACTGCAGTATGGGCTTAAAAAGAGGGAGCAGAAGCGAGCAGGCGTCCAACTGCTGGAGCGTGCCTGCGGCATGACAATGCACGGGGATCGCGAAGGACCGCATGCCGCGAAATAGATGTAGAAGTACCATCATTCTCACATACAGTAGGTATAGCATAAGTTCTAGCTGACTTCGCTGACTCAGCGTTTCAGGAGCGAATGCCCTGCTTCGGTCCGCGCCCGCCGCGCTTCTGGAGGCATCCTGCCCCCAGTGGCACACTGTGTGACACTCTGCCGTCAGAGCGCATGTTGCACGAGAGTCGTGCCAAAGCTTTCCACGCAGGCCTTTCAAGTAGCCAAGAGCTCTGGCAAAATGCTGGATTTCTTCAGGCCTGGGGGACATATTGGGACCGGGACCGACACAGGGCCTGGTTTGGAAGTGTGGCAGTTCCCAGTCTTCGCTTGTTGGGATTTGATACTGTACCCCCTTTTCCAGAGTATCCCATGTCCGAATTCTCGTGCGTAACTTTGCTCATTCGTCACTTCCTCACTTGCCCTTGTTCATGTCTTCTAGTGAGGCATGTGTCCCTCAGTCAGCTTGGATCCAGCATGGGTGTAACGAATAGGTCAGGTTTCGCACATGCGTTGTTCAAGATTACTTTTTGAGCCCTGGCCTTTTGCCGGCCTCCTGAAGCCTGTGACGGCATCCTCTCGAAATTTGAAGGCTTTTTTTGACCTGAGATAATCCCCTCGATGATGTTCTTTTTCACAGACTTGGGTGTAAAAATCCCAAATCATCCCCCAAATCGAAATGAGTGAGCGCATCCATATGAGCAGCGCTCCTGCAGGAATGCCTTCGACCGCCAGCAGCTTAGCACTTTGCGAGCATGGCCCAATAGTCACCGCAATACGTTTGGCAGTGGCATTGATTGGAGAGCAGGATCTTTTTGTGCTGAGCTTATGCTGCCAGAGCCGTGCCGCAGGTCAAGCGGATCCGTGCTTAGAGGCAGGGCCTGTTATGAACATCTGGGAACCTGATATGAACTCTGCCAAAGTCGTGTGATGTCGCTGGCACATCGCTAGCTGGCATTCCACGCAGCAGCTGCAACTTGTGATGCTTGTGCTTCAGGGTCGGACGTCCCGGCTGCTGCAATACTTGGAGAAGCATCGCCATACTGCGACCACCATGGCTCCATGGGAGGCCAGGGGGAGCCAGAAGAGCAGTGGCATCCACATGCGGACACACTTTGTCGGTTTCTTTTTTTTTTTGAGAAGCTGGCCACCTGGCCACCTGGATTTGGACTCTGACCCGTCTATGTTATGTGACATGTGTGCCTCAGGTGACTCATGTGCCTCATAGCATTCCATGCATTTCAGGTTCCATGCATTCCAGGCATTCCCCACACGGTCATGCCTTGCCCAAACGTGGCAGACTCTTTTTGAGCTGCCTTATCTCAGGATGTCTCACTGCAGCGGCTGCCAAATGGAGCATCGAGCCGAGACATTGCTCCTCGGCACCTCCGCGAACGGACTTCAAGAAGCCCTGAGCCAAGGCCGGTAAGTTGGAGCCAAGGCCGGTGAGCACCTCCGCGTTTTCTGCAACGAGTGCACCTGGCTTTGGTCGCGGCAGCGCCGTCTCAGCTACGAGGATGCCAAAGCAGCAAGGCCTCATCCGGCTTAGGGTGAAAGGGCAAGGTTATTTAGGTGACAGGGCCGCTGTATGGTTACACAGGGTGGTCGGTTGCGGCCTGTCCCTTTTTAGCCCTAAGCCCCTATGTCCAGGTTTGGCAGCGACGCCAACCTGGCGGAGGACTTTGCGAGGGTTTTCAACGCCCAAACCTTCCGCAACTCTCCTGGTGGTTTATTGTTCTCCGACAAGTATAGGGTTATTTATGCAGTCACGCACCATGCGACGCGACGTGCTCAGGACAGCATGCAAAACAGCTCTCAAGGCAGAGCAACATTCAAGAAAAGGTGGGCAACTGTACCGGAATGTGAATGGAATCAGCAGGCCACCGAAGCTCAGGCAGGCAGCTGTCAATACATAAATGTTTCCTGAGGAATCAGGCCAAATAGCGGTTTTTCAGCCCTTTCCTCGGCTTTCTGGAAAATGTTTCGCCATTGGTGGGTGCACTGCCAAGGTTGGGCGGCACAATAAAGCGCCAAGGAAAACACACCTTTGCTTGCTCGGGTGCACATCTTCGCTCAATGCACGAGTACGTCCACGTTGCCAGTGCATGCGAATGGCCAGAGCACCTATGCCAGTAAGCAGCACGACCATGAGACTGCAGTCCACGTAGTTTGTCCCAGAAACTGGTCGCCAAATGCCACGGCTGGTGTTGGTCCAAAGGTACGATTGCTCTGCGCCTGCCAGACTCCTACATTCCCCTGACGCCATTCTCTAACACGTTTTGTTTTGGGGGTGTTCTTTTTTTGCGCTGCGCGCCCTGTAGCTAAACTATCCGGCAAAAGTCTCGTGGCGGGCCTTGTTGGTGGGGCCCGCTGGCAGGCTTGCATTGGGCCGCGCGCGACACCTCACTAAACACAAAACACCCCTCACATCATGCAGCAGAAAGCACCAAGAAACACATACTGCACGCATGATCTTCTTCGACCACAGAAGCAATACAAGACGGCGTGCTGCTTAATCTTGCGCTCAAAACTGGTAAACTGGTTCCAGGTCCATCGGACCCCAGAAACTCTGAACCAGTATGCAGTATGGAAACAGCAGCAAAGCGCACCCTGCCCAACACTGCAGCCTTAAATCCTGGGACTTGGGGTTTTAGGGATAGGGTGGGAATGTTCGAAGTGGAAATATTGTCGAGGCGTAGGCTCAGCTTCGAAATTTTGACTGCAGCAGCATGATGAAGCAGCAAATAAGAATGCGACGAGGGGAATGATGTAGCATGAAAGTAGGAGTAGACCGGTGCCGCCATGCAGTGGCTGCACTTGGAAAATTCTCAGGTGAAGCAATGAGAGCCCGTGGCGTTGTGCGGCGCAGCCCTTCCGTACAGTGGGAGGCTGCAAGTTTTTGCGGGCAGGTTGGGCATTGGGCAAGGGAAGTCAGTTTCAAACCACGTGTAAATACCCACCATCACTATCCACAGATCAAAGCAGTTGGCCCTGGTTTGCGTCGTTGGGCAACAGGCCTTGCACCAAGATCCATTATGAGACTGCTTCACATCCCAAAAATCAAACCCCCTCAGATAGGTAGGGCGGTTTGGTTTCGTGAGCAGGTCCAGGTGGAGAACGGTTCATGGGCCGGCTACGAGGCCGAGGCCGGTGTTTTCAGGGAAAGGCTGCTCAGGCACTGCATTCCTCAGCCGAGGCCATCTGAAATTAGATGAGATATGAAAGCCCTAGACGTATATGGTTCTGAATAACAGTGGTGCCGTGAGCTGATTTGCTCAAGTTACGCCGCTTCCCTCATAGGGGGGATACGTTGAGACCCATGGGAGCCTTGTGGGAAGCACTGTTGGGGTAGAGAGCTCCACACACGTTGTCTCCCAGAGTCTAGCAACTCCTCCTCCTCCGCCTCTTCCTCCTCCTCTTCCTCCTCCTCTTCCTCCTCCTCTTCCTCCTCCTCTTCCTCCTCCTCTTCCTCCTCCTCTTCCTCCTCCTCTTCCTCCTCCTCTCCCCCTCCTCTTGCTGCTGCTACTAGACGACTACGACGTCTACCACTGGACGACGACTGCCATTTTACCACTACCACCACTACCACCACTATTACTACCACTACTACTACTGCTACCACTTCTACCACTACTACCACTACTACCACTACCACCACTACAACCACTACTACCACTACCACCACTACAACCACTACTACCACTACTCCTACCACTACTACTACCACTGCTACCACTACCACTACCACTACCACTACCACTACCACTACCACTACCACTACCACTACCACTACCACTACCACTACCACTACCACTACTACTACTACTACTACTACTACTACTACTACTACTACTACTACTACTACTACTACTACTACTACTACTACTACTACTACTACTACTACGCTTGTCTGCGCCAGCCTTAAATTTTCTGACAACAGCATGCACGAGTTAATGGAGGGGTTGTGCGGGTGCTACGGCAATTCCCTCCCCCCCCGGAGCTCCGAAGGGGCGTTGAGTACCTGAAATGGGGACGCGGGCGGTCTCTCTCCCTCCATCCAAGAAAGAAAGCAAGAAAGAAAGAAAACAAAAATCAAGAGAGAGAGATAGATATAATTTACATAGCTAACGGCGGCAGCATGGACATCAGGTTCGCAAACAAATGCGAAAGCATCGTTGAACAAAGACAGGATCTCACACTGTTGCCAAACTGACAAAACAGCATGACAACAATTTCTAAACGCATGCCATGTCCCGGAGCCAGGCGTCTGCTGCCATCGAAGCCGCCCACAGCGCCAGGACGAACATGCTGGAGCTGCGCTTGGGCCCACGAGGCGCAAAAGAGATGTCCAAGTCAGAAAACTGCCTCTGAGCGCCAGAGCGAGGGAAGTGTAACGAGTTTTGCCAACATGCGCAGCTGCTTTTGGTTATTGAAGTGGCGGGTATTTGTGTGCCATCTTTTGTTCAAGATGACGCTCTCGCCTCTCTCTCTCTCTCTCTGTCGCACTCTCTCTCTCCCTTTCTCTCTCTTTCTCTGTCTCTGCATCTTTCTGCCTCTCGGTGGCTAGATGCCCAACATCAAACGAGATCAACTTGTTATGCGTAGTACATACACATGCTCAAGTGTATCATGCATGTATATTTATATATACAAACACTGGCAGTCGTTCGGGGTCTCCAGGGGGCCTAGAGACCTCACGGGGTGCGGGCAAGTTCCCAGCCTTGTTAGGGTGGACTTAAATGTTATTGGAACGTGTATTGCCAGAAACGAGTATTCGGGACGTGTATCTCTGTCGAACGATAATTTTTTATTCTTGGCTAGACTAGGGTTCGAGTCTGGGATCGAGAGTGCTGCAACTACCGAGACAACATGCCTTACAACTCCGAGTATGCGCTTACACTGAACGAGATTACCTTATGTAAACGAGATGCGAGGCCGAGAATTGTAGTGTCATTGCGTTTGCCATCAGAATTCGACACATGTTTTTGGGGACAGGAGAAGGGGTCTGGGGTCAATTTTCCTGATCTCTGAAGGCTGGAAGTATGTGATCGACCTTGGCAACAAGGTTGGGAGCACAGCACTGGGGTCCAGACTGTTTTGACGAGTGGTTGACTCGTGCGTTTCCATGTGTTGCTGTCTTCACCACGCCCCTCCGCAGGTGCAGCTGAACCCCAAGACGCGAAAGTCCCGCTCCATTCTCAACATACAAGCTCTGAAGTTGCCACTTGCAAAAGCCATGAAAAAAAGCCAAAGCCTAGGACCCATTCGGCGGCAAGAAGCGCCCATCTCGCCTTCCTCGCCTTCCTCGCCTTCACCTGGAAGCGTGCCTCGGATACCACGCGCACACAAAGACACTCTGACAGCTTCAATTAACTTCTCTGTTGCTTCTCTTTCCTTGCCTCTTTTGTGCGAGGTCAAGCTGACGGAAGTGGAGCTTGAGGAAGCTGTACAGTTCTTTGTGACAGCCCTATAGGGTGCATTCTGTCTGAGGTCTAAAGCCCGATATTTGATGGCATCTCTTGAATTTGATCACATGGCTCTGTTGAGTGCCCAGGTGGATATGCAAACATTGCCACCACATCCTCCGTGATCGCATCGTGGCTGAATGTTGCCCACATAGGGAAAAGGCATGAAGATGCAGGATCTCACATGCTGTATGGCCTTGGCAGCACCATCTTACACCTCTTCCCCAGCATGCAGTATTGAGGCAGGAACACGATGCATGACGGCAGCGGTGAGAAGTCTGATGTTGTTGGCCCCCGCGGTAGGAGGCCGCCCGTGGGTTATGATATGATTTCTCGCGTATTGCCTTCATTTCTTGGGGGCGATATCGAAACTCCTTTCATTCTGCAATGCCTGAACGATGGCGGGGCTTCTGCTCGGGCTTCTCAGATGTTCTGTGTTTCGGCCAGGCTGTTGGAAGCGGTCGGGAAAATTTCTTCTTCGCAGAAGTTGGAAGTCGAGAGACTTTCTGATGGATTTGGGCTGGGTCCAGCGTGCGGGTGTGTGGAAGGGGGGGGGGGGCTTGGGGATGGAGAGGGGGGGGTGGGGGGGCTGATGCGTGCCATCATGGCTCTGTAGCTGCCTTGGCAGCTGATGCTCATGATGCGCGCCTTGCGGGATTCAGTTCTGTGGCTAAGGGCCTTGGCAGCCGATGCTCACGATGCGCTTGCGGTGCCGAACGCTTTTCTCACAGCGGGCCTCGCGCTCTGTAAGCCCCGCAGCGAAGTGGGTCAACGTGCCGTCACAATGGCCTTCAAGCAGGCTAATGCCCAGTTCCTATTGGAGCCTCTTTGTCGATTCTGCTGTTGCACATTACTGGTGGGGTTCTGTGGCTAAGGGCCTTGGCTGCTGATGCTGATGATGCGCGCCTGGTGGGGTTCTGTGGCTGAGGCGCTTGGCTGCTGATTCTAATGATGCGCCTCTGGTGGGGTTCTGTGGCTAAGGGCATTGGCTGCTGATTACACACACATCAGATCGTTCCTGCCATCCCTCAAGCATTTCATGGGACCACATATGAAAGGTAAATCTGGTGAGGCTTGGAAAGTGAGCTTATCAGATTTATTGGAACAGCTCTAATCCAGATCCTCCAGGCGAAACATGTGCAGATCCTAGAAATCGCGCGCTGGCCAGTGTTTCTGCAGTCTATTGCAGTCTGAATCAATCAGTTCAATGTCACATCGTACCGTGGGCGGCTACCAACCTCGGACCAAGTAGTTTGCTGGCTGACTGATGTCAACTCAGCAGTGCCATCCCGCATGGGGGTGCCTTGTGCCGACGCAGTTTCCTTTTCTATGCACTTCTCATCATGCAATGATCAAATCGACGCGGCGAATGTGTCTTTCTAGTTTGTAGTTCTTTCTTTGTCGCAGACGCATGCTGCAGGGTATCGGCATCCCATGGTGATTGGGGAAAGCCATTGTGAAGTCCAGAGGATGCCAACTTGAGATGTACTAATGTAGTGCCTGTTACAGGAAAGATGGTTGGTCAGAAAACCTTGGGCAGACTACTTCCAGCCTGGCTGAGCCATGTGCATCTGTTGCTTAGGTCATGCTTCTCCCTACAGAAGCATGAATCGTCATGCGTCTGTTTCCGTCGGTTGCGTGCGAATCGGCAAAAAAACTGTACTGGCCTTAAGGGGCCAGGTAATGCCTGGCTCCAATGTGGAACATGTAAGGAGCATTCCGTTTCTCCGATCATGTGGCTTACATCTCTGGTAAACGTGTCTCACCGCAGCTGCGAGTTTGAAATCCCACCAGCTGTTTGGGCTACAGAAACAAGCTGCACTCGTCATAGCGTGACGCTCCAAGTGACCATGACGGACGAGGAGCCTGTGGGGCCCATGATGGCCCGTGGGGTCGGTGACCAGGTTTCGGGGTTGTCACGCCGTGTCGAGTCACTCTGTCGAGTTCTCTTCCTGTTGGCAGCTCCTGTGTGTAGGATACGAAGCCAATGCTGCATTCTGGCAACGAGGCAAGATCATTGAAATTAAAAGTTCGTTGGCGTAGAGCTTCGTAAAGCATCGAGGGGACTGCGGGACGTTGCCAGTGCCATCCCGTGCCAGTACCCTGCGAGCGCAACGAAGGGAGCTAAGTCGGAAGTCAGCAGTCGAAGCATGTCGAAACGCGACAGGCTTGCGACAGCTCCCGTGAAGAGTTCCGATCTGAGCAAGAAGCCCAGGCCTTGTTACCAAGTCCCGTTGTTTCTATAATGCTACTCGTGGTCAATTCGTCAATTCGGAATGCGGTCAATATTCGGCATGGTATCCTTTCAAGTCTCAAGTCGTAGACTAGGCAATCAGGGAGTGCAGGCATAAAGTACTGCAAATTTATCAGTAGAGGGGGGAACAACAAAAGGGAGACATTTTCTACCTGCAACATCAGAGTATCCACAAGAACATCAGGTTTGGGACGTTGCTGCAAAAAAAGATCATGATATACGACGGCCCCTGCCTGCCATTGAAGGTTGAAAGTGCAACGAAGGCATGTTCAAGCCCCTGTCAGGCGCCAGACGCGCGCGCTTCGGGATGTTGGCACCAGTACCACATCAAGCGTAATGCTGGTATTCTCGAGACTTTTCTGAACGGAAACAAGCTCTCTTGGTGGGTTTAGGGTGTAGCACGCCTGTAGAGCAAGCAACGCATTTCACGTTGTTGCCCCAGTTAGTAGCAGTGAGCGTCCAGTGAAGGGCCCCTGTTTAAGAGAATTAATTGTCTGGCATGCTCAGGTCATGCTGATGGCCTGCTTGGGGGTACTTTCCTCCAGGAAGGCGGCTGGCCCACCTCCGGATGCCGACCTCATGCCCCGAGCAGCCTTGCGTGCCATGCAGGCCATTGTGTAGCAAGAAACCAGAACCTGAGTCAGCATGCAGCAGGGTGCAGCCGCAAGCTCCTAGGCTCCTGTTCGGATCATAGCCCAGGGCTGTGTCATACCGATGGCTGCGGAATTTAAGTCAGTTTAAACAGCGCTCCACTGTGAAAGCTTCAATTCTGGAATGCTTGTGGGGCCTTGCCTCTGGGGCACAGAATAGGGGGCTTGAGGACAAATTAGTCCGCTTGGTGGTTAAACCGGTTAAACTGTGGGTTCAACGATGCTGAGTCTTTGATGGCTGACAGGGGTTGTGAAGATGAGAAGTCTGGAGTCTGGAGACTCCGCATGCCATGTGACCATTGAATATGACCCAGTGGAGGCACAGAGCTCACAGGACGCCAGCCATGAGATCGAAGTGTGGCAGTCAGCCTTGCACACTGGGGACCGACTTGCGCCGACTCTTTGCTTGCAAGGCTCTACTTGACTGTAGGCTGGTTTAGGAGTTTCTTCGGTAGCTGCAATCTCAATTCATGCAATAACGCTCGCGCAGCGAGCAGCTGGATTCAAGCCCAGATCATTGTTCCAGCACCCTGGGCCAGCGTCTGAGCCCGAGGAAGGCGCCCGGCTGGTTTGTGCCGGACTTTGAGTACCAAGGCCGGTGTTTCCCATCCATCTTAGCCACTTCTAAATTAAATCTGGTGACAGGCGCAAGTCTGTGGTTATAAAGGTCTTGCGTCATGTTTTTTTTTAGGGCTTTGGGTTTCGCATCGGGTGCTTCGGAGCCGTAGACTTGCCGCTGACTAGGCATCGAGCTGGAAGTGACGGATGTGGCGGGGCAAGTCATTGAAGGTTTCGGGGGCGCCTTCACCGAAGCAAGCGGCCTGGTTTTCAGGCCAGACACAGTGTTCTGTGAGGATCGACGCATCTTGCTGAGATGGCGGTAGTTGCCCTTATTGAAATTCAATATTCCAATAAGGGTCTCAATAATGACCGCCCTTATTGAAATTCAATATTTCCAATAAGGGCTGTACTAGGAACTAAGAACTCAGACCAAGAGTCGCTGGCAGTCTTGGCTCTTAGTTCCTAGTTCCGCCCTTATTGATCTTCAATATTTCAATAAGGGTTTCAATAATGACCACCCTTATTGAAATTCAATATTTCAATAAGGGTTTCAATAATGCCAACCCTTATGGAAATTTAATATTTCAATAAGGGCTTTAAGAATAGAATCACATAGATCTAACAGACAACAAAGGGAAAACATACAACAAAAGAGAAAATTCACAAAGATATAAAACAAAGCAAGAAAGTATGGATCCTTGGGGGGGGGGGTACCAAATATAAATATGCATATAAATATAGATATAGGAATAAATATAACTAAGTCTACACTTCGGTATATAATGGACATATTTCTGTAGATTTGTGTATATGGGAAAATATATGTATAGTGAAAGATCATAAACATGTTATAATGTCGTGTAATAAGCTCTGCGTATGGGGTCGTTGCGAGGACCCATCACCACGTTCTTCCAGAACATGCAGAATGCCTCCAATACCAGATACAGTAGTGCCAACAGATAATGACAAGCCAAACGAACTCATGAAACTAGTTTTCAAATTGCGAATTGATACGGTCAGTCTTCACAGGCGGGGAAGGGCTCATAACCCTGTTCTCGCATCGCGCTTTGTTGTGTCAGCTGGACAGGAAGCTGACCCCTGCGCAGCAGAGCACCTTCCTGAAAGACTACTTCAGCAGCGAGGGCCTGGGCTCATGGCCTTAATGTGACGGTTGTGAACGGTGGCGTCACCGATGCAGGCTTGCTTATATGTTGTCACGTCATGTGAGTCGTGTGGTACCCGATTGCTCAGGCTATGTCATGGGACGCACACATATCAACAGCTGCGACTTCTCGGTGAGCAGCTATTCCTTCGATGATGTTGCCGGAGATGTGGGCGCAGCAAGCACAGAGCATGTGAATGACCGGTCCCGTTAAAAGGGTAGGCCAGCATATACCAAGCAGATAATGGAAGTTATAGCAGTCCCTAACACGTGGCTGGCACTGCGTGATGGCAGAAGGATCTGGTTTGGTTGTGCAATCGTGAAGGGTGCGCATGTTGCAAAATGTCGATGGCTTGCTTGTCACACACGCAAGACGGCACTTGGACTAGTGACTAATGTCAGATGGTTGGGCGCAAGTGTGTTTGAAGCCGGCCTAGGTGGACTTGGAGAAGTTCGATACCACGCTGGACAGAGACATGAAGGCATTGATTCCCTTGATCTTGGCGGCTCAGGCCGTGGTCAGGCCGGAGTGTCGCTCGTACCATGCTTTGGAGAGCCTTGAAGAGGACGAAGAATTTGTGGAGTTGCAAGATGTCGCCAAAGTTGAGCACCGAAAAGAAACCCCTTTCAGGGCAGAAGGGCGCGAGTTGAAGATGCTGGCCTCACCCTGGAGCCCACCCTCGTGGATGAAGAATCTAGCTTTCAACCCTGCAGCCGAGTCCTGGACTGAAAGAATGCAAAAGGAGCTTTGAGGATAATCGTCTTTGTAATTATCGATTTCTGAATATTTCTGGACTTCGCACTTCGAAAGAAGCCACGCTTGCTCGCTGCGAACACAAGCCTCAGCCAGCTCTATTCAGGGATTGCACGGAAGCGGTCACGCACCCGCAGCAGGCAACCATCTCTTACTCTACGGTAGATTGTAGTGACTCGTTGCTTCTTGATAAGTGCTGGAGTCACTGATGTGACACTGATGTGCTAAGGGCATGGACCATTCAGGGTCCCCGTGCCTGAAAGCAGACATGCACGGCGTTTGGGCTCGCTACATTTCGAAGTGGGTGACCTCTTACAAGGTGCCAGCGCAAGCAAGCCAACCGCTCTTCAAGCTGAGTTGGGCATGCTCGATTGAATGAGAAAGTATGTGTGTGACATTCTGTGCAGAGGCACACAAGATCCCCATCTGGGCAGTCACCGTGCAAAACGAGCCTGAGAACAATGCTACCTGGGAAGCTTGCTGTCGGACTGCACTATCACTTCCAGTCACCATCGCACTCGCAGAGTTAGTGTGGGCTGTTCCGTTGCTTGCTTTTCGCCAAGGGGTATCATTAAGGCCTCTGGACTGCTGCAGAAGAGGCGGCTTTCGTCGGTCAGCATTTGGGCCCCTCAGCTCAATTCCCTAGATTGGTAAGTTTTGTCACGGACAAGACAGACTTCTTATCTGCTGCGACCGGGCAGAACCTTGCAGATGGCAGAACGACTGTCAGAATGCAGTCTCTGGGAGGTCCAGTTTTGAAGGAGGAGCATCCGGACACTTTTCTGCATGCAAGGAAGAGATAGAAGAGATCAACCCGACGGCAAAGAAGGCAAATAATCGCACCGAATCGCGATGCATTCGGCCCGAGCCGTAGCTCGCAGCAGCAGCGGCAAGTGAGCACTGCCCCCGGCCAAGACTTCGAGCCCCTAACACGACCCACATCGCCCCACAGCACCGGAATCAAAGAGCCTGGCTCATCCAGGCAACCTGCACCCTGGGCACCAGTTGACAAGCCATGAAGACATCTCACACATCACAACCGCTGCAGAGACACCTGGTGTGACATCGCTTTCCTTTCACAGTCCTCACAATATTCCCATTTTTCCGCCATGCCTAGCTCCTCGCAAGCGGAGCTTTCCAAAACTCTGGGCCGCATCCTTCGCTACGAGACGCACAAGCATGGCTTGACTGCAGATCCTGCTGGATGGGTGCAACTGCATGAGCTGATGCAGCGGTGCAGCATAACACACTCCAGAGATCAGGCACCTGGGCATCGCATGTCTGTCCGCTTTGCTTCCACTCTGCTTGAGCATTGTGATTGTGTGTGTCACCTTAAGCCTGTGGCCGAGCCGTATTCTGAGGTGATCGATGTAGCTCGCACTAGTGAAGGATCGCAAGGCAAGCGCTTTGAAATAGACGAGCCCGCGAAGGGTCTCTTCCGAATACGTGACCAGACGAGGAACATCATGGAATTAAGAAGTTTGTTTGGCAGTTGTTTGGTTGGCAATTAACGTGTGTGCTGCGCTTGTGTCTTGCTGCTCCATGTCGCCAAGGAGCGAGGTACACGCACGAGAAGGGCGCTGCAAAGGGCGGCAAGAGTCATAGGGCCGAAAAGGGTGCTGGCGGTCGTGGAAAGGGATGGAACAATGGTGCCAACGGTGCCAACGGTGCCAACGGTGCCAATGGTGCCAATGGTGCTTATAGTGGATATGTGCCCAAGCCACAAGGAAATTGGGAATCGTGGGGAAGACAGAGCAGCCAGGCCCCTCAAGCTCCCACACGAGGCTGGCAGTCAGCTGATTCCTCAGCTACACGTGGCAGTGAAGATTGGCACGAACGGACACCTTGGAGGCAGAATTGGCAGAATTGGCAGAATCGCCCAAGTCCCCAAGCGGCCGAAGAAACGGCAGCAGCCGCTGGCGCTGTGGATTCCAACATCGAGTCCTTCGACATATCAACCCCTCGCTGTACTCAAGAGAGAGCATGGCAGAAGTACAAGGACCCTGACACGAATCAAGGCTGGTTCCACAACTCCGAAACCGACGAGTTCTTTTTCGAGGAGACTGCCGCAGATAGGGGCTGGGCCAAGTTCGCAAGCGACATGGGGGCGTGGTGGTACAACGACAGTACCAAGAAGTGGTTCTTTGAAACAGCAAGTAGTTAAGTAGTGCCCATTAGGTTAGAAATGCTGACTACGGTCGCAAAACAGTCTTGCGCATGCATCTTGCAGAATGGTAAGAGCCAGCGTTCATCCACTCAGCACATGCGCACAGCCGTTGTTGACACTAACCAAGGAAGTGGAGGTGTTCGGCTTCGATCACAACAAAGACCACGTACTTGCATACGGGCGCACGTTACTCCAAGATGGAGCCCCTTGGATGCAGCACCCGGGTGGTGTTGACAAGTGTCAGCGCTAGGGTGTAGCCTCTGTAGAGCTCAGGGATGTTCGGGGTGTGGGGATGTTTGGTGTCTAGGCCAAGATCCAGATCGTAAAAAGCTGGTATAGATTCAGATAGCTATAGTCGTGACTTTGGATCAACATGTCCACTCAATATCTCGTGGTGATGTGCTCAACAGGTTCAAAGGTTCCACAGCTTAAAGCAGCTTGGAGGCTGCCTCCAAGTACCTCTCCGGCATCGCATACCATTGGTATGCGGGCGACGGCTTTGACCAGCTGAAGCAGCTCAAGGCCTCAGTATGTCATACTGAGCGGGGATTTCGGACTCCTTTCTGCATTGATTTCAGTGTCTCTGCCGTCGCTGTTGCCGTCGGTATGGTAGCATGTGTTAGTCGAATTCAGATTCAGCTTCCACTCTAAACATCTCCTAAGCATTGGGGTCGATATGTTTTGCCCATACACAGCTGCTGGTACTGGTACTTGTTAGGCCTGCAGATTGAGAAGTCGGGGGTTGCATGAGCTCTCATGAGCTGGAAGGCCGAATTCCCGAAGGCCAAGATGCTACCCTCTGAGGCCACCTGGGAGGTGCCCTTCTCTGAGAAAAGTTTCTGCGAGCTTTGGCGGGCTTCGGGATTTCCCTTGGGTTTAGGAGGATTTAGGGGCAGTTTTTGGATTTTTCAGTCTTAGGTCGAGAACAGAACCAGCTTTGCCGGCCAAGCTCTGCGGTGGACCTTCGAAGTGTGTTCTTAGATTATTACTGATCCCAGCACACACCTTCGTTGGGTGGTGCAGCAGGCGATCTGTTTTGCTCCCCGTAGTGCATGCCACATACCAGCATTCCTCAAACCCAACGCGTCTTCAGAAATGCGCCCCGTTGCGAATTTCAACACGTAAAGGGCATGCCCCGGAAACACATGCCTCGAAACTCCCGTGTTTGCTGGGGCTGGTTGGCTTCTTCATTTTCTCGGCATTTCTCGGCCTTTAGGCTTGATGTCTTCGTGGCTTTAGGTTGGACGTGCTTCTTGGATTCCTGTTCTCATTCCACGGGCCAAATCGTGCGTTTTCCGGGCCTGAAGGCTCTTGGACGGGTCGGCTCTTCGTGCGTGGTCTCACGCTGTTCACTTCACACGGGTTCCTTGAAACATGTCTAGTGCTTATGGGATGTTTGGGTTTTTGTGGTTAACTGTTCGCAAGCCGTTGACGAGCAAAATGCTGTTGTTTGCTGTGTACGCAAAGGCTTACCGATGGACACCAGGGACCAAGCTTTCGCAAGGCTTCAGTTCGCGGCCAGCAGCTTGTGTGCTATTGCCATGTCCCACCGTCTGTGCTGTCAAGCCTGAGAAGTGCTAACCGCTGGCGCCCCGTCGCAGGAGTTTCATGTTCTAATACAAGAATACAGAACATCTGCGCCAGGCGACTGGCACTTCGGTGAAGGATATGCGCACGACATCATCGGAGACCTGAATTCTGGTGCCATTGCTTGGATGGACTGAGGGCTCCACATCGTTATTGGGCTAGAGCGCTCCGGTGCTTCAAAGACACAGCTGCGAGTTCTTTGTGGGAGGACTGGAATCTCATTTTGAACGAGACTGGTGGGCCCAACCATGTCAACAACGTTTGTGATGCAGCGATGCAGGCCCGCCCCTGAGTTCAAATCCCATATGGCAGTTGTCTGTCAAGCTTAGCCACTGCAGACTGCGCAGAAAAAGGGTTGCTTACCTTCTGACGTCCGACTCCACACACCGGCCGAGTCCACGACAATCATGGCTCACTGGTGCAACTGGCGATGCAGGTCAACTTCTCCCGAGGAGAAGTTTACCGCCACCCGCAGTTCTACTACATAGGCCTGCAGAGATCTTAGGGCTCATGATGGCTCGTGTCACCGGTGACACTGACACTGCATGCGCTTTTATGTTGCTGCCCCCTCTGCAGCCCTTGGCCAAGCAGGTCACTTCTCCAAATTCTTCCTTCCTGGATCTGTTCATTTGACGTCATACACGCGGAAGAGTCCAACTTATCAAGGCAAGCAGAGTTGCCCATAGAAGCCAACGTCCTACAGCGGGTCAATCTCGTTGACATTTTCATTGAGCTTCGTGCCAGGCCCCCCGCGCCCATACGGGACCTGCACAGGGCAGGATGGACTCGAAGCAACCGCGGGTCGGACACCAACGGGTCAGGCGCTGCACTAAACTTTTCAGCCTTGCAGTGAAGCTTGTTTCAGACGTCCAGAGCACGCACCCGCGTGCATTCGTAGTCGTAGTTGTTTTGAAAAAGTGTGTGTAGGGAGATCGCGAAGTAAGTAAGTAAGCAAGTGAGTGAGTGTGTGTGTGTGTGTGTGTGTGTGGGTGCGCGTGTGCGTGTGCGTGTGCGTGTGCGTGTGCGTGTGCGTGTGCCTGTGCGTGTGCCTGTGCGTGTGCGTGTGCGTGTGCGTGTGCGTGTGCGTGTGCGTGTGCGTGTGCGTGTGCGTGTGCGTGTGCGTGTGCGTGTGCGTGTGCGAGCGTGCGTGCGTGTTACTCTGATAAAACACAATGCGTTTGTTTCCGTGCTTTATAGGGCATTCCCGCCCGGCGTCCTCAAGAACAAGAGCAACTGCAAGACCAGAATCTGTGTGTCGTTTGGGTAAAAATCTCCTGAACCCTTGCTTGCTCTACGCTGTGCTCCATGTTTGCACGTTCGCGTTCTGGACTGGTCCAGAGGTGGTGGTGGCTGGGGCCTTAGTCAGTCGAGAGCCAGGCACGGAAGAAAGACACAAACAAAGTTCTGCAGGGCTCTGAAGGTTTGCATGGGCTTTTTATGTCGGGTTGCTGCAGCTTGGGCAGGTTTGAGGCGTAGATTGTTGAATCCGTGTCGTTTGGAAAAGTGGCTTGCGCCAGCTTGGGCTGGGGGCGCTCAGAAGGTACAATATCTAGCCAGGATGCCAGAGCATCTGAACTTGGACAGGACATGGTGGGATGCAAACAGTTTATAATGGTTTATAACAGCCTCAGCTGATTGCGTTCGACATGCTGCGCTGCATGCGTGCCCTTCGGTGTCTTGCTGGCGTCCTGCATGTAAGGTTGTTCTCAATTGCGGCGATACAGACTTGGCATCTTGACTGCAAGAGAGTTGCTTTTTGCAAATTGTAGGGCCCTAAAGCTATGGAAAAAGGATCCAAAAAGGCATTGCTGCCATCTGGGTTGGATCGCATCATCCTGCGCTTGCATGTGCCGCCGGTACCACAATGCAGGAGTTCAAGCTCAAGTATGCAGTTTCTGCACAGAAGTTTGTGATCCCGGCTCATGCTATTCAGACATACCGCTTTGACGATTCTCGATTGCAGTGGCATGCGAACTGCTGCATGACTCGATATGACTTGGTGTTTGCCGGTCGCGCGTCTGGTAACTCACATTGTGCCCGCAGGCGGATGCAAAGATGTCAATGTAAGTGACGGCTGCCGGTGGCGGACAGCTGCAATGACAAGGCCATTACCTGTGCCCTCTGTCCTGAAAACTGTACAGAAGTAAACAGGGTGAGTGTTCCTTCCTTGTGGTCCGCCTCTGAAGTGCGATAAAGGACTGAAGCCAGCTGCTGCTGGAAGTGCAAGAAGAACGTGCCCTGCAGTGAGAAAAGGCTGCCATCCGGCGATGGCCAAAGTGCCTTCAGGTCACGAGGATCACAAAGAGTCCTTCAACTCAGACTGTCCGGTTCCCTGGTTTAAAACCACGGAGAGCCCGAAAACCACCTGCGCGCCCAGTGGGCCCCTGACTTGTTAACAGCAGCCTAGCATGTGGATATGCACTTACCATGCACGCAGGGCTTGGACGCTCTAATTACTGCAAGCCTTCTTGCTGTGCTTTGTTCACATGCCTGTTCCTCAGAGGAGCCATGGCCTGCATCGACAGCAGACTCTGGAGCGCATGAAAAAGGAGGGAAGTGTTACGTGCAAAGTAGGGGTCCCGCTGCAAAAAAGGATGGGGAATTGCGAGCAGGCTGCTGTGTTCCGTCAAACCGCCAGAGCTGCGAATCACGGTATGCGGTATGTAGTCGAAATGTGTATTCTGCACATCCTTTCCTGCCACAAGCTCTGAAGACTGGTTGTGGGCATCACATGTCTTTCCAATCGTAGAACAGGCTGAGCTACACTGCCACACACAAACAATAGCCGAAATTCAACAGCAATACCATAGCTTCAACGCCACTCGACCCGCCGGGGGAAAGGAAGATAAAATGAAACGCCGAACTCGGTGTTCCTCCCCGACCGTCGGCCCCAAATTCCCCCTCCCCCCCCCAGTCCTGACTCACCGTCCGGATGCCGGCTGGGGAGGGGAGGGGGTACCCGTTCCAATCCAAAAAGTCGTAAGAAAGCGCTTTAGGCTCCCCAGACTCCTGCGGCCCTAGGTCTTTTGCGCTCTCGTGCGTTGTATTCTAGCCGGCTTGTGTTGGCGACAATTTCTTTAGCTAACTCAAGGGAGGATGCACGTGACTGGTATGGTCTAGTGGTGTCGTTCATATGTGAGGCAGCATCCGCTCCATGGGGCAAGGATCTACAGTAAGGCCTTACTTCCTGCTTCTATGGACCGCTGAAGGTGGAAAAAAGCCTTGGAATGTGAAACAGTTTATGTATTTGGTTATTCCTTTTGTTTGGGGATTTGGGGGGTTCGATTCTACTCTGCCCTTTGCCCGCTAGTGGCAAGTCAGATTTGAACATGATCAATCTGCTGCAGAGTCTGAGATCATCAGTTCATCCTTTGAAAATTCTTTCTGAGGTAAGGTGAATAGAATCTATCTGTAAAAGGATTCACTTATGCATAATATTGCCAATCTTCAGAATCTCCTCAAAAGTCACATTGAGTTTCCAGCTTGCTTTGAGAACGCCCCTTTTCCTCGTTGAGTATGTGAGTTTCTTCTTCTATGATTTGAGAGTGGCTGGTACTGCAAGGTTTGACTGCCAAGAAATTGGACATGTTCAATACAGTTTGTCTAAACTCTTCAGAATCTTTGATCCACTTCAACATGACATGAGAAAAGTATTACTGACTGCGTGTTCAAAATCACTGGTTAGATGATAATGATTTTCCAGATCCCTAAACGACAGACGCGACACGACTACTCTACTCCTCCAGGTAGCTTCAAGGTTAAACCCTCTCTTTTTGGAGATAAGGTAGCCTTAACAAAATTTCCATCATCAACATGGCAGCACCTTTCTCAGTCCGTCGATGATTCGATCGAAGAGTTCTCCTATGGCCGTATCGCTAAGAACGCCGCAAAGGTCATGTGGCCTTGGCGGCATTGTTGGCTTGCACCGGCTCCCATGCAAGGCCGCATCAAGCTGCAAAGTGAGGTTTCGTGCAGAGAGAGGGAGGGAGGGAGAGAGAGAGAGAGGCAGACAGAGCACACGTCGCACCTGCATGAGCTAGTGGACAACAACCCTTGCGTCTGGGTACTATGCAGCAGACCAGGCCGCGTTGGTCTCTGATTTGGCCACATGTACAGATCGTGCTGGATCCAGCTATGAGCCCAATCCTAGCGGCTGCGGCCATGATGGATACCCTCAGCTGCAAGCATCATCTCAGCCAGTGAAGTTTCAACCTGGCAAAGCTTTATGCGACAATTGCTGGTGGTGTTGTCTGCTGCAGTTTGGAGCAGGTGGTGCCTTGCAGCTGCAAGGCCGGCTCACCTGTACAGCACAGAAGGAATAGAGTCTGCAGCATGGAAAAAGGTTGCTTTGACATTTCACGGCGAGCTGTGCAGGCGAATGTCTGCGGGTGGCACATGAATACCTACTACAGTGTAAGGCGTAGCTAAGGCACATGCAAGCGGAGTTATGGTGGGGTTTCTTGGCGTTGGCCAACGTCTTCTGGCTCATCGTCTTCGCTTGCCTTCTGCCTGCCTGACTCCATGCCTTTTTTGCGGCTTCCTCATGTGCGACGCAGTCAGCCAGTCAACGGGCACAAAAAGCGGCCCATTCAAACGAAGATGGGAGGTGCCGAAGGAGGGTGGTTGGAACTCCTCAGAGTCGCCCTAAGCGAAAGAAAGCTGTGGCGGCAAGAAGCTGCTTCTTCATTTGCTTGATGCAAACTCCCATGGATTCACCGTCGTAGCTTGCACACTACACAGGTTGCCAAAGCATATCTTGTGGCAGATTGTAACAACTGCCGCATCCAAGAAGAGCCTGGATTGCAAAGGCGCAGAATCAGCAGCTCCGGGATCAGCTCACCCGATTAGGGCAACTTCCGAAGAATTTGCAGCGCCCGAGTCCCAATTTGCTTTCAGAAGCCATTTTATTCGAATCCAAGGACCGAGTCCCGTGACAACCCTAAACGCCCGCCCCTCTTCGGCATTGTTTCTGAGGACATCTTGCGGCAGTCGGTTCGACTGGGCCGGCACAGGCATGCTGCCTGCCCTTTCTTCAGCACTGTTTCGGCTGCGCAGGGTTTGATTGCCCGAATGTGATTGGGAGATATTCTTCTGACCACTCAAGGCGCCTGCTGAGGCCTTAGCCAGAGAGTTTGTAGCAGCTTCGAGCCTCTAGCCATGAGTGCCGCGACAGCGCCAAGGTATCCTTTTGATAGTTTGTTGGACTTGAAGCCTCACCAGCCTTCTGAACCTGGCTTGGCAGGGGATCGAGTTCCTGCAGGGTCATCTGCAGAAGGAAGCCATGATGATCGTCACAACAGCTTCTGCAGTCATTCTAGTGTCTCTGTGGCCTTCCAATCGCTTCTGGATAAAATTTCACAGCAGCATCGGGCAGAATTACTGGACCGAGACATGCGAGTCGACCAATTGCAGGCTATGCTGTTGAAGCTGAACGCGGAGATTGCCACTGGTGCCATCGAAGCCTTGGAAGATCTGACTTGGACTTCTGAGGCATCTTGGACATCGGAGGCTGCGCGGCGGATGCCGCAGGCCGAGAAGACCAGGCTGCCGAAGAACCAGAAGAACCAAGGCAAGCGCAAGATGCATGCTTCTCAAATTCTGGAAGCGCTGGACATGAAGATGGAGAGCGAGAAGTCTTTCCATGCTGATCTGTTGGATCCCGAGGGGACACTTGAATCCGGCAGTACGGTCTCCACGACCCCGTCCAACAGATGGAAAGTGCGGCTGCAGTCAACGACTTTCGAAGTGATCATTGCAGCAATGCTTTGCTTGAACGTCTTTTGGATGGCCATGGAGCTACAGATCTACGGGTCTATGGCTGGCTATTCAATTGGACTTGTGGTGAGCCCATTAGTACAGGAGCAGGACAGAGCTTTGGTAGACACTGTCTTCGTACTGGGAGATGTGATGTTCTCTGTGTTCTTCGCGTTGGATGTTCTTGTGCGAATGTATGTGTTCAAGAGTGACTTCTGGAAGGTGTGGAGCAATTACATTGACACCGTGGTGAGTTTAGCTTCTGGAGTACAAGTTGCGTTGTTGTTTTCGCAGGCATTGCCAGTCAACCTGGCGCTATTACGCCTGCTGCGGATTGGTAAGCTAGCACGGCCCATACGCATGATAACCATGTCGAGTGTGATGGCATCTTTGCAGTTGCTGATCAAGTGCGTAACCGGCAGCGTCAACATGCTATTCTGGAGCATGTGCCTACTCTTTGTGTTGCAGTGCGTGGCCGGCATGGTGGTAAGCACACTGTGCCGAGATTTCATTGCCAACCCTGTTCACCCCATCGAGCTTCGACAAGAAGTCTTTCAGTATTTTGGCACTTTCTCACGGACCATGCTCACCATGTTTGAAACCTTGTTTGCAAATTGGGGAACTCCCTGCAGAGTGCTTGTGGAAGACATCAGTGAGTGGTTCTCCGTGTTTTTCCTGCTATACCGTTGCGTGTTCGGCTTCTCCATACTGAATGTAGTGAACGCCGTCTTCGTCCAACAAACTTTGAAGACCGCGAATTCAGACGAAGAGATTGCGTTCAAGCAGAAAGAGCGAGAGATGGCAATCTACGGCAGACGGGTCAAGACTCTATTCCAGACAGTGGACGAGTCGGGAGATGGCTTAATAAACTATGATGAGTTCTCCAAGTTGGTCCAGTCTCCCAAGCTCAAGTTCTGGATGAGCCAGTTTCATGATTTGCTGTCATTGTTTGAGTTTCTCGGTTGCGACTTGGGATAGATGTGCACAGTTCCTATCTTTTTTCTTTGCAAAGGAGTCCCTCTTCAACTTCATCGTAAGATACTTGACGAGGGTTCAAAGCGCAACTCAGGTTTCTCGACAATGGTGACGGCCAAATTACCTTCACGGAGTTCATAGACGGCGCACAACGTCTTAGGGGAAGCGCCAAGGCTTTGGACATCTGGCGCATCGAGACAAAGCTGGAAGTTCTTTTTCAGGAGGTTTTGCACGCGCTGACGGGAAACCCCGTCGCATCGGTGCAGCATGTATTTGACAACTCTTCCTTCAAGAGAATTCAGACGACTCGCCTGGGCAAAGATCAAGATTCCTAGCAAATTGCCCAGGCCGAGACGTACCCACCCCCTGCCATGTTCGGAGGCTGGGTCATCCCCCCCCCCCTTTTTCTGGCACGCCGACCTTAAGAAGGGTCCATTTTTGCCACAAAAGCCTGGGGGGAAGTATGGCCCGAGATGTGCTCTGAGAGAATTCAGCATGTCCAGGATTTTTTGGCTGAGTCCTTCAGTGACAGAGCCCGACGCCTGACGCCTTGGAAAAGTTGACTGAAACATGTCACCATGAGAGTCCCAGTGCAGAGAGACATCTCAATAGTGGACCTCCCCGTCCGCATTCAGATCGATTTCGCTGGCTGTCTAGGCAGTCTGCACTGCAATCTTCTGTGCTGCATCCAGGTCCTGTCCTCTCGGCCGCCCACTTTGCAGGCTGTGCAGAGCGCCAGGAGCGGCTCGCGTACACAAGTGGCACCATTGCTCAGCACTTGTGGCTCATGCGGCTCGGTGAGAAAGCAGCATAGACTCCGCTCGGTTTTCTCGCGAAGCGCAGGACACTTCTGCAAAGTCGATATGGAGCACAGGCTCAAGCTCTGGCATGGGCCTGGGCTTTGTGTTGTGTTGAAGCCATGCTTTCGGACACATGATTCTCTTGCTCTTAGCATCCTCCTTCAAGCAACGGGTGTCCAAACCCACCTGTATTTACAGGATGTAATGCGGGCAAAAGGAGTCGCACAAATCACGGCCTCAGTTCCCAAGGAGGCGGAACCGCAACGTGAAGCAACAACCTCCTCGCAGCTCGCTGTGCTGCTTAGGTTGGGGGGAATCAGGGGAAGGTTTGCAAGCCCTTTCCAAGTGAACATTCCAGTCTTTGCGAGCTATGCAGACTACTCAGCTTGGGCAGGAAGAGGCTTGAGCTCGTCACTTGTCCAGCACTCGGTGGTGCAAGCACCTGCAGCAAATGCGTCCCTTCCCACTTCAGAGCTTGCAGCAGCCCTGCGACATCCTGCGACGTACAATCGTTTCAAGGCCAAAACAAGGCAGCGGAGCTTGAAAGCTTTCGTCGCAAGCCGAGCTTTCTTTCCGCATATATATATATATAACTATTCCATTGGGTGCACCCAGGAATACCCAGTCTGTCTGTACTGTCTGTGTGTCGTACAAAATACAGGCGGAGCAGACCTGGGCCTAAAAAAGTGCAGCGCGTGCAGGCACAGGTCTTTCAAGTCACTTTCTAGTGGGTACGGGTACAGCTAGTCAGCTAGTGGACTGTTGTGAGTCCCGGTGTGTTGGAGCCCATGTACCGCATCAGCCATCGATTTCTGAAAGCTCAGTCCGCTAGGATTGCCACGCGGTGTTTTCAGCAGATACTGACTGCAGAAACTCAGAAGCGCCAACTTCATTGAGCCAAGCCACATTCATCGACTCCTAGGGCCGTAGACCCATCCTCGTCGCCATGCCGTCGCAGATGTCCAGCCTGAAAGCACCACGGCTTTGAAGGAGTTCCACAGATTTGCCAATCGCAAAGGTTGACGCTTGCATGAAGTAGTCAGCGAGAGTTGCTGCAAGTTCTTTTGTCTCATGAGGCCGGCGACTACATCAAGAAGGCAAGGACGTACAGATGGCCTGCCGCAGGGTGAGCATTCTTGTTCTGCCACGAGGTGTTCCGCAGCGTGGCTAAGCACCCAGCGGTGGTGCTGCTGATCCTGCGGATAGTCGAGGCTGTTTCCCGAAACCCTAAACAGGCCCTAAACCCAAGAACCCTTTGAGTCGAAACAAGTCCGTTCTGCTGAGAGTCAGGTCCAATGCCAATCCATGGTATCCACTATTTTCGTCACAGAATTCCTTCCAGGTCTTGGCGGCTTTGTGGAGCAGGCATGTGCTAGACATGTGCTTGCCAGCCCAGCACATCAAACTTCGCATGCTGCCGGAAGCGGCGTGACCTGGCGCAGGTGGCGACGCAGCGTCCACTCCAGGCTGAAACGCTCAGCAATGCTAGGGCTGCTAGGGCAGAGGCACTTCACTTCGGCACTGAGTTACGCCACTCTTGCAGGAGGCAAGTTCTGTGCCCTGCAGACGAACTTGAACTGGAATCTTGGGAAAAGAGGGTGCATCCTTGATTCACTGTTGACCCGCTGTTGATGATTTCGCATTTGCAATCTTGCATCCCAACAGCTCTACCACCTGCTGCTCTATGACCCAGCACTTTTGGATTTGTGTGCCAGTGCCAATCAACCTCTTGCCTGCCAAGGACTTGGTCCAAGGTGCGTGGTTTCAATCCAGCTGTTGTACTCGGGGGTGTCATGAGTGTTGAAGATGCAGCACAGCGAGACTGCCAGAGTCACTGCGGCCTTTAACAAATTTCGGCAAGTTCTGCTCAGGGTGCTTGCTCACTGCCGAGAACTTGCTGAACCTGGGCCGCGTCGAGAAGAGGACGCTCTTTCAGGCCGATTAGCCCTCACGCAGCTGTGCAATGCTGTCATGTCCGACTGCCAAAGGTATCAGCCAGCAAACTTCTGAACCGCAATGAGCACTTGGTTGGAGTATTGAAAGATGCTGCTCGACGCTGTCACGAGCAAAGCCGCCGAGCTGCAACTTCAAAGCTACCCCGCCTGTCTTCCATAGTGGCTCCCACATCTGGGCACTACAGTCTTCACGACAGCCACCGAGGTCACAACTGCCTGGTCACGAGATGGGTGCCGCCAGATGAGCGCTATCACATCCTTCAAGCCTCCATCAATGCCATGAGCCGCCAGGCTTCAGGCTTCGGGAGGTCTGAAAGATGACTTGAAGACGTCTCTAGATGTCTGTGAATCTCTACATGGGAAGCGCACAACAACCGTCAACAACCCGGCAAGCCACCAAGGCTCGTTGCTCGGTCCTAACTACGTACACCAGAATGCCTTGGGCGCGGCTGGGGCAGACTTGTTTAAGTCCACCTGGCTTCTTGGATGGCAAAAAGGAACCGTTCCGAACAAGCGCCGTCAAAAAGCCAGAAATTACGGAGGCTTGAACTTGATGTGACTTGATGTGACTTGTACCAACTTTTGCTCAGCTTGCCCTGTGCTTCGGTTCTTGATGGTTCGAGGTATTGCGTGACAATCATGACGCCCACACGGGCTGAAAATCATCTGCCCGATGAGCAGAAGGTGGGACGACAAGCTTGGTGTTATGGCAGCGCAGCAGGTCACCTAAGGAGCCTAAGACTCAATCTTCTAGCGGCGCCTGCTCAAACGAAAACTGGTGAGGTGTCGGCGACCACGAGGAGCCTTGAGACGTGCACGTTCACGGACATGACGCGAACACCGCGACCAACGCTTCGAGCCATGGCAGGTTGACCATGCGATGATGATGTTTGTTAAGCAGCAATATACTATATACCGCCCTTGCACCCCGAGTTATCCACCGTTTTGGGGTTGAACGTTGGATCTTGGATTTTGGATCCAACGCCAGTTTTCCTGATCAGGCCTTTGTGAAATGCACGAATCCAACGATGCTTCGTCCATCGTTTCATCAAGACATGATGGACAAGAATCTGCTCGGATTTGCAGGAAAGTCTAGGAAGCACAGTGGTTCCCTTTTGACTCCTCTTTTCCAAGTTTGGTTCAGTTCTCGACCCGTGCCCCAAAAGCCTCAACACGCAGAAAAACTTCGCATGATGTGTTATTCCGAGGTGGGGGACCTATGGGGACCTCCCAGGTCACTGCCCACGTTCAGGTCCAAACCCTTCACAGATCTGGACACAGCAAATCTCTAGTCTCCTGACGAGTTGTGCTGTATGTTCGTCTATGTGATATAAAACCCAGGAAGGAACATGCAAAAGATGTTGTTTTTTAGGGTTCTCGTAGGGAGTGTAGAAACACGGTGGTGTGTCACGATAATTTTAACGGTTCCCGGAGAGGGGGGTCTGCTCCCACACACCTCTCACCTACAAAAATACCCCAAGAAAAGGCCAGGTAAAAAGGCTTCCAGGTAAACGGCTCAAGCTATTTGGGGAGGGGATTAGAGGTGAGGAAACCCGAAACCCTCAACTTTGACCTATGCCCACAACGCCACGCCCCCTTCCAGAGAAAGGGTTCACTTCTGTTTAAGGATGTTTTACGCTAGCCGGTAGCCCGAAACACCCATGGCCTCGGCGAAGTGGTGGTCCCTGTCGACGAAGTGGGTGCCTGTTCTCACAACCTAGACACCTTCGGCCGAAGGCTTCGGCACATTTCCGTTCCCACTGATCACGAATGCTGTTTAGGGAAGGCACAATTAAAAGATGAAAACAGATACAGCACGGAGGCGAAATCGATATCAACGAATACAGGGAGCAGAAAACATTCATGCATCAGTGGCTTGCCATGTCTTTCGGTATCTCCATGCTTTTGAAAGGCTGCGATGGTTTCATGAGTTGTTGCTAGAACATTATGTGCCATTGCGTGGTTTTTGGAATCATGCAGGTGGTAGGTCTGGAGTTCCAAAGTTCCAAACACTCCACAAGTTTTTGACCCACGTATTCCAAAATTCAAACGTGTAATTGCACAAAGTTGCAGAACTCCGTTGCTGTTCCGAAAGCTTTCGGGATTCTGGAATTGTGGAGCTTTGGAGTTGCGGATGTCTAAGCCTTGGAACTTTGGAGTTTTGAGCTTGAAAGCTTCGGAACTTTTTCACTTTGACACCCAACCGCCTCCGCGACAGCAACAACAGCAGGCACGCTTTTGCGATGCATGTGCTTGCATGTGCTTCTGCGTACGAGGTAACGTTTGCTTGTGAAGAGGTTCAGTTTAGAGGCAGAGGCCGACACTTTCTATCTGAGGAATCTGCCTCGTGCATGAGTCAGAACTGAGAGGGATAGCTGACGGCGATTGCCTCAGTTACTTGGGCAATTCCCAGAACCAAGCTGTGCTCGCAAGCTGTCCGAGTGTGCTCAGTGTGTGCTGTTTGGGCTTCATTTCGCACCGACCTCCCGAGCATGGGTTTAAATTTAAACTAACAATGCCCCAGGCAAGCTCCAGCCACCATCCTGGGGATTTTTCAACAGCCGCCATGCCGAGACTGGGCTGCAGCTTTCAAGTCGATAGTTTGGAATTTCAGAGTATGTTTGCGCACACGTTGGCTGCTTGAGCGGGTTTATCATGGCTATTCACAAGCAGCGCAGTGGGGCTACGGGAACGCGGTTGGGATTTGGCACGTGGTTAAAATTCAGCATGTGCGGTGGTTGGAGCGGATTCTTAGCATGTCAGACCAAAAAACAGGTTCTGCACGGCATGCGGCATTTGTACTGAGAAGCTTGGTGGTTGCTTGATATGGCGCTGTGAGGAAAGGTATCGCATGCTGTGCGACTTCAGCCGCAACTTTCAGCAACAGCTCCTCGGCACTGCTTGACAGACTAGCATTTGCTGCAGACCTCCATGTGCGGAGTCTACAAAAGGGCTACGACGACTAGGCTTCACGGTGTTTTTTTGTTTCCTTTGAGGCTGGTTCGCACTCCGGCAGACTCCAAGGGCATGAGCTCGCGAAGCCCCTTCACCAGTGAAAGGGCTCACAAGGCCGGAGCCAGACCTCCTAAAACATCCCAGATTCCATGATGTCGATCCAGTGGGGATACTCAGAAGCTGGGTTTTTTGGCTCATTGTCTTGGTGTAGGCTTTAGAGCAATCCCGAAGACCCTACTGTGGTTGGAGAGTGTTGAATTATGTCGACGAAGCGGAAGGCCCTAGACGTGTCTGGGTCTGGAAAGCCAGACGGCGGGATGATGAAGCGCTTCTTGGTTCGGTACATTTTTGTTTTGTGTGCTTGTGCTTGTGCTTGTGCTTGTGCTTGTGCTTGTGCTTGTGCTTGTGCTTGTGCTTGTGCTTGTGCTTGTGCTTGTGCTTGTGCTTGTGCTTGTGCTTGTGCTTGTGCTTGTGTGTGTGTGTGCGTTGGTGTGTCTGTGGGTGTGGGCGAACGGGGCTTTTGTTTAGTTCAGTAATGTAGGGTTTCGGGTTTGTGCCGTATGCTGCGATGTGGTTCCGCCGAGGTGTCGTCTCCCAACCGAACTTGCAACAGAAGGGCATGCCACGGCACATGTCCATGCTTAGACGTGCCTTGGCTTCGTCAAATTCAACACGGTTGGCTCATCGCAAGTGGCATGTGGATCTGTGGCTGCACGCCTCGGGCAAAATCAAGGAAACAGCCGCGACGGCAGCAGCTTGGTGCTGTCAGAATCTTCTCCCCTCGGACGTCAGATGGACTGGTTAATGCAGATGTCACGCCAGCGTCCTGAAAACTGAGGCGTGTCAGCTGAGCAGGTAAAAGCTGCAGCCACCACGGCTGATGAGGCAACGAAACGTTTTTTGCTCGAACAGCGGTGGTGGATGATGAATGCTCGGATTGTCTGATCTTCTAGAGGGTCTCTGTAGAATTTTGCTCCGCAAGGTCCTCTCAGTGGATTTAGGCGGTTCCAAAGGTTTTGAGTTTCTGTTTCACGTAGGCTGGCTCATTCTCTTGATCTGCCTGCAAGCGTTGTTAACCTCGGAGGCCGAACGAAGCAAGGGCACCTGTGATGACAATTGTGCCTCGGCCAAGGGTCACGCTCAGTCACCATGCATCATGCCGCCTCGGGGCGGCTGGTTGCTTGCAGCGCCGGAAACATGCATGTGCTTTAAAGTTTTTGGGCCGGAAAACTGCAGTTTCTCAGAGCAACAGGGTGAACGGAGGACAGTGCAGGCATGTGCAGGCGCTGTTGTCGCATCAACATCACTACCATCAACATCAATACCCCTTCTTAAGATTTGGCTTTGTGACGTCGACGCGTTGGCTTTGTCGGACATGGCAGTGGAAGTCCTGAAGTTTCAAATTTGAGGCTGTTCCAACATTGTCCATGACTGTTGTATCTCTGAGTGCCCAAACGATGTCGATGGTTTTCCTAAGATGCATCAACTTCACCTGACATTTCTGAGGCTTCTTGAGGCTGCACGTGCGCGGAGCTTAGCTGATTTAGCTGGGAGTTGAATCCAAAAAGGAACTGAGGGTTCTACAAATCCTGCGCTGGGTTCCAGGCCGCATTACGTTGGACCGTCCGGTGCCCCTAGGGCCATCTTCCACAACGCAGGCGGGCGCTTTAGCGAGAGGCGTTGCTAAATTCCGACCTTTTGCGTGTCTACTGTTGAAAAATGTATGTGCTACATATGTTATCTTTCTCTCACTTTGTCTCCCTCGTCCCAGGAAGCTAATCTCCCATGCTTCCCTGAGATCCAATAGTTCTAGACGGCAAAGGGCTATACTCCGATGTTGGACCTGATGCTTTCGTTGCAAGCGAATCATGATTTTAAACGCTGTGCGTCGCCCACCTCAGCGCAACTCCCAGTCGATCCATACAGGCACGTGCGGTAGAGCGTGCTGGGCATCATTTACATCATTGATTTCTGTTGCGAGGGTTTATTTGGAGGGGAATCGGGCAGTCGCACAGGGAACCTCTCAATCCTCACGGCCGATGCGAATGTACGGTCCTATCCTCCTCTGAAAAGTACTGTAGAGCCCTAGGCAAAATCGAAGTGCAGTCAAGCTAAGGCCCTGGCGGAAATCCGTTCCTGCTTGAGCTAGAGTCCTATTTCCAGTCCGTATAGAGCTCTCTAAATGAAGTAGATGGGCTTGCTTGACCCTTAACTCAGCTATCCTAACTGAAATGGGATGCTGAGATAGACTGAGATAGAAGCCAAAAGGCGGTAAGTAGGGGTAAGTTTGCTGGGGTGAACCCCAACAGACATGAAATGGGATCCTGTCATAATGCTGAGCCAGATTGACATGCAAACCTGTAAGCTTGAAGAGAACTAGCTTTACACGGAACGCCATCTTCATTTGTATGTGAAAAGTATGTGAATAAAGTACTCCCTTCCCCCGTTTACTAAACGCCCCCCTACTTGTGAAAACACTTTCCGGAAAATCCTGCCACCTTTTAAACCCTTTTCCCACTTAGGAGGGGTTCAGGGCTCCCCAAAGCCCGCAGGCCATCCAACATCCTGAAGCTCCCTTCCCTCCCTTCCCAGCCTAGTTAGACCCTAAACCCTCTGGACCCAACCATGACATCTAGATAAACACCTCGGCCTAATAATAAAAACACATTTCAGTTTTCTATTAAGGGGGGGGGGGCCGTTTAGTAGAGATCTACTTGAGACAAGTGTCTAATTGGAGCTCTGCAGTGTTGTTCTTAGTGGATAAAATTCGGCTTTTGATGGGATCCAAGTGTTTCAGATGGAGCCCTGATGGAGGTGACATCCTAGTTGGCATGGAATCCAAGATAGTTTTGTCTAATCAGTTGAAATACAGGACGGTACAACGATTTATGTTGGTACCTCCGCACTTCTGCAGTCGTGCGGAAACTGCTACGTTAGGAGTGTTGTCCTGTCCCTACATTTAGGTGATTGGATACCAAAAAAGTGACGTACTACCCCTGAGAAAACCTACAAGCACACTTCCTATTGGAGACTTGGTTTCTAGACGCTTCAGCACGTTTTGGGTAGCCAGGCTTAGAATAGAGGGACAGTTCAGCACTTTGGGCCTTATTGTCTTCAAAAGCACGGTACCAAGTCAGTCTTCCGCCTTCAGGCCAGGCGTAAAATGCGCTAAGTAAGGACAGCCCAGCACCTTTGAGTCTAGAGGTTCAAAACCACCCTTCTGCCGTGCTTGTCTTTTTTGGGTATGAATAATCAGTTCTCCAGGACTCTTGATGGGCCGGAGGGGCCAAGACCTCGTAAGCCCACAGTCCAGCTTACCAATATAGGGTTTTCCTCACTAGCTTCTTCTTACTGACGGTACTTACTCACAATCCTAGTGTGCCAATCACCTCTACTCACTGTTCATGTCCATCAAACAACTGCATCAGCTTGGAACGTGTGGCCCTTCATGATATTGCAGCCGCTTGACAGAAAATAGGCCAAAACTGGGTCCCTGTCCAGAACTCAGACTACACCCAGGTGAGCAGCACACCGCTGCAGTCTGGAAAGGTAAGGTGCTGTGCCTGCCCTGTTCAGCTTGTGCTTTGGTCTCCGTTCAAGCACAGAATCAACTACCAACTTCTAGTAGTCGATCTCCGGGCCCCGGCAAAAAAAACATGCCTTAAGAGCAACATGAGCACCACTCTGGAGCTATGAAACACCATGGGTGTTTACGGCGTTTCCTGCGCCTTTAAGGAGAAGCCAGGTTGCGAGGTGAAGTGTAAAGCAAGTCCAAACCGTCCAAAGGCCGCCCCCTTGCCCTCCTCACCGCTCAAAGTTGCCTGTCCCTTTCGCCTTTGCCCTTCTCAATCGAGTCGCTTTGGTTCTGCATGCATCAAGTTAGTTGGCTCTTGGGTCAGGACCACTCCCAGCCGAATTCTCGCTTTCACGATGGTTTTTGTCTGATCAACCTCCATACAGACAGACGGCCGCACCCCACACCCCCACACCCTCACCCGTTGTTTTCGGTCTGGAAGCCCAAGTTGCCAAAGCTCCAAGTAAATATCCTACAAGCCAATGTGTTGGTGCTCAGAATATCAGAGACAGTGCCGAGCAAAATGTTGCGGAGTCCGGCTGTTTCCGAGAGTCCGGGGGGACAAGGGTCGACCGTTTCTTTGAGCCTTGTGAGACTGTGGGAAGAAGTCGGGGAGGTGAGAATGGCATCCAGAGCAAGTTCAGCATTCATGTTGCAGATGCTCCGGAAGGCCGGCACGGAAAGCTGTTTGACGTTTTTTTCTCCCTTCGGTGTGTAAGTGTAGAATGGCAGGGTGGTTTTTTTAAAGAGAGCTGGGCTGAAGCCAGAATGTCACTGGGATTTGGTTTCGGAGCCAGGTGCCCCTGTGTCGCCCGGGTCGCGGAATGGAAGCCCTTGGGGCTCCAGGTCGCAGCTGCACGTCCCTCCGGGCACCCCTCCTCCCTGAGTCACATGCGTTTAGGGCAGGGGGCGAACTCTCTCAACTTTGCACTACACAGTACCAAGCTACAACCACAATTTCATTTAAATTTGAACCTCCAGCTGGCCCCCTTTCTAAGCTTCGTGCAGATCTTGGGTGTGGATGCCAATGTTTGCAAGCTGCCTCTGCAAGCATGCAGCATAGAACTGCGACAAACAGGAACCAAGCGAATGAATATTGCCATGTATTCCCATCATGATTACGTCGCCTCTTTTGCGGAGTTGCTTTTAGAATTCTCGGTTGTTCAACTTGCCGCGTGGCATCTTGGCATCCCAGCAACGCGAAAGGCCTGCCTCAGGATATAGCTTCGAGGGCGTGCCAACGCCGTAGCGCCAGCTTTACACCAATTGTTCCAACTGTTTAATCATGTGGTTCCCCTGCAACCTCTGCAGGACAGTCATAGGAGCGACAGTGACAAGGTTCATCAACGTTCGCACTGCCGCGGCATCGTTGCAAAACACTAGCTGCGACCTCCAGTGTCGAGTCACATGCATGCTTTGTACTCTCCCAATGTAGGGTGCCTTTGCGCCTAGGCGAGGAGCTGCGCCACCACCTTGGGCAGGCTCAAGACTCTCCCAACCCGCCAGGAGATGCCTATAGTCCTGCCCAAGCCCTGCTGCAATGATCGACTTGGCATGTCTTACTTGGCATGTCGGCATCGTGAGAGGCAAAAGCTCGGAAGTACTGGTCGCGATTAAAACAATTACAATGTCTCAACACTGAACCCTGCCACAGAATGAGCAGAAGGGTTGCAGTCCCCGTGCCGTGAAGAGACAGACGTGTTGCCCTGAGTCTCCTCTGGTTATCTGGTCTCAGTTGCTCCATCTAGTCAGGTCTCCAAACGCAGATGGACCCATCAGATGCCAAACACGCTACACGCGCACGCATAAACGCGCACACACACACACACACACTTTCGCCGCGATTTGCCGCGGCTTTGCGAGCGAGGCGGCGGCGGCAGCACGCCGCGCCGAAGCCGAGGCGCAGCGTTGGCGCCGCGCCCGCCGCGCGGGGAAGCCCGGCAAGCCGAGGGTGTTGAACGGAAAGGGGCTGGGGTTTGCAGTGCAGGTTGTGTACGGCTTTGGATTTTGTATTTTGGAAGTCTTCAGAAGAAGGGACTGTACTCGTACCAGGAAGGACGGGACGAAGTTATTCTGATCTCCTTGCGTGCCCGGGGTCTGGAATGGTGGGCCCTGTGGTTTCACGTAGCCCGGTGGGGCACAAGGGAAAACAAGCCACATAGCCATGACATGTATACATCAGTGTATCAGTGTGCGCATGGCAACACGGCGCCAAGGATATCCTTCAAGGCAAGGCTCCTGCATCGGCTGACGAGCACTTGCACAAACTCAAGGCTTGGTTCTCAAGCAATGTCCTGCCTGTCCGCCCGCAACTGTCTACTGTTATTGGGTCGCAAGTCGCAAGCCCTCGCCAGGCAGCGTTGGAGAGGAAGCGTGCAGATGTAGGGCTGCTCCGACTGCGGGCCGTTAGCGCGGAGCAATGGTCCAGCGCCTGGAGCTGCCCTGGGTGCTTAGTTTGCAACCTTAGGCGGGGATGCGCAGAGTGTAGCCGCCGTCAAAAGATATAGGTACGCCCTGCAAATACGGAAGAATTCTGACGCACCCCCTTCTAATGAAATCTGCTAAATGGCTCACCAGTCCTGTCCTTAAGCTGAATGGTGCATTCTATCACTAATTATCACCTTGTTGTTTTGGAGAAAGACAGGCACAAGAATTTGTGAGCAGGCCACCAGACACCACCTTTTGCAAGGGAAATAATTGCAACAGCCAAGCCCAAGACGCGACGCCAGTAGGCACAACTTGACTTGGATCATCCCGCCCATAGGGCCAGGGCCGCACCCGTATCCATAGCAATCCCACCCAAAGCTCCAAGCAGCGTCGCACAAATGGCGTGCATCTCAAAAACAGCGAGTCACGGTCTCAGCCTGCACGCCGGTTGGGAAACCCATGCGTCGCGCGGATAGGTCTGTGTCTTTTGTGATGCCTCGCACCGAGTCCTGTGTTGGTTTTAAGAAACTGTGATAGCGCCCTGTCTGCGCTGAGGCCCGAGGCTCTCCGCAAGCTCAAGCGGCTCCTGGGCTCATGCTTTGACGAGAGCCTTCTGCGGGACGGGGCTGCTTGCTGTTGCGTTTTCATGTAAGCAAATGAGCCCTTGGGTTGCGTGGGACGCCTCTTATGTCCTTATATCTGATATCTGTGAGTGGCACGAGATGTGGCACATCGGGACCCACAGCCAGACAGCACACGCAGAGCACACAGAGAGGGAGAAGAAGAAGAAGAAGAAGAAGAAGAAGAAGAAGAAGAAGAAGAAGAAGAAGAAGAAGAAGAGGAAGAGGAAGAGGAAGAAGAAGAAGAAGAGGAAGAAGAAGAAGAAGAGGAGAAGAAGAAGACACACACACACACACTCTCACACATACAGAGAGACACAGCGAGCAGGATGTCCTGCTGCGATGGTTTCACATCGCCCTCTGGGACTCAAGAAGGCTCTGCGGCTCTGCCTTGTATTAGGTGCCTTGTATTGCCCCCTCGTCTGTGTGGTGCATCCTCAAGGGAGAAGGCTCTGCCTTGTTTAGGCGGCGCTCAGCTTTGGAGCTGAAGACAAACACCGGCCAGGAGGCAGCGCCGGAGCATCTTCTTTCCAGCCTTGCATGTTAATCCGAGATCCCCAGCGCGCCAACAAACAACCGATTGATGGGCCACCAAGGTAATCAGAGTTCAGAGTCTTCAGAGCGTGGAGATTGCTGTGTTGGTACCGACTGTAGGCAGACACCCTGGACGAGGAGGGTAGTTCGCCGCTCGCCAAGCTGGAGCCCAGTCCCAAGATGCCAAGTGCCACGTAGTCAACCTAAGTAACCAAGTCACTGGAGAATCCGCTTAGAATCCGCTTGCATGGACACACTATGTCGTTGCCAAGGCTGGTTCCACAAGCGTTCCATGGCCAGGCCTGGTAGTATCCAAGCCACACATAGCCGCGCGGCAAAGATACATACTTGTAATACACTGTGCATCTTTGGCCAAGTCGAATGCAGAGAGAGCGACGCAGGATGCACTGAATGGTGCTCATGTGATGCTTGTGGCCACGGTGGACTCTCAGGTTCGAAGGCTCCGGCGAATCCGAAGATTCTGATGTTTTGGGAACTCGTCCTCTTGGTTGTTCAAGTTTGCGGGAAGTTTCGAGGAGCTGCATGATTGCAGGACCTCCGAGGGCCTTGTCACTGGCGGAAAGGCCGTTTGGCCTGCTTCCAGCCACTTTGCGTTCGAGGCGGCCTCATTGTTTGGTTGCCCGCAAATCAGTAAAAGCACTGGCATCACGGAAGACGTCACCTGATGCAACAAGGTGTTCTCATGGAAGTCAGCGCTTGAAGTTCAGGTGCTGGCCTTCAGCGGCGGACCAAGCCGCGATATGCTAAGCTGCAGTGTCCCAACCGGCTGTAGGCCTTAAGCTCACTCACTTCACTCACTAAGGCCCGCCAGCCGGTCCTGGTGCTGCGTCAGAGGTGGGCAGCAGCTGCCTGGAGGTCCTTGCGCTGATGCCCAACCGTTGGCACCGGCTGAAGGCCTCACAGAGCGGACGCGCATGACTTCGGGGCATTCGCAGGCGCTGCATGATGCTGCGTGTCCTCTCAGGAAACGCTTTGGGGAGGCACATCCCGTCAACAGTCACGGGCTCAGCAGAACGGACTCGCGAACTACACTCCTGCATCAGTGTTGGGAACAAGGAGGTTAGACAGCAAGACTTTCCCAGCGCTTTTTTCAGCAACGGCCTTTGCACGATGCAGACTGCCCCCGAGGCTTGAGCTCAGCATATATGTCTCCATGGAGCAGCCTTCTGGCACCTGGGCAGCACACGCAGAGCTGAAGATTCGCTGCCCGCCATCCCAACGGATGTGCTGCCAAGCATGCACGCCATCTAGTTTATGTTACAAGCATCTCGTACTACATAACTTGTGAGGCCCACGACGAACTGAAACCCTCCGCGAAATCCAGGAGCGCGGGTTGGGATTTTGGCCAATGCGGGAGCTTGTTCTTTACTAAGTCAGCACATGTCAGCATCAGCTCTGCACACGGGCAGGCCGTCGAAGCTGACACCGTGCCACAGCCGACCCAAAGGCCTTCGGAACACCCTTGTCTTCATCTTTTTTTCGGGTCTACAGGGTATACCGGCAAAAAGTCCATCACAACCACAAAACCACATTCCGGGTCCACGTCGCAGGGATCAAAGACCTTTAAAAGGACCAGAGGCCAAGCGACCGGTAAACTCGAAGAGTTCACTCACTCACTCCTTTTCAACTTTCAAGGCAAGGCAGTTTACTGAAAACCGCGTTCGGGGAAAGTTGCATTGCAGCGGGGCGTTTTCAGGACTGAAGTCCCAACCGATATTCCCTGACAGGGAGCTGCAGCAGATGAAGCTGAAGGCCAACAATGTGCGTGGATGTTTTGTGTCGCTGGGTGCTTCAGGTTACTTCAGCATTTGACGGCACCTGTGGCTGCTGTGAGTTATCCGTGTGTGTGTGTGGGCGAAAATTTATGTGTGAGTGTGCGTGTGCGTGTGCCTGTGTGTCTGTGTGTCTCTGTGTCTCTGTGTCTCTGTGTATGTGTGTGTGTGTGTGTGTTTGTTTGTGTGTTTGTGTGTTTGTGTGTTTGTGTTTGTTTGTGTTTGTTTGTGTGTTTGTGTGTTTGTGTGTTTGTGTGTTTGTGTGTTTGTGTGTTTTTGTGTGTGTGTTATTTGTGTGTGTGTGTTATTTGTGTGTGTGTGTGTGTGTGTTTTTTGTGTGTGTGTGTGTGTTTTTTGTGTGTGTGTGTGTGTGTTATTTGTGTGTGTGTGTGTTATTTGTGTGTGTGTGTGTGTGTGTTATTTGTGTGTGTGTTATTTGTGTGTGTGTGTGTTATTTGTGTGTGTGTGTGTGTTATTTGTGTGTGTGTGTGTTATTTGTGTGTGTGTGTGTGTGTTATTTGTGTGTGTGTTATTTGTGTGTGTGTTATTTGTGTGTGTGTGTGTTATTTGTGTGTGTGTTATTTGTGTGTGTGTGTGTTATTTGTGTGTGTGTGTGTTATTTGTGTGTGTGTGTTCTTTGTGTGTGTGTGTGTTATTTGTGTGTGTGTGTGTGTTCTTTGTGTGTGTGTGTGTGTTATTTGTGTCTGTGTGTTATTTGTGTGTGTGTGTGTTATTTGTGTTATTTCTGTGTGTTGTGTGTGTGTGTGTGTGCGTGCGTGCGTGCGTGCGTGCGTGCGTGCGTGCGTGCGTGCGTGCGTGCGTGCGTGCGTGCGTGGGTGGTGCGCGGGGTGCGGTGGGGTGCGTGTTGTGAATTTCTGATGACGCGCGGTTCCACTCTGAGATTTCTCGAGATGACAGCTGGTTCAGTTGCAACTTGCAACAGCTCGCACGATGCACTGTATGTCGCAGATCAAGATTGGCACTGGGAGTCATCTACGAACGACGTCTGGGATTGGCAAGTGATGCCTGGCAAGAGACATGGACCGATCGTACTGGCCGTCGGAGCATCGTGCGCAAACTATCGACGTGAAAAGATCTCCAGGAGATGCCGCAAGTACATGCAGTACAAGTTTCACCCCGGCAGAATTTGCCGACGCAGTAGGTGGTGGTCCAAGCGATTCTGAGTAGCTCATGTCTCGGGTTCCTTTCTTGGAACCGCACGTAAAGAGCCGGGCAGCCTCTGCTTCTGCAGGAATCAGGATGTGAGAAAGATTCGAGCTTGTCATGTGTCATATGCGCCCCACAGAGACTGACATTTGTTGGCTGAGTGCCGCAGCACTGGGTGTCAACATTCTGTGGGTTGCTTTGCACACAAAGCAACCCATGCACTGAGGAAATGGAGCTTCCCCTTGGAGTTTTGAAGGGGTGTGTGTGTGTGTGTGTGTACACCCTGTTACCAAGGGATATATGTTGCGATTTCAGTCATGCTGGGAAAAACCTGCATTTGCGCTGCGAGCTTGGATGAAATTCGTTCGCAGCAGGGGGGAGGGGGGGTGGGGGGCGAGGTCCTTTGACATCTCGCGACAACGAAGCTTTATGTCAGCGGATAGGTAAACGTACCAAAGAAAGCGCAGCTCGTATCCACACAGTGGAATTCGGATGTTTGCATTGCACGCGTGGGTGTTCGGATGTCTGCATGAGTGTCCATAGTCTGTTACAACAACAATAAATTGCAGCAGATGAAGCTCGCGTCTTACCTGAGATGGAGATTTGCACGTATATCTGCGGGCGTGGCTGTGCTGTTATGTGCGTGCAAATCATTTTTCGCATTCGAACAGCAAGAGGCCCTCCGAAACTCTGGAAGGAGCTCCTGAACGATCCGGAGGAGAAGCTTCCAGCAACCAGCAAGCCTTCTCGGGAAGGAAAAAGCCAAAGGGTATCCCGGCGTAAACTTCAGGGGTTGGCAGGAGAACCCAGAGATTGAAGGAACAGCGCTGCAGTCTCAACCCCACCCCGCGCCGAGCTCCCAGTTAGGCCGCTTCTACATATTCTTTAGTTTTTCCAACATGTAGAGTTAGATGCTTACATTACACAGTACACATACATGCATACATACATATATATATATATATATGTGTATTTCTTTAGAGATGTGTGTGTGTTTGGGTATATATATATATATACGAACAGATGATATGTTGTCCAGCTCTTCCTTGAATTTGTGATTCGACTCTTCACCTGTGGTCGACCCTTTTGAATGCACAGTCGGCCTAAGGAGTTGCAGCGCGAAGAGCTGCAGAAACTGCTCCGCTCCTACATCTGAGCTGTTGCTCGTGACATGTGACCGATGGTTTTTTTCGAAAAGTTGGGAAGGATCTCAGGCAAGGGCTCAAGATGCCTTGCGATTCTTCTCATGGCCTTTCTGAACTCAAACATGAGATTAGGCTTGAAGGTGGCCCCGCGACGGAGGAGGACAAGAAAAAGGCAGAAAGAGAATGAACGCGAAAGAGTTTGCTCACTTGCCCCCCCCGCGCCCCGCCTGGTCAGGAACGCATAAAGCTGCTGGAGTCTAAGATTGCCGAGATGCAGGCCCAGGGGCGCCCAGGGAATAGAGTTGAGCTGGGTGCAGGGATTGTGAGATTGGAATGCGAATCGCGAATCCATGTCTGTTTGGAGGCCGAGCTCGAAGCCGAACGTTCCACATCCGAGCCTTAGCTGCCAGGACGTAATGCGACCTAGAGGTGCTAGTATAGGTCGATCTATTCAAGGAAAGCTGACATGCGGGTCTGCTTTGGCTGGGCTTCTGAAGTATTCTGAAGTTTACTCAGGAAAAAGCCAAATCAGATGCGCGACAGAAGCGCGACCAGAGACTCGGCTTGCCTTCTGTGGACCTTTGTCGTTGTTGTACTTGCGCACCTGAAGAGTAACGCGAGTAAAGTGCCTTCAGATATCAGATCAAAGCCCTCAGGAAGCGCCTCGGGCGTTGGCTGCCTAGCTGCTCCTAGCTGCTCCTAGCCGCGCAACGGGGCAGGACAGGATGCTGTTGAGAGCGGAGAGCCACGTTGCCAAGGTCAGGCCAACCCCAACATGGGGAAGGGCTTGGAGGGCTTGGAGAAGCTACGAGCAGCTGCCAGGAGGCGCGTTTTCTCGCTCGCAAGTAGCTAGTAGTTGTCGTTGTTACTGGCAAGATACTGTCCTTTGCTGGAATCGCAACAGATGTCGATGGCTGCGTGAGTCGTTTGGGCACAAGATGCGGCTGCTAGGCCTGTAGTGGCCTTCGCGGCCTGGGTTTGCTTCTCTGGCCATGGAAGGCCGCATGAAGCAGATCCTCCTCCTGCTCGCATTGGGCAAACTGGGGAAATCCTTCCCAATGGCTCCACCAGAAGCATCTCCGCAGTGCATTTGCTCGGGCGGTGAATCCGGTGGGGCAGGGCTTGGATGGAGCTCTCTGCTTGACAGATGCATAGAGGGCGAAGTAACCTCTTGTAGGGAGTGCCCTTGGTTGGCCAGATGTGCCACAATCCGCAACATCGGAGGGAACGGGATTCAGCTATTCTACGGAGACTGCCGAAGCAGTGCTCAAACATGTGTATCGGCTGATGAGTCATCCATTGCTTTTGCCGTGAGTCTTGCTATCGACGAGATGGACAATATCTATTTCTCGGATCAGGGCAACAACCGGATCCGAAGCTCGAAGTCAATCTCAGAAGACTTGTGTGAGTTGTGCATGCTAGGCGCACAAAGTCATGCAAGGCGAAAAGGCGGTTCACGTTAGGTCTTATGTTGTGCCTTCGCTAGAGAGGTAATGAAGACATGTCTCAATGAGCCTGCAAGGTATGCTGGACAACAGTCGGAATGCCATTGTGACGATTGCCGGAAGTGGTGAGTCTGGGTTCGCCGGTGATGGAGGCCCTGCGCGTCTTGCGCAGCTGCGGAAGCCGGAAGGACTGGCACTAAAGCCTGGCTTGAGCATCGGGCCGGACAATGTGGGTCGCGAGCTCTACTTCGCCGACTTTGTGAACCAGCGCATTCGCAAGCTTGTGCGCACCGCCAATGATTGGATCATCTACACCGTGGCTGGCAATGGAGTCATGGCTGACGATCCACTTTGCGACAGTGGATGCCCGCCTTTGGAGGCGAGCTTGTGGAATCCTCGCTCTTTGGCCTTCGCATCAAACCAGGACTTGTACTTTGTGGACTCCGGCAGCCACAAGATTCGCAGAGTGACGACAAGTGCCGGTGATCCGCAGAACAACCTGAACGCAACAATCACGAGATTCCTAGGCCATTCAGAGTGGACGACGAGCCAGGAAATGTGGCAGTCCTTTCGTGGCATTGCGAAAGTGATGCTGCCTGGTCATTTCGAAAGTCCAAATGAGTATCTGCACTTGCGCGCGATGTATGCTATCACCATCGACAAGCACGACCGCCTTTGGACAATAGACAGTGAGAACAACAGAATCTTCATGGCACCACTCGTGAATTTGACCAGGACTAGGTTAGCTGGTGACTTTGGGAACTTCCTGGCCAGGTTAACTGCGTCCATGTTCACGGACAATAGCACCCAGGTCAACACCACGGCCGAGGATCGACAGGCCCAGGAGCTGACTTGGGCCAACAACTTGAAAGCATGGCTCCCATTGGAATTTCCAAACCTTGCGACAGCTTCGTCTATGCAGGTGGAGACAAGCGACTCTCTTTACAAGCCAGGACGCAGCTACTGGATGTATGGAGCACCAGTAGCAAAAGAGACCTGGTGTCCCAGACGCCAAGTGGAGAGACCTCTTGAGAGCTGTGAGCCTACCGCGCAAATGGCAAGATTCAACGGTCTGATGGGAATGTGCCTGGACAAAGCTTCCAATATGTACCTTGTGGACACAGAGGACAGTCAAATCGTGTTCCTGGAGCCTTGTCTCACAAAGATCTGACCGTCAGTCATAGCAGGGTTTTTCGTGAGTCTTGCCCAGCTGTGAAAGCTGAAAGCCCCCCGAAGCCTGCTAAGGACACTGACAATTTCAAGGATGCAGACACTCAGGCTTCATCCAGTGCGGCGGCCACTTCAAACGGCTGCCACTGCATGCAGTACTGGGTAGCCCTTGAGGAGGAGAACAATGCAGAGCTTTATTTGCCAGGTTCCTTTGTCAGGGCCGACTACCTGCTTGACATACTTCGGTGCAAGGAGAACCCCGGGATCGCAAGCCTCATTGAGCAGCTCCCAACCCCTGTTCTCAACATCACGGAAGAAGTCTTAAAGTCAGCCTCGTGCTCTACGCAAGACTACTGTGGCAGGGTCTTCTCTGACACATATCCGAAGTGGTGCTACACGGAGACTCGCTCCATGCCCGAGGGAGAGCAGCAGCGCATGTGCTCGAATAATCGTTGGCTGTGGTGTGATGCTGGTGTTCAAGACTATGTCCCGGCATCCTGGAGGTTTGTTCCTGGCGCAACCATCATTGGTAACTTGAGGCTGCTGAGTACTGCTTTGTCTTGGTCCTTCCAGCTTAAAAAGTTTAACAGAGGTTGTTGCGTTCAAACGCTCCACTGCCACAAGCTGAGGGAGCGAGATAACACAGTGCCCGATGCCTGTAGCAGGTTCCACAGATGTCTCAGTGCGTCAACACTAAGTGCTTACATGCGTAAATCACAGGCACCATGCACATGAATACATGCCCAGGTAATGAGAAGCGGTTCGAGACGAGATACTACATGGACCTGATCAATATAAGATTCCTGCGACAATCATTGACAGAAGACCTTTGGCTAACAGCAGGCAGCCCCTACGAGTATGCAACGAACGTCCCCCGCCAGAGAAGCTCCCAGTTTTTCCTCGGCGGGACAGCAATCCTCAAGGGGTTCGTGGACATCGGGACTGGGCCATGCAGTGACTATTGTTGTGGCCTCCCAATTATTTCGCCGTTTGATCGGATCAAGAACAGGGTTGGCTACGTTTGCGGTTTCCTCAGTGCGAACAACATCACCATCCTTGAGTCCTACTTCCCGGAATCAAACAATACGGGTCCCGGTCTTGTGTCCGAGGTTCAGATGCTCACGGTGTGGGAAGAGCTGGAGTCCCTGGTCTTCGATGACAAGCTTGCGGGAAACGTGCAATCAACACTCACACCTGCAGCAGCAATCGAGTTCTGCAAGTCCCGCTGCGAGTATGATTCCACTTGTAGCGGCTTTATGGTCAAAGGAGTGAATGATGACGATCCTGAACTACTAAGTGAGGGCCAACCCTGCATCTTCTTCAACCAGAACTATCCTTTCTATGTCTACAGCATTGGCCGTTCGTCGTGGCCCTTCAACTCTATTGGAGAAGTCAACATGTCGGAACCGACAGAACGTGCGGAAGCCTTGAATGCTTTTGTCGGGCCCGGGGTTCCTGCCTCACGAATGCTTGGAGATCCAAATGGCACTTACGTGGCATCCGAAAGCAGTCTTGTAGTTTCCAGGAATAGCATCGCAAAAGCCAAGCCAGAGAAAGCTCTCCTCCTCATGGACTGTCAAGAGCTGTGCTTGCAGGACGTGACCTGTAAAGGCATAGCATTTCCCGGCTGTTACCTACTGAAGACGGATATTAAACTTCTCCAGGCCAGCAGCATGACGAGTGTGTACATCAAGGAAACGATGCAACCAGAAGTTAAGCCGGTGGCTGGTTACAGCGAGGCCGATGCTTATACCACGGGGGCCCTGGCTTTTGAGACGTACTTGAACAAGCCTTTCAGTTGCGCAGTCGATTCCAAGGGTGACCTCTTGGTATCGGATGGCTTGAACCAGCGGCTGCGCAAAATTCAGGGATACAACTCCCACTGCAGCACGAGCGGGCACTTCACGTCCCAGCAAGTGAAGGACTGATTCTGCTCGTAGGCGTAGAGCTTCACATATTTTGACCATGATTCATACACATCTTAAGTCGTGGATTCATGTCTGACAGCCGGATTAAGCCCTTTTCAACAACGGCCTTTGAAGTCTATGACACCCTAAACCCTAAACCCATCTAAACTGTACAGGGGTGTGGAAGTCGCGTTGCTGTGTGCACGCTTTCAAACGCACCTGATATTCTTACCTCGCTCGGTTTGTGCTTTCGGTGGGGTACGGCTGCGCAGGAACATTTGTAGTAGGACCTCGAACATCATTGCCGGCATGCGAGTGTGGGCGTCGAAGCCCAGCTTGAGTGCTGAGAGATGAAGCCCCCAAACACTCACGTTTGCACTGACATCTCGCGCACGTTCCTTTCAAGCACGTCCTAATGTTGCACCTTTTTGCAGGAGGTCCTGCAAAAAGACAAGTTTTTTTAAGATTAAGAAAGAACGCGTAATATTTTGGGGTGGCGGGGGAGCAGGGGGGTCAGGTGAGGCTCGCTTTTATGATAAGTTTTCCATCACAAGAATGTTTCGTGCCATGGGAACGGAGGGGGGGACAAGTACACGGCAAAGAGGGTTACAGGTTGTGGCTTGATGTCAACCCAGGTACGTAGCCTTGTGCGAGCCGCCCACATGAGTGCGGTCGCAGAGGCGTCGTGTTCTTTCCGTGCCCCTCCAGAGCTGCAACCTGTATGGTGGGGTCCAACAGCCTTCCGCATCGGCACCATGCAAGTGTGTGAGCAAGCACTTAAAGTCGCTCAAGATGGTTGGGTGGGTGCGGCTGGATTTGGGTGTGAGGGAAAATTCCCGAATGTTTTTTGTTTCATTGTGGTGTGTATGTTGGGCTTGGGTTCTATGATTCTTTCGAATTGTTGGAAAGCGGCGTTTTGCGTACTTGTGCATAAGATGCTCAAGTGAACAAGCTTTTTGTTGTTTCTTTGTTTTGTGCGTTTTATGTTTGAAGCAAATTCAAGTTAAACGGTGACTACGGTGACGCCGTACAAAAAAGCGGGCGTAGAGTCGTTGAGGTATTCGTGCGCAACATTGCGTTGGATCGAACCTGGTGCGTTCAACAGGAGAACACGTCGATCGACGTGTCTGACACATTGGCATTGATGTACCAGTTACTTCATCAATGTTCGTGTTAGTCTCATGCGTAGTAACTGGCGTAGTATGCCTGTTTCAAAAGAACAAGCATGTAACTATGGCATTCCTCGATCTATCAAAAGAGTTTGGCATGATTCCTTATGCACTGTACACGGTGGCACTTGCATCTTTACAACCCACCAAAGTCTCGAGACACATCATGTCACAACGCACGCCTGTCCTGAACATGCCCAGCTGTGGAAAGTAAGTGCCCATAGCTTCACGACGCACCGAGTTGCTGCGAAGGACTTTGAGAGGCTCGTTCGGGATGCGGATGCTGCGTGCAACAATGAGTCGGCACCGCAGCTTGTAGATATTTATGCCCGAGCTCAAGCTGAAGTCGTCGAGAATGGCAGCGTGCAGCTTGTTCAGGATGAGTTCTGCAATTTTGGCTCGTCGCCCACGCCTGCAGCAATGGCAAACTACACTTCCAACCTCTTTGTCCTCTGTCAAGTTTGTCAAGAGCTCCAACCCAGGCCGGCGGCATGCCCATGGCCAGAACTGTGCCTTTGCCGCGATGCAATGATGCAGGTGGCATTGAGCGCTGTCTACATTCATTGTCCGCAGCGCAATGCTTTTGTTGACCCATGGCACCGCTGGGTAACCGCCATCACGAGCTGTTTGTTGGAAGATCCACAAGCGGCGCAGTGGTACAACAGCAGTCAACTGCAGCAACATCTGCAGACTATCTGATGGTCTGACGGTCTGCAGGCGGCTTTCGAAGCCCCACTTTGGTGCGACACAAGATCGCAGAACCCATTTCCCCAAACATGTGTCTCGGTGCCTTCTCGGTGCGTTCTACATCTGGTCACTGAGAGAGCGTCATGGTCTCACCTATCTAAGAATAAGTGGCATGAATTTCACCACATGCAGAGCGAGTTGTTTCACGCCAATTCACCTCGTGACCTAGTGCCAATCAGTAAGGATCAGTAAGGAAGAGTGTTGCCACATGTAAAAAGCGCCATCCGTGCAGAAGTAGACTGAAGCAATCACAAAAACCATGCTGTGACGGCGTGACCGGGGGCAGGGTGGAGGACACGGCAGCAGCCGGAAGCTTCGAGAATTTCGGCCTCAACTTCGACGTCGCGGACCGCTTGGGATCATGTTGGGGGAGGGGGGGGTTCCTAATTCGCTTTAGCTGGTGAGCACTGTAATGCTAAAGACATGCTAAAGACCGTTTCTCTCTTCGAACTCGAAGGACCTGTTTGGCTTCATGCAGGCCGGAGCTCACAGACTTTGCTTCCTGCTTGGGAAGTGGTGCTCTCCTTTCTCTCCTTTGATGCCCTGCGCCAGGACTCCAAGGAGGAGGGTAGCAGTGGCTTTGCTTGTTTGCATGATTGCGAAGAGGCATCCTAGTTCGGGGAGGAAGGGGTGGAGCAACAGCAGTCCTGGTGGGGTCTTGCGGTGAGTGCCAGGTGAAGAGTACAACATCTATGGCGACAGCGACACTGCTGCGCACCAAGAAAAGAATTGCAGAACTGCACGCTGATCACGTGCAGTATCGTGCAGTCAGAAGCTGCTTGGATCCACTTCAAGCATCTTGTGAGGGCGGTTTTTTGCACCCGAGGAGGAGAAATTGGCACAGCGCCAGCAGGAAGCACAGGACATCATCGCAAAGGAGTGACGTTCTCAGTATCCCAACGTAAACCTGTGCTGCCTTGAAGTAGATCTGCAGAGAGACCGCAGAAGGCAGTCTCTTTCAGGAAAGAGCGCATGGATGGAGGAGCTTTTCTGCGGATGCGTCGAGGAAGCCTGGGCTTTCAAATGCAGAGATGCGAAGTGACGAGTGACGAAGTGCTGAGCTTGTTCAAGAAATCGTTTCCATGGCATCAGGCTTTTCCAAGTGTGTATGCAGCTTTACTGGCCATGCCTTCACATGTATTCACACACTCATCCCCATCTCAGACCTGCTCCTTCTAGTTGAGGAGCCACGCCAGGTGGAGGTGTGGCAACCTCAGCTCGCATCCTTTAAGAGCATCGATGCTGCTTGTAGGCCAGAGACTCAGAAGACGTTTCCAGAGATGTTTAGAGAATGCAGGCACGAGAAAGGGCAGCTCGCAAGCGTGGCAAGAAGGACGCCGCCCAGCCCTCAGGAAATGGTGATGCGGTCTGCGGTCTGCATGCATCGGGCCGGCATCGGCGTGTGGCCCTTCCTAGGCCAAAGGCAAGGAGGCGCTCATGGTCCAGGATGTCCAGGATGTCCAGGGCTCCAAGGAGCCAGAGCCGCAAAGGCGACTGACGGGTGTGGCAGGTGCGGATCCTTGGCTTTTGTTGTGATGCCTTGAGGCAAGAGCCCGAGCCTGCCGCCTTCAACTTTGGCTTCAACTTCGAGATGCCGGACCGCTGTGTCATGACGTGCTTTGTCGTGTCATATGCCGTGCCAGGGGAGTTGCCGGAGGCGTTTTGTAGGCTCATGCTGCGTCCGTTCATGCTGCAGAAGGAGATGCTCAACTTCGGTGGCCAGGATGGGAGCCCACATTGTCTCACCAGCGTCCCCCTGCGTCCAGATCTTGGGGCTTTGGTTAACAACTGAAAAAACCCCGGTCCGCCAGGAAGCCAACGAGGAGATCAGCCATCTCGGCGACCTTACTTTTGCTGCTTGGTTTGCTGCATGTGCATAGGGGGGGGCATACAAATCTCAACCCATGGTGTGCAGACGGGCGTAAGCGCACGTGAAGCACGTGCGTGCGCGAAACCATGGGCTGCAGCGCCGCGTTTCTTATGCCCACCTTGTTGCTGAACGAAGTTCGGGTGATTTTTCGAATGTTGTCAGCTTCTGTCGAAGGATAGATGTGAAAGTCTTGCAGCAGTTGTTTTGCTCATTGGCCGGTGGTCGAAGTCGTTTGGGCGCGCTGCCGAGAAGAAACCTAGAGGTAGGCTGCTTGCTCGGTCGCATTTCGTCGCTCATAATCTGTTTGCTCATGATGAGAGCGTCGCAACATTGTACTGATCGCACAGTTTCGCGGGGAAGTTTGCGGCCGAGAAATCGCTGAATATTGCCGGCGGGGGTTCCCCGACGGAGTTGCCCAGCAATGTGAGCGTGCCGAAGAATTTCGGCGAAGTTTTCAGAGTCCTTGAAGGCCATTTAGAAAAATCTTCTTTGAAGTCCGCCCATCCAAACGCCTTCGCGAAAGAAACTTCGCCTCACTTCCTCTCTGGAAGTGCTTGGTACGGACATGCCCTGGCTGCAGTTTGGACGAGGAGGGCCTATCCACAAAGCTCAAGCGAGCCAGTCGTGAGCCACATCGGAACCGAGCCCCTCTCCGTTCATACATTCCTTACAATCTTCTTTAGGCCCAAAATGGTGTGGAATATATATATATATATATCTTCCTCAACTGAGCATAGCTTTTTGTCCAAAAGTTGCGCCTTTGTAGGTTTGCCTCCTACTAAGCTCAATGTAACTTCCTCACAATATCTACATCGCTTGTGTTGAAATCTTGCAAGCCCGCCCCGACCACCAAGAAATGGGAGATGAAACATGAAACGTGATAGACAACACTCAAAAGACACTGTAGATTCAGTACCTGCCCATCAATTTTGGACATTTTTTGCTGGCTTTCCGATGTTTTTTCGTAGCTGTTCCTTTCCTACCATGAATGCGAACGCTTCCAATCCTGCATCTCTTGTTTTGCACCTCGTTTTCTATGCACGCCTGTGCGCACTCACATGACTGTACGTGCTGTAGAGGAATGTAGATGTTTGGAACAAAAGCTGCAACGTCCCAGCCAGGCGAGGAGCACTACATTTACGACGACAGTGACACGGCGCGATGGCTTGTCCATGTTACTTGCGATATGCTGGGCCTGCGGCAAGGTTTAGCTCATGTTTTCATGTTGCACGTGATCACTTGGTTCTCCCCGCCAGGAAGCGCAGCTAGAAAATCGACGCGAGGAAGCTCGCGACATTTTAGCTCTGGAGTTGGAGGCCCAGAATTTTGAGTTCGCGGTGGAAGCAGACTGCTTCGCGTGGCCCTTGAACCTCAACCGCCAAGGAAAGAGCGAACCGCCGACGCGGTGGGTCGGATGCGCCGAGGCCAGCGTTTTCCGCTTCGCTGCAGCTCACAATGCGTGATGCACTTGAAAGAAGCGGTTCAGGGCTTTGGAACTGTAGAGTTTCGGGTGGGCTTCAGGGTCTGCCAGTAGTCAAAAAGCAGAGCATGTTGGGATGTTGGGAGCGGCTGCTCTTGAGACCTCAAGTTCCTCGAGAACGTTTAACATGTTGGAGCTTGGGCTTTTGGCTTTGGGGGGGTGCAGGGAGAAGGGCGTCAAAGGATGTCAAAGGTTGATGTGGGGACTTGGGGCTTCAGGGCGTGCCAGTCGTCGCCGATGCTATCGGGAGGTGTAGCCGCTGCCGGAGGCGTTCCTGACTCAGCTGACGTTCGTAGACTCTGCTTGTAGCACGTGCTCTGCGGTGAACCATCTATGCACTGCGAAATGACGATCAAATCTCCTACGATGAGCTCACCTGCCGAAGCCTGGCCATGACCTCGGCAGCTAGGCACGCGAACGTGCCGCAAAGAAGAAAGTCAAGAAGTTGGCCGGTGCCAGATCCCGAGAAGATCCTTCCGCAGACTACGAAGTGCTTTCGGCGATATTCTGCCCCCTTCCATGCTCTAGGCCATGATCGCAAAGCCGGCCGTGGACGAAGCATGACAATGAGCTGTTGTGAGATCTATGTGTGTGTGTGTGTGTGTGTGTGTGTGGGGGGGGTCTGTATCGGGGGATCATCCTTTACGATCAGCGATGACGTCCTTCTATGTCCCTACTTTGGCAGCATAGCTGCTATTCGTCACATCATCAAAAGCGTGTAGCAGTGAGTGAGGGAAGAATGGTCTTTTGACTCACGACACTAAAGACTTGATTGCCAACAGGGACGAAGGTAATGAGCCCGCATGCATCCTTTCAATTTGTATATTTCTTGGAGGAAAAGAGTACATTATGACCTCGCGGGCTAGTTACTACTCAAAACAAGAGATTTCGTATTCTATATGGGTTGGTTGGTCTGAACTGGCCAATATTGGCCGGTGCTGCTTCAACAGGGCGCGCGCGCAACTGTTTTGCTTTGGGGCCTGCCCGAAAGTGGCAATGTACATAGCCCGTGTGAGCGAGCAGAGCTGCCATGTGCCTTCACGGCAGAAAGTATGTTTCTGCGAAAATATGCTGCAAGGCAGTGGGGCGTTTAGGGGGACCCCTGCAGAGAGAATAGAATTGTGAGTAAGGTGAGGCGAGTGCCGGGCTCATTTCACAGCTGTGATCATGACCCTTCCTCGACAACTAGGACAGCACAGCATCTTTCCGCTGGCTGGCTCCAGCCAACAGCTGACCATGATTCGAACCTCTGACCCCGCGCCCATGAAAACTCTCTAAGCTGAACTTGGCGCCATAAACCCAACATCTCAAAACGCCACAGCTTGCAGTACAGTTGCAGAGAGGGTGACAGAACTGCACCATCCCGAGTGCTCATTCGATGGCTGCCAAAGGTGCTGTGGGGCTGTAAGGCGCGGTTCTCTGCTGTGTCCTGGCCTTGGGGTCGGTAGGTTGCGTCAGCCCGGCTCCCAGTGAACCCTACGGTCTTAAAAACGGAGCAGCCGTAGCCCAGCGCTGGGCCAATCTCCCGTGCAACTTTAGAGTTGCTTTGCCCTGACGCATCGGCCGCATCGATGGTGATAGATGTGGCTCAGTTTAGTTCGTGTTGCCGTCCTCGTTTGGCATTCCTCACAATCGAACTCACATCAATCCTTGCAAGGGTCTCCAGATGTCTCGAACAAGCGTTTCAAACACAGTTTGCCGCATGCCTTTACACACGCAGCCTGCAGCAGCGATGCGGCAGATCCCAAGAGATGACAGGTGGGCTGCCAGCACTTTTCGAGTACCAGGCATATGTAGTGTAAGTAAAGCCAATGACGAAATCTTGCGCCTTTCTTGAATAGGTTCGGAACAGGCGTGGAGAGGTTCATGGGGTTCGGTCGGATGACCTGGAATTGATGGCGGATGCACACGTGCAGCCAAGGATTGCTTCGAGTCCAGCCAAGAGCAGAATCAAAGGTGTCGGGCCCTATCAATTCAACGCCCGACGAATCAGATGTCATGTCTGTGTAATCCTGTCACAACAGGCTCAATGTCAGCGCGACGCGTCAGCTAGAATGAAGCTGCCTTGCACCTCTTTGATTCAAGCAAACCCGGTGGCGCGCACCCAAGGCATCTGGCTTTTGGCCGTTTGTCTCCTCGCGCAGCGAACGGCCGACTTTACGGCCCCAAACTCCAGTCACAGGCTGCCCGGCTTAAGTAGGGCAACAAGGGCTTGTCTGTGGGGGCAACTCTGTGGGGGCAGTCTGAGAAAAATACCTCAAGTCCCTTTGCAGCAGTTGGCCATGCTGGAGGTGTTGGCGCTGCGTCCGTCGTGGTCAAGACAGTTCGACCACTCCCTCTGCAGCAGAGCGCTTCTCGGATGTGGCAGACCCTCGGCCGATGCAGAAGTGCTTGGCAGCGGCTAGGGCAGATATGGTGCTGCGTCCCCTGACGGCCCGTTTCTATGACTGCGAATCACCGCGAAAGCCTATTCCACCACAGCATATACCGAAGCGATAAGTGAAGCAGGCTTGGGCCCGGTTGGGATGTCTCAGCCATGGCACTGTTTGGAGTCTGCAGGTGGCCGTAGTGTTGTTTGCAGAACTGCGTGGACGGCGTGATCGCCCAGGGATCGCGGAGGGATCGCCTCCGAGAGTGAGAGGTTTTCAAGTCAGCTCGCCGGTGAGAGGTGAGAGGTTGTTAAATTAGCTCGCCGAAGCAGATGCGCAAGCTTCAGCCGCGCATGTGCATCCCCCTGTTCTCGAGAGGATGTGTTCAGTTTCAGCATTTTACTTCGGTACCCTGCCAAACCGTGCTTTCAGAATCTTCAGCCTGCAGCTGCGGGATACTGATGCTCGCTTTGGCACACGTCCACAAGTGTCGAGGCATGTCAGCAACTGCCTCCCGCTTGCTCGGGCCTCTCTCCGAGGCAGCCTTGGGCTACTCCGCCGCCAAGGGCAGTCGGAGCAGTCAGAGCAGTCAGGCCGTGAAATACGCTACATCGGCTTCTCTTGCTGGCCCTGATTCAGCTTGACTTCCAGGGCACGTCTCAGCCACAAAGCAGCGGCGCCGACGTCACAGAGGCGGAGGCCAGCCGCGGAGAGGAAGCAAGTCAAGTCTCTCTCTCTCTCTCTCTCTCTCTCTCTGCCAGCATTTTTAGATGTTTGTAGTTTGTACATGGGGCATCTATGACTCCTGCTCGCTCTTGCCAATCTATCGGAGGTGCAACTGAAGTTTGCTCTTGGCGTGGAGCTGCTCATGGAGCATGCCGCGAACTACAGCTTGCATGGGAAGGATGAGAAGGCTCCCGTGGGCCGCTATTTCAAGCAAGCAGAAAGAGATCGCGAGTGACCCTGGCAGGCATTGAGCACGCTGGCACCAGCCCAGAGGATGCTGGAGGTTTCAGGAAGCCCCCCAGATTTGGCCTCTGGCTTCTACATGCAGTATGGTGCCGCTTACGCGCCTTGAATGAGCCACGCGTTCTTTCACTTTTTTTGGTCTGAACCTGTGAGCACTGGCCGATAAATCTGGCCGAGGCCAGTCTCCGCCGCTTTGGGGAGGCTCTTCAAGAGTATGGAAAAGCCTGGGAGATACTGGAGATCCTGGGCATATCTTATCAGCATGATCAGCCGTTGTTAAACTTTGAAACTGTCAGCCGGTTCGGAGTTCACGAGTGCTCGTACTGCCACGCTGGTCTAGTCCTGTGCTCAGCCTATGGGGAGTCGAGGAAGTACAACTCCACGAGAAGTCTTGACGCTTGCACCCTGTTATTCGACATGGCCATTGCCGCGGCTGGACTCCGAAGAACACAGGACGCCCAGAGGTTTTTTCAGGAGGACGGAGCCTCACTTCTGCAGGAATCCTAAAAACTCCAAACTAAAAGTGTTGGGAGCTTGGCGTCTGATCCACAGGCGAGCACCATCCTCGACAGCACAGCTTCCGGAAATCTCAAGTTGACGTGGCCAGCCAAGCTGCGCAACCTGCGCAGCATGAGCTTTGCTATGGAGACTGCAGGCAAGGCAGTGAGGGAAGGGCCACTGTCACGAGACACCCTGTCTTGACACAGGCAGTATTGAAGAGGGCATACGGCCCCTACAGCAGGCTTGGAAGGCCTTCGCAAAGCAAAGAGCTGCTTAGAGTCTAGGTTTAGAGCCCCGTTGTGACCCGCATTCTTGCAGCAAATATGCACATTGCAGCGAACCGCAGGTCCTTCGCCAAGCCAACGCCACTGAAAGCCTGGAGTCAGCTGCATTGCTTCACCATCTGGGTGCTTTGCATTACTACCTGGCGGTATACCCCAAGGAGGGACTTGGAAGGGAGCGGAGAGGGTTAACCTTAAACATGCCATTCTACAGCTTGGCAAGAGTGCTGCACAATTTTTATAGATCTGAAGAGTCTTGTGCTGAGTGAAAGGCGGCCCTGTACTTCGACCTGGCACGAGAGCGGCACCAAGCTCATGGGGACTTCTCAGGTGCGGCGCAAATGTGGTGGCTTAGACGCCTGGCAAGAAAGCCGTCTTCTCATACCTACAAACCCCACTAGCTCCTACTAGCTTCTACATGCTCCTACTTACTAGCTCCTACAAAGCTTCCTCACAGACCAAGCACTCAATCCAAATCCAAGTGCTGCCGGCTTCAGGTGTGGTGACCACAGTTCGTGGGTGGCTGTGGAACGCAGAGCAGTGGCTGCATCCTTGAACTTATGGAGCCGTCCTCAACATGCCGCACATGGTGTTCAGCAAACGACAAGACTGACCAAATAGCTGGAGACGCTGGTGTGCTCCGTATGTATCGGAGATGATGGTCACATTGCAATGTCACCACCTGGACGAACAAGTTGACGTTCAGTCGGGACCAGGTAGGGCTCTGCAAATCTGTTCTACCGCATGGACACGAGAGCAGGCTTCGCGAGAGTACCGAGAAAGCGAGTCGCACTTGCTTTGGGAAAGAAGCCCTGTATAGCCTCACAGCAGTGCAGTAACTATATTTCATACTAGTATAGGGGTAGGACCGGGTAGGAGAAGGAGGAGGAGTTGGAGTGGGAGTAAGAGTAGGAGTAGGAGTGCGTTTACGGCTTTACACGGGTGACCTCACTGACCATAGAAGCATTTTCATCATTGTTGTCGCCAGTTAACACTCAGCCCCTGCAGCTGCTGAAGAGTGGCCTGTACTTCCCATCCTCAAGCCTCCTTTTCCTAGAGCGTGCCAGGCTGCCAGGCCTTCGGCCCGCGGCAAATGTCCCAGGCACTTGGAGTGACTGTACGTTGCTGCATGGCTGGCGAGTGAGAGCTGATGATGCACCAGGACTGGGATCCTTTCGCAGACCCAGCGGATGAAGACCTCGAGGAGGATGACAGGAAAGTCACTGTCGCTTCAATCGATGCCAACGTTGCTTCTACCCGCTCCACGAGGCTCCGGAACAACTTCAGCAATCAAACATGTGCGATGTGTTCATGTTGTATTGCAATGCACCACGGTTGTTGAACTGTACGTACTTTTTCCCGGCAGGGATGAGGAAGCAAAAGCCGCCACCCGCAAGCCCGAGGCAGGACTGCAAGATGCTTAGCAGCATTTAACAGCCAACGTCGCATCCTCTGAAGTGCGAAAGGTGGCGCCAGACCCTTCATTGGAGCTGCGCCCGGCTCAGTGAGCTCACCCCCTTGAAGGCGGCATGCTGTGAGCGATGCCGCGCTGCTGTGTGCAAGGTCCTCCTGCGAAGCGGTTCATGGGAACTTGATAAGTGCGGAGCTCTATTCTTTGCTGCTTAACGGCTGCTTTCTGCGATTTGGAGCGGCAAGTCTCGGAAGCTTTACTTTGCATGTTGAGATATGTTGAGGTGGCGCAGCGGAGCAGCTGTCGAATGAGGCCGACGGAGGTGGGAGATGCTGCACTCTTGACAAACTGCATTGCACTGAATCAGCACTGCCCACCCCTGTGATCCCTTCGGGCCTTGGGGCCTCTAATCCCAAAGCATCCGGCCGCAAATGATCCTAGGAGCGTCCTGTGCGATTCCAAAGTATGTTCACAATCCCTGGAGGGCCTGTAAACCCCACAGATCCCGACAGTCTGGAGAGCCGAGAGCCACGTTTCCCAAATTTAAAGGCGGGGGATGCTTGAAGCAGAGGATTCTTGTCAGCTTTGCGGCGAGGTCCAGGAGCCCCCGGACCCCCGCCGACGGGCACTGAACAAGAAGGCGCCTGCAGTCCAAGTCGCCCTGATTCCTTCACAAGCGTAGCACGTTCCGGGGCAGTACTGACATCATCTTCATCCTACTGCAGGCCAAGCGGCCAGCCCTCAGCTGACACAGCGGGGCACACAAAGCCAGACGCTTGCAATGTTGGCAGCATTCTCAGCTTACGCCCAGGCCAACATGGCGCAGCAAGGGGCGTCGCAAGGGAGCTGGTAAAGGCCTGTTTGCCCTGAGGACGCGTACTGAGCAGAAGTTGTATTTGCACCGAATAATTGCTTTCTGCAGGTAAGGACGCAGGACACGCAGCAAGAGCTGGTTGACTTGCAACTTGTATCTAACGTTTGAGCCAAGAGTCTCCAATTACTGTTGTGGGCTGGGTCTTTTGCCGCCTCCTCGTGTCCTTGGAGGGTTACTGGTGCACTGATGCCGCGAGGACGCGCTGCTTGGTTGCTGGGCTTGGACTCGGTTTCTCAGCCCGACAAAGAGCTGGTTGAAGGCCGGCCCCCGGCATCACGCTTTAGAAGATCGAAAGAGGATGCCCACCCCCACCCCCTCCCACACACCCAGTTGCACACCAGGCAAGGAGCCCAACGAGCCCCAAGAGCCCAAGCAGGCGGGAGGGGGCCTTGCTCTCTCCTTCTGTTTCTGAGCATGTTTTTCCTCTTTCCCCCCCCCCCTTGTGAGCGGCGTGATGGGTTTTCCAATGTCGGAGGTCCTGGAGCCCATCGGCAAGCTTCGAGAAGTCGAAATCGTTGAAAGTCTCAGCGCAGAAGCTGAGAGCACACAAGCCGAAAGTCCTCGAGACACGGACAGCCCTTCCACGAAGATCGTGGAACACGACGATGTCCCTTCCTCTACGCGCGCTGCAGGTGGTGATGCCCTTGAGGCCCATACCAGCGCTGGCCAGGTCGAGGAAACCCGGATCATCTGCGAGACGGACCCGAACGAGGTGCTTGCGTGGAGGGCATCGAGGCTGCACTTGGAAGATGTAACACTCGGCTTCATGTGGTGTGAGTCGAGCAGTACTACAGTAGTACTACCTCAGAAAGCTGAGGAGCTCTTCTTCAAGCTCGGGGAGGCACAGAATACTCAACATTACTACGCTTTACTACGCATGTGCACATTCAGCTCTCGTGCTTTGGGAGGTGGAGGAGAAACCATCGTCCTCAGCTGCTTTGTGTGCACAGAGTTTTCTGCCCGTCGCATCCCACCACCTAAGCTTCGCCTTCACAGCAGGTCGCACCCGAGTATGGAACTTGGGGGGAGAAAGGCTCCCTGTCGCGACTTCTGCGGCGGGAAGGCCTCGCGATGCCGCGACTTGGCAAGGTTGAGTCAGTGTAGACTCAGTGTAGACTGGCATGGCAGCGGTTCACAGTGGAGCATTGGACGCAGGTTGAAGTTCCAGTGAGAGCATGAGCTTGTGTCGGTATCAAGCTGCTAAATGTCAGCAGAAGCCAAATCAAAGCCCAGGGAGCCGCTGAGAGACGTTGCCGCCGGCTTCGATCCGGATTCTGCTGGAAGCGTCGATCCGGATCCTACCCAGGGCAGGTTTGCCCCTGGTCAGTGCCTGTTCCGCAGGCGGGAGACAAAGCGACAGCCAGATGTTTGAACTTGGGATATGGAGAGAGAGCGGGGGCCACGAATCATGTGTAGGGTGTGCACAGAGCCTCCATGTGCAAAGGATGGTCAGATTGTTGTCATGCACGGGAGCAGTCGGAAATCAAGTGCTCTTGTGAGAAGCTTGGACAGAAAGGAGGTGGCAAGAGCGTGCGGCATACAGTGCCCATCAGGTTCGTGAAGATCGCAAAGCGGCATACGGTTCTTCCAGCGACGAAGTTTGAAGCCATCTGCGATATCAACCTTGAATTGAGTGTCGAGAGCTTCTGTCATTGACTTGCTCCTTTCACTTCCCTGCCCGCGCAGTGACAGCCAGCCAGCCTGCCTTCCTTTGTTTCCCTCGCATAATTCGGAAACTTAGGATCACCTCGGCGCTGGGAGCCGAATCGAATTACATACGGATCGCTTCATATTCCCCCTTTTGTCCTGCTGTTGGATCAAGAAATGCACATGCACCGGTGGAGTCAGCACCCCATAGCACAGTCTCCTCGCTCTGGGCAGGTCCGATCGCTTTGGCGGTCCCCGTAGTCGGCGGGGTGCCGGCTGAGAAAAGATGAGCGATCTTGAGCGATCGGTAGGGCAGGACTTAAGGATGCTTCATCTAGGCCACAGCGAGAGACGTTTCCGAGGCGAGTCAGACGCCTGGCTCGTCGTGCACACATGCCTGATGGCGAAGCCGTTGCGTTCACCTCTTGGCTCAAGCCGGGGCAGTTTTGCGTCGACAGCACCTGCACGCAGGCGGGGGGACGTTGGTTGGAGCAGGTAACTTTGCGGTAAAAAGTTCTTGCTCCACTGCCCAGGTTGTCCAGCAGATCATGAACAGATCGCGAGGCTGAAAGTCGTGTGGTGCACGTTTGTATTGCGCATTCTTGGGGCTAACAGAGGTATGCGAGCACGGTCGCATCCTGAGAAAGTGCCGCCGATCTTGTTTGTTTCTGTGGGTGCTGAACCATGTGTCACTGAGGGTCGGGACTGTCACGATCGGTGCTGCTGTCCTCTTGGTAGCAACTCTCTGAGACATTGATCGGGAAATCAATTCGGCAAGCTGTTGCAGCTGAGATGAAGAGGCAATGGCCCGTGTTCTAGCAGGTGGCACGGCTGGTGGACAGCGGCTGCTTCATTCCTCCTGCAGCTCTGCCCTCTGTGTATGCAGTCACGAATCTCGCGGAGGGCCGCAGTGTCCGGAACCGGGTATAGCATGGCGATGAATGGCGGGGCAAGAGCAATTAAATAAGTCTGCTAAGTTGGGAAAAGGGTGGGTCAAGGTTCGGTTCGGGAAGCAGGGCTGCTGGCAGAAAGTTCATAGCTTCGAGTGGCAAAGAGAACTGAGCGACGCCATCTACAATCTAGTAGTTGGGCTTTAAGCAGGTGCAAGTGCGTGGCCGCTGAAGGCACAGAGAGGTACTGAGAGTGGGTCTGGAACCCAAGCCGCCAGAAAGAATCCTGCATCACCTGCCCATGCCCATACAGTAAATGAAACAACGAGAACGGACCAAGAGTAAGGCATGTGGTTAAAAACGCGGGCAGATATGTCTCCGCAAAGAGGTTTAAGTGTTGTCGCAGCAACCCACCGAGGCTTCTGGTGACCGATCACCTCGTGCCGGTCACATTCTGGGAATCTAAGCTGCGGTTGGTAAGAATCGAAAAAGCTAGACCTGAACACTGCCTGTTGCATCACCTTGTGGCCTCACCATGTTTGAATATATTTGAGTATCTCCTTTCCTGACAACATCAGTGTCCCAGAAAAGCCGCCGTCTCAGAAGCAGTAGGAGCAACAGGGTCGGCGCATGCTTCGTCCCGTTGGTCCCCTGTTGGACCAGGCCTAGCCCTACCCCTACCACTGGGGATCAGCCTCTCATGTGACAGCTTGTATGTAATGTCGGCTTTCACCGCAACATGAGACTCGCAGCACAGCTGCCACGCTAATTATCAGACATAACTCTGCAAGGACTCGTAGCTGGAAGAGCAGCTGCATCAACAGCAGTTCCACGAATGCCATCGTTGTCGTGCGTTGTTCATGCCGTTGCCTGTGTGGCATCTGATGCCGGGAGTACACCACAAAGTAATTCGCCCTTGTCCATTGTTCAGCCAGATCTGTCTTGTTCCCCGCAAAGTGGGGTTTGATGTGAAGGACCAAGTGGCTCGCATCGTGCGACGCGATGTGGGCAGGACAGCAGACAGTACAGCTCGCAGGCAGTAGCCTTCAGGGCAAAAGGAGGCTAAATGCACCGGAATTCTGCTTTCCATGGAGGGAGGCCATGTGGGCAGTGGGCCAGGGAGGTTTACTCGGGCCGGCGATTGTACCGAATTGCCCGAATGGGCAACATTCACCAGCTGTCACAAGATACATGCCTTTCGCGACTTTGGGCTTTCTTGCTTGCCGGCCTAGGGCCTCAAGAATCCCGAAACGAACGTAGGTTTGGGAAATGACCATTGCTGCCAGAAACACGGCTTTTGCCGATGACAGTCGGAATTCGAATGCAAACGTACGCGGCGTCAAATACCAAACGGCGCGCGTACTACTAGTACTAGTACTAGTACGACGACGACGACTGTTCTGTTCCCTTCCCAACACTGCAATTGCATGCTTGGTTTTGGGACAGGGCGGGGATGGTCGAAATGGTGGTAATCTTTTAGCAGTACTAGCCCAGGAAGCTCCGTTCTGGCTCACATCTCAGCCTCTTGTTCGGAGGTTATCGCTTCCTCCTTGCCCTCCAAATGTGCTTAGGCTCTTCTCCCGAGCTTGGCGCATGCAGAGGAGGGTACCCCGGCATCCGGCTTCAGCCTTAGATTGCCTTAGATGGTCAACCCAAAAGCCAGCTCCGAGCCAGCTGAGTCCATCTGTATGTGTACAAAAATATTCAAGGTAAATATGCATACTTTTGTTTCTAAATTTTCAACCCATTTCTATACTTTTCAAAGTTTGATTCATTCACACATATACATATATATACACATACACACATGTATATATATATATATATGCATATGGATATGGAGTGTTCGGCGAACCTGCCTCCCCAGAAAGCGCCAACGAGTTGGTCGAGAAGTGGAGGCCAGACCTTCTTTGCCCTCAGGGGAGCTGAAATGGGGCAAGATGGTGGGGTTGAGCACAATCCATCATCTCGATCTTGGGAGTCCTAAGACGTACCCCGAACCTCTGGCAAAGCCTCTTCAGCCAAGCATTTTCAGAAAGCCAGAGAACCCACCAGAGACCGATTCGCCAGGGCCTTTTCGGCGAATCCTGACCAACAGGATCCCAACGCCGTCGTTCCTAACGGGGAGGTGCGCGACCTGAAGCCTTTGGGAAGTGACAGCACATGTGGGCTTATAGGGTCTTTGAATGCTGAAGAGGTTCCATACTTGAAACTCACCCCCCAAACCTAAACGTCCGTAACCCTGCAACATGTCAGACGTGGCAATGGGGCACGCTCACGGGCCGGCCGGACCAGCTCGAGCCCCGAGTTGATTGTGGCGAGTTGCTACATTGGGGTTATTTTTGGGCTTCTCACGGATTTAGTATCATTCGGGGCTTTGAGGCTTTGAGGCTTTGAGGCTTTGAGGGAGCGCGTGCTGCCTGAGGGAGGGCGTCTTCTTGATTGTTGGAGCGATTGGCATCGCGGCCGCCTCGGAAAGCCCCAGCTGCGATGCCACGTCCACGGTCCAGCGACCCACGTGTCTCACCAAGACAGCGGCCTTTGTGGTACAGTTCGTCCTTCCGGACCCCAAGGCCAACAGGTGATAAAAAACATGATGACACAACACGACACACCGCAATCTTCAGCGGAGGATGAGGTGGTGGACATCGAAGCAGCAAAAGCCCGACCTAGACCAGAGTGGCCGCTCGTTTGCCATTTGGTCTATGTGGGGTGTCGCAAGGATTGTTGAAGCATTCAACCCAAATGCGACACGCCCATGCCTCGGGCCTGCAGGGTGATTCAGCGAGACTTGAAGGAGGCGGAGGAGATGAAGAAAAGCAAGGACAGGGCAGATCTTATGAACGATCTGAAGGGCCTCCTGATGACGATAGGAGCAGGGACCATGCCTCAGCCCGTAGTGATGACAACATGCACTCATGCCCCAGGAGTTCAAGGAAAAGCAGAGGCAGCCACCTCAGACCTGCACCTTGCACACGAACCTCCAATGTTTCATTTCTCCGCGGATTTCCGAACGAAAGAGCGTGCTTGAAGCTGCCTCTGATGGCTGTGTGTTGCCAGGGGCCGCGGGATGCGTGAGGGCATCATGCCTCGCTGAGCATTGGCGGAAGAGCTACGCATGAAGGTCAAACAAGTCAAGCCCAGCCCCAATGGCAGTGAGTTCGGCAAGCTGTTGGCCAGCCCTCGTTGGGCCACAGTAGGGCCCCGCATTGTGCTGCCATTCTCCGTGTATATAGATCCCCGGCACAGCCCACACGGGCTTTGAAAAGGTGCCACGATGGCCGGCCCAGCTAGACCAAGAGCATCAGAAGACAATGCGAAGCCGCAAATGCCCGATAAGGTATCCTTCCACACTTGGAATATCGGACAGCTGCACTATTGCAACAGCATGTTGCTGTTCAAATCGAATGGCCCCCTGCCACTGCCGCTTCACTCTAATCAGGTGTCATTGCGAAGGCCAAGCATGAGTCTAGGTCATGGCCTGGACAAAAGAGCGCGACACACCATTTGGACGAGCCGGGTCAACAGAGCTTTGCAAAGAATCATCCGCAGACATAAGGCGAATTTAGTGCGTTGCGGTGTGGCCTATGCCGCCTTCTGCCCTGCATGACAGCGGCAGTGCATGAAGGGTACCTTGACCTACAGACCACTGCCGAGCAGAACGGCGGTCTGGACGCTGAGCTCTCTGCCTTACAGCGCTTCCGTGACTTGGGCCGCGGCCTGAGTCAGATTGACGGGAGAGAGAGAACCTGTGCAAGACTCCAGGAACACGAAAGCTCAGCACTGTGCCAGGCGATGTTCAGGCATTGGTGGCCACACTCCGACGAGTTGCGCAGATTGCATGGAGCGCACATCGGCTAGAAGAAGGCCTTCGGGCAGCAGATGAGGCCAGGGAACTCACAGCATTTGTGCTCTTGATGGTCACCTCCAGAAATCAGAAAGGCCCGTCAGCTGCTTCAAGAGCGGCGCGATAGGGAAGGGGAGTTGGCAGCTTGGATGCATGCAGGTATGGCAGTAGCGGAACGGTCGCTGGGCATCCATCGGGGGTCTGATGCACGCACCCATCGAACTTATCGAGCGGAGTTCACAGGAGTTCCTGTCATGGACCATTGGTATGTTGCGGAGACGGCGGAATGAAGCAGAAGCCATGCGTGCGGGACTCAATGAAATCAGCTAATTAATCGTCCCAAGCATCCCAAAACCCTAAAGCAGAACGTAGATGGAAGGGTCCACTTCCTCGTCCATCCCTGCCACAAAAGGTTTCGCGAAGCGCCGTTTGGAGCTCTACCGCCAGATGCAAATGCTCCCCCAGGCTGGTGAACGCTTCTCGATGCCTTGCGCAACTTGCACTGTTAGCTTGCAACCTCCGGTGTTGCCGACCAAGGTTGCCAACAGCCTTTGTGAGATCGCGGAGCTGAGCATAGCTGTGGACGAGGTCCGGAAGATAGAATCAACGGCCAAACTCTACTTTTGAGTTCGATTTCTGAGAATATGTGGGTACAAGCAGCTTTCAAACTCCAAATGTTCAAGCCCGACAGAGTCCAGTCCAAAGTTCAATCATTCGAGCCCGATCGCCTCTTCTCAAGCTCAATCTCCAAACTTTCGCACATCCCGACTTTGAAAAGATTTCACAGTTTGAAGGTCTGGAGTTCGATTGTTTCAGAGTCGAACGATTTAACAGTTAATAGGTGTCGAAGTCCTCTTCTCTCAAGTTTTATCTTTAAACCCGTAGATTTGTGACCGATTTCCGGTCTTCTTCTTTCATAGACATGTTTCCAAAAGACATGGCTACGATTGTGGCCCTACATGTACAACTTTCAACGTGAACCCGTGTGCCACACAAAAGCATACCCAACGTGAGTTCAGGAGTGTGTTGCTCAATCATGTAACCGATTTCGAGCTCGCTTCGCATTTTTTCCCGCAAACGCACCCCGCACAGTACCCTGCAGGGTGCCCCTAGGCCCTAGCCCCGCACCGAATGTATGAATGTATTCGTGACACCCGCATGGCAACTATGCCAGGTCATTGAGGCTACAGAAGCTGGACAAGCAGCTGAATCCATCTTCAAGCGCTTGAAGGAGATGCGAGAAAGCACTTGTCATGCCTTTTATGCGGTGGACGCAAAAGGACTACAAAGGGGAAGCAAGGGTGCTTTTGGAGGTTGCCTGTGCCCCAGTCCCAGAATACGACGCTTGTGCCTTTGCGCCCCGAGCAGCTGAGGTCGCCAAGGTGGAGATGTTGAAGGGCCGCCCCGTGCGGGGCTTGGACCATCTTGGACCCATGGTGCCATCAAATCCGGCCCGTCTGCGATACAAACGTGTCCGTGAGAAAGCGACTCCGCAAGCTTCAACGAGACATAACGAGACTCAATGTCTCAGCAACTCTTCAAAGCGTAGATGCTCAGGATGTGGCGCAGTTGGCTGCAAAGAATGCCGGCAACCGAGCCCGCTATGGGGCTGCTGCAAAAGCGACCCACTGCCCGATGGCTCAGTTTTTGCTGAGTATACCGAGGCAGCCTCTTTACTGCGAGCACATTTTGACAGCGTGGGTGAGGCCAAAGCGCGTCGAGCTTACGAAGCGCTCCCCTTCGCTTGTCCTCCACGCCACACAAACGATTCCTTTACGAGGTTGACTGTGCTGGCCGAACAACTGGTGCCTGCCTTAGTTATTGCCAACCTCTCCTCGGCCCAGCCTGGTATAGCCGAAGAAATGCGAGTTCCGACTTGCACGCACACACACACACACACACACACACACACACACACACACACACACACACACACACACACACACACACACACACACACACACACACACACACACGCACGCACATTTTTGGCAAAGTTGTATTGAATCTGCGTGAAGCCTAAGTGAGGGAGCCGCGCTTTCCAGGCCTGTCTCTCAACAACCAGAGTTGCACAGTCGCACTTCTGTGCAACCAAATCAATGTGGACATCAGCAGATGAAATCCGATCGAAAACCAGCAATAGATTTCACTCCTATGGTACGGCTTGCATTGCGTGAGCGACAACCGAACGAGAATCTCTAGGGAAGCGGACTTCCTCTGCATAGCTTGGATAGCCTTGTCCAGTAGTCGCAACCTCGGCTGCTCAAGCCGAGCAGGATGCATCCAGACGATAAGCAGAATGGAACACCCTTTTTCGTAGCTGGTGGTTCGCGGGGCTGTTGGCGCCCGAAACCCGGCTCCCGGCTCCTATATGCCCTCATTCTGTATAGCCCGCGTCCGCTTTTCTCAGTTTCCGAGTGGCTGTGGCTGATGTACATTGCGTCTCCTGAAGTTCCTATATCCTTCCTCAAGGTTTCTGCCAGCCACCATGAAGAGGCTCTTGAGGTGCTCGGGGAGGCCAAGCCTCACTTGTCGCTGTCCCGTTGAGTGGTGCTCGTTGTGGCGCACACTGCATAGGCGGCGATCCGGTTTCGCAAGGCTAAGGAGAACAATGCTTTGGCCGAAATGCAGCCTGGCCCGAGCTGGTGGAGCTAATCCATGTGGCCAACATTCCCAAACCCGGCTCAGGTTGATTGCGGGTGTGTCGGTCCACTTGGATGTGGGCAGTGTGCCGCTCCCTTGGACATGGCAGACTTTGTGTTGAGACAAACCGCGCGCCGGCGTTGCAATCAAGGTCGAAGGCCCAACAAGCAGCAGATACGGCACTGCCCTAAGCAGCCACGTCGGTCGGACCACGGTGGCCCATGTGGGCCTGTGCAAATCCGAAACAAGTACATCTCTGCACAGCAGAGGCCTTGAACGTTTGCCGGCAGCTTGGGAAGGCGGCTACAATACGGTTACAAGCTGCAAAGTTTTCCAACCGAATTTGCAGCTTCGCCTTTTGGAAGTTCAATGAGCCTTTCTTGCGAGGATGGTGCCAGTCAGCTGGCATCCGCCCTCCTCGCGGCTGCCAGGCACATGGCATGGAGCCATACTGGTTCTTATCCACTTATCGCGCGTATTATATATATATATATATGTAACACTTAGAATCAAATCCAATATGGCGGGAGATATAGCGGGGAGAACGATCCTCGCAGGGCCAACTTGGCGGCCTCCGCCTCCCTCCTGGCGCTTCAGCAAGCCAAGGAGGTGCATCTCCAACACGTACCATGTTCTTTCATGTACTTCTTTAAAGACAATTCCCACTTTCACGAATTATTGTACTGGTACAAGACAGTTGATCCTCGGAGCATTTATTAAAACCGGGATTCTGATCCTCTCGCAGGCACAAGAGCTGTCAGCTGGTCTCCAAGATGCCCGAGCCCTTAGCCTCCTCGGCACGTGGCTGAAGCGTTCGCTCTGGGATAGAACCTCCGAGTTGGATCGCATCAAGGGACCCTTCTATTCAAGTGGGCTCTTAAGTTGCGCTGCAGGCTGCCGGTGAGCTTGGAGCGCGGCGGCTTCTGACGGTTTCCGAGCTCAGTTCTTTGGTTCTTTGCGTTTTAGTGTTTGCCGCTGAGCACCCGCGAGAGCGCAAAGCTTGAAAAGGATGCGCAGATTGCGAGCGGAAGGCTACAAGATGCCTGGACCCTAGCTTTACGGTTTGGAGCATTCTTCCACAGAAAGCCGTATATGGGGCGCCGAACAACATCAAACAACCCATACACAGGAAAGTAGAAGAAATTGTCAAAGCCACGAAGGCATCCCGACCCAGAGAAAACTCCATGGTGGCAGCATGAAACATCACGCATCAGCAAGATCCTGAATCGCTTGCAGCAGAAGTCTTATCTTTTACATTCGCGTTCTCGCCGTGACTGCCTCTGCAATCTGTAAGGGGCTCTTTGAAATTTGTTTCGCCCCGAGCAACCCAGGCCATGCAGGAAGCATCACGCTTGGCAACAGAGAGCAGAGCATGCGGGGACGTGGCTGGAGAGGCTCACGTCGAACAGAAGCTCAGCCTCTGCTCAGCTTCCATCAAAGGATTAATAGGGCAGGAAGTCGTAGTCGGCAGATGCCGCATCTCAGATACATGCGCTTGGGAATGATCCAAGGTTGAACAGCGCTGCGTTGATGCAGAGTTGTGGACTTTTGTGAAGCTGGTTCAGGCCACAGCTTTATTCCAGTGCTTCCGTGCACTCTGCGATTCCGGACGTCGGGCTGCCTAGCTGGAAAGAGAAGCAGCGTACTGACAGCCCATGAATCAAGTGAATATCAAGTGATTCAAAAGCCTTCAAGAGCCACAGCTTCCAAGGCCAAACTGAGGCCCTGGGGACCCTGTGCTTGCCTTGGTGTACTCAAGTTGACTTCGTTTCATCCTGGGCAATCCTCCCCGCCGTGATGCTTCCGTACGAGTCGACATGAACATGCACTGCAGCCTACGGCGGTGTTACTTCTGCTATCTTCTGCTGCTCTTGTGTCTTATCATGTCCTCAGGCACCAGGCGCTGGGCCTGTACTGGGACATAGCTGACTCGCGTGGACCGCAGTTTCTGCCAAAGACCGCAGAAGAAGCCGATGGCCTTGCTCCACATGCTCTGAGAAGAGGTCTGGGGCGATGAAGTGCTTGTATGCTCTGGCCTGGGGCCTGGCAGGAAATACATCTCCCAGCGACGCAACATGTAAGCATGGTGCAGACCGCGTAGACCACAGACATCCAGATGCTTTTCGGAACCTGGCGAGATTCTGTGAGAGGCTCAAGTCCATTTGGCTGCTGGGGATGCCCCGGTCCTTGTCGGCAAAGTTACACATGTTGCAGACATTCCGTCATCCAGTCCGGCGCCAGGCATCGTTGCAGGCTCTGTCCGAAGTCTTGAGCATGGTCAAGCGCTACAGGCGGAATCAGCGCATGGAGGCCGAACACATCCCAACACCGTGCGTGCAGGAAGCCGCAAGGGAAGCTCTCGTTCCCAGGCTTCGGTCCTGCAGCTTGCAGCTAAAGCCATGTTGGCTATGCCAGAGAAGGCCAAGGCATCTGACCAGATGTGGCCTCAGAGCTGATAAGCCTGAAATTGCCAGAATCCCATGCACAGATCATCCCCCCTAACCGTTCGCATTAGAGTTATTAGAGTGCATGTTGTGTTTTTGTTTTTTCGCAGCTTGGCTTGTCAGTAAAAAGTTATTGCAGACAAGCCCGGGTTACGTTTAGCTGGAGCCAAGTCATCTTGGCCTCGCATTCCAGCAGTATTCCAGCAGTATTCTAGCACTTCCAGCACCAGCCTGTTCTTGCACTCTTCCGTACAAGCGCCGCACTAGTTGTCGAAGCCTTTGGGGGTCCACTTCTTGTCGTTCTGTGGAGCATGGCCTCAAAGTTCCTGCCCACGCATGGCCGAAAACGTCGGGGCGCCCCACGCTGCAAGCGGTGATGGAGGGACAGTGTTTGCACAACACTGTTGGCGCACCATGCCGATGTTGCCAAGGAGGCTCCTCCAACCACAAATGCACCTCAGGCCAAAACAGCGCCATCACATTTTCCTCCGTGCCCATCTACCATGATGTTTTGGCAGGTGCCCAAGAAGGGCAAGGGAAAAGGTCCTGCCAAAGGGCCGCCTCCGGCCAAAGGTGCCGGCAAAGCCAAAGAGGCCAGTTCCTGCGCAACACCTCACCACCGACCATGTGCACTCGTCTTGGGGCGTTTGCTTCTTCAAATCTGTAGCTCAAGCAGGCATCATCACTGCCGTCATGGCAGAAGCCCGATATCTCGTCAGAATGGCACCTTCGGCTGCAATTGTTTTGGGCAAGTCACCAGGCAGAGTGGATCGGCATGGTCCCATAGCTCCTTGGAGCCAAACACCCGCCAAGGCAGCCAGAGCGGGCCGGGCATCCTAGTGAAAGCTTCGGGTCAGTTGTTCATTCCATCAGCCTCACGACGTCTGAACCATGCTGATGTGAACTGAGATGGTCAACTGGCAGCCGATCCGCCAGACAAGCCGGATTCAGGGCTCCGCGTGGCGCTCGGGAGTCGATTACTTCCGTATCATTGGCATCAGTCACGCAGTGAGACGCAGTCAGGTCTGGCAGCAGGTCCACGACTCTTTGGAGGGCGGGGCTGCAACCTGAGCATCAACATCACGGCGATGCCGCTCCCGTAGATGCTCAGATACTGGCCGTACACAGACACATTCAGACACAGACAGACACAGACACAGACACCACCACACGCCTTTAGGCTGCGCAGCTTCCAGAAGACCTCTTGGGACGCTTCATGCGCAAGGCATCTGAGGCCACTCACAGAATCCACTCTGGTTGGAAGCCTGTGCATGGCAAACATCGCTCAGAACTTTCCGAAGGCTGTGCCAAAGAAGACCTCCGAGCCGAGCCTTGGATTCCAAGCTGTAAGGTGCACGACACAGCCGCTTTCTTTGCCAAAGGCTTGTCTTGTGAAAAACCGGGGCTCGAGCGGACGCACGAAACAGGTTTTGCCACGTTCACATCTCAGGAAGAAGTCTGCAACAAAGAGGCTGCTGCCGTCCAAGCAAGGTCTTGCCAAACGCTTGGCATGATAAGCCTGATCCATGCGGCGGTACTGGCAAGTCACGAGTACTGTGGTGCTGCTGCAAGGTTGCCGACATTCACCATGCCCTTCTGACAAGGAAGGCGCATGGTTCAACGCTGCCTTGCCCTTCCCCACATGGCGGAAAACGTGTTGAACAAGTGTGCATTGATTCGGTACAGTCTCAGTGCAGTTTTTGATGTCTCTCCAATCGGTGTAACACGTGAGAAGCTTCTCGGGCAGGGCATCCGTACAGTCCATGACCTCAAGTGGATCATCGGACCAAGTGACCACGAAGCGGACAAACAGGCCAGACAACTTTTGTTCTCTAGCTCATGAGGGGCATGATCTGCTCATGTGTCGCACAGGACGAAACAACAGATGCGCTGTCGGAGGACCAAGTATGTCCCGGCGTGTCTCTGGTCTGGGGGCGCGGTGGATTCATAAAGCCAGCCACGGAAACCACACGGAATTCTACGGAATGCAAGATTTACAGCCTGTTGCCAGGCGGCTCAGCATAGTGAGCTTGACTCGACTGGGGTTGAAATGTGTCATGGAGGTTTGCGCCCAGCGCAGGGCCTAGCACATGCTCAAGATCGGATCATGTTCAAGAACTCCAGCAATCGACTTCTGCGAACACATCAGAGCTCAGCAGGATATTGAAATAAAAGGAACCCTGACATTCAAAACCCTCAACGTGCAGATCTGCACGGAAGTGTTGACCATGGCGTGGCCGCTGAAGCCTCCGAAGCCTCGGAGGCCGCAGAGGCAGCCGCTGGGCCAATTCTTTTGCCTCGGCAGTTTGGGTCTGCTCTACTGGCTTCCCGGCGCGCTGCCCAAGGATGCCTCCCAGACTTCGTTGGAAAACAGAGAGATTTCGCAAGCGTTATCAAGCTGATGTAGAGGGTCCGATTTGTTTTTCTCAAGACCCGGAGATTCTGTTGGGGGCGAGTTTCAAAGGCCTTCGTCTCTGGCCGGCTCCCGGGCCCTCATTTTGCTTCCGGCTTCTTGCCACCTCGTCCACGGACTGCCTGCCACACCTCTGCAGAGTCCGCAGACCAGATGCTCGTCATGACCTGGGGACCCCAAAACAAACAAGCTCTGTAAATCAATACTGTAGCAAAAAAACCAAGTCTTGAAAATACCGCTACCCCGGCGCAGCGCTGACTTTGCCCACAGGCCAGATGCGAAGAGCCAAAAGAGCCAGGGGAGTGTCAAAGTCACACCTCTCTGGGTGCTGAAAATCACTCAAATGCTTTTGTTCGGCGCGAACGTTTGTTTGATTCGCTTCATCACTGTGTACTACCATGACCTGGGCCTCAGCCGCAAAGTGATGGGCTTGCTGCTGGTGCTGGTTCCTATGATGGCCTTTGTGGGTGGATTCTTTTGGTCCTCACTTGTGGATCGATCCGGTGCATACAGAGGCATACTCACCTTCACCAGCCTGCTTGGTATTGCAACCGTCTTCTCGTACATGTTGCCGGTGGTCGGGCGGAGCCTTCCTTTGCTGGTGGTCGTCACGCTGCTGCAGGGATTTGTGACGGCCCCGTCCGGGCCGATCGTGGATGGTTTGTGCCTGAAGGTGCTGTCACAGAGGTGGGGGGCCTTCTGGGCCTTCTGCAGAAGTCTCACACTTAGTCGCCTATAGAGTATAGTCCCGACTTGCTTCTTGTGAAGGGACACTCCTTGGACCCCTTCGGACCCCTGGATTGTAGTCCCTTGGCTTTGGGGGACCCGTTGAAAGATACCCTGAGAAAATATCGGGGCCATAGTGGGAGGGAGTAGAGGAAGGGAGCTCTTTACGTAGGGGTACAACTTGGGGCCCAAGGGAGATCAAAGACGAAGCTTGCTCGCCATGAAGAGACTTCCCACAGCAACCTCTCTGGAACTCCCTGGAGGTCCCAGCAAGGATCCTCCGAGGCTTACGGAGACCAGCGGCTCTGGAGCGCTGTGGGATGGGGAGCCATGGCCTTGATTGCGGGGAAGCTGATTGACATCTTCGGGACAAATGCCATTTTCCTCTCTTATGGCATCCTCGTGGGCCTCAATGTCCTCGTGGTGCAGCTTTTTGTGCACGACATCCCTCCGGGGCCAGCACAACAAGGGGGGGTGGAAAAGAAGCTGTCGACCCGCGAGTGGCTCGCAGACTTATGCAAGTTCGAGCCCATCTGGATGCTGATCAACCTGCTTGTGTACGGTCTTCTCACCTCCTTGGTTGAGAATTACCTGAATGCTGCTTGACGGCAAGCCACTTTTTGCAGTCTGCAGCTGGCATGGACCTGTCTCGTCAGTGTCTGTGGTCAGGTCTTCTTGGTGCAGGACTTCGACCACGTTCCAAGGGTCATCCTGGGCGCAGCGACTGCTGTCACGTAGCTGCTGTATGTCTATATCTGCCACACGACATGGGAGCCTTTTGTTGGTTGACATGGCTCTGAGGTCATGTGCACTTTTGAGATTCCGGTGTTTAAGTACATCGGGGACCTTTGGAGCAAGCGGGGCTACAGTTTGGTCGCGGTCCTTTGGGCCTCGGAGTTTGCCGGAAGCTTACTTCTCCTTGTACAGCGATGCAAAGCGAACTGGCAAGCTATCGGGCGCAGAGCATTCATGAGCATTCTAGACTGCTAGACAGAACGCTTCTTTGTTGTCTGCAAGGTCATGGTACTGCGCTGCTTGCTGTATGCAGCTCTGCCACGAAGCCAGTTCCTCACCTGCAGCCCACAGTTCATGTCTGAATCTAGGACAAGGACAATACCAAAAAGGGAGCGTTCAGTTGTTCACCTTCGCTTCGGCTGCACCGTCCGAAGAGGCTGGAATCCCAACACAGGGGTTCATGAGTCATTGTCTTCTATTGTACTGGGCTCAGCGGCCTTCCGACTCACTGCGGGGAGCAAAACCTACACTGTGCCCCAACCAGACACAGCCCGATTAATTATGCTCTAATTGGTGATCGAAGAGCTGTCCAGATCCAGCTTCCGAGCAAGTGGTGTCTTAAAGCTGCCAGTGCTGCATACATATGCTGTTTATGTTATGGTCTTTTCCGGTACGTATGTCGAGGCCATGGCTGGTCCTGTTGGTGGAGCCATTGCATGGCCTGACATTTGCAGGGGTGTGGACTGCAACGGTGGAATACGCGCGTCGTCTGGCCCGGACTGGCACAGAGGCCAAGATGCAAGCCCTCATCAGCGGTACCTGGCATTGCATGAAGGTTCAGAGGTATTTAGGGAGATACGTTCGGTAACCGTAGTTGCAATTGGTAAGAACCTTATTTGGGGTGCTCATTATAGTGACCATTATAGCGCTATCCCTGCTTATGACGATGTGCAGTTTAGCAGCATCTTTCAGGCTATAGTACTCGTAGCCAGCAGCTAGGCTTTTTTGGGAATCGCCCCGCCTAAGGTGTGTACTTCAACGTCGCCTTCGCCATTGGATCCCTAGTTTGGGGTTTCATCTCTCAGCTGCCTCCAGCTGGTCTGGGGTT